TATCCGTTGTAGTTTCTGGTGATTTCTGCCGTTTTAAGCTTGCTTTACCATCACTGTTATTCACATCATCTACTTTTGTTACGTTGGTAAAATCTGTACAGACATCACACAAACCAACTCGCGCACAAAGTAAGAAGAGTATATTGAAGGCTTGAAATTATATTACGATCGATTTTCATCAAGAAATGGGCCAGGAATTTTCCACAATAGTGCAAATAATCGTGAAGGCTGATCGAGGAAAAGCGATTGCGTGACGCTCGGTAAGCTGTAAGATGACATGTTATTATTTACCAGACGTAAAAACTCTTCAGATTCTCAGTCTGCATTTTGTACCCACTCTGCAGTCTCCAGTCTATATTTTGTATCCGGTCTGCTGACTGCATTTTGTACTAACAGGTATCTGTGGCACCAATACAGTTTATTTTTGGTTACATTTATTCGCACAATACACATAATCTACTACAAAATACCTGTGTGTGAGGTAATTCGACATTTTCGTTCTTTTCCACGTTAATACTCTTCTTTCCTTTTGTAAGAATGTAGACCACCAGTAATCCACCCACCCTACAAAAAATAACTCTTGCATGCATAGCATGCCTATGTTTTGAAATAGGTGTATGCCCTTAGCCAGACTTGAGCTCACTATTTCAGTATACTAATCCGACACCCGTAGTATCACTACACTTGATTCCAAGGATCCAGTACCATCCAGGTATCCCAGTTACCCTGCTCACAGGGTCTAGTTAAGAATATTCTACCGTCGAAGAAAGTTTTGAGATTTTGGTGAGGAAATTATCAGGGTAGCGAATGCCATTTCTTGATCAAAAGCGATCGATTGTTTGTCCTTGTTTCGATCACATTTTAATTTTTATAATTTGCTTTTTGACCTACCGTGTCTGAAATAATTTCCCAATTGAATCGTCCTTCATTCTGAAGGAGATTACAATTTAGGGCTTTGCATTGACACTCAAGCTTTTTGTAATCATTTGAAATTTTATTAGGTTACACCATGGAAAAGGCTTCCGAAAGCGAAACAGGTGGAGAAGCCATAGAACATTTTTCAGCTCGGCCGTACCAAGTGGAACTTCTAGAGCGGGCGAAGGAAAGGAACACCATCGTATGTCTGGGCACGGGAACTGGCAAAACGTTTATAAGTGTCATGCTGATAAAAGAACTCGCTCATGAAGTAAGAGGAAACTATAAAGACGGCGGGCAAAGAACTTTCTTCCTTGTAAATACAGGTAGTTATGTATGTTTTGTGTGTTTGAGATCGGCTTTACCGTGGAGGAGGGGGTACGATATCTCAGCGCGGGGTATGATATCTCAACTTTTCTTGCCATAAACTAAAATATAAGATCAAGAATGTGGTTTAAATTTGTACCCCTTGAGTTAAAGAATGTTGAGGATCACCTACAAAATCTCATCCACTTTTAACTAACATGTTCTTCCTTTTTTTCCAGTTCCACTAGCTAGCCAACAAGCAAAAGCGATCGCTAAACATACAGACTTGAAAGTCAAACATTATGTTGGAGAAATGGGAGTAGATCTCTGGGACAAGGCAACTTGGGAAAATGAGTTCAATACATTTAATGTTCTGGTCATGACAGCTCAAATATTCCTCGACCTTTTTTTGCATAGCTACATACTTCTCTCGCAAGTGAATCTCTTGATCTTTGATGAATGCCACCATGCCAAGAAGAATGATCCTTACAGACAGATAATGCAGTGCTTCAGCGATTGCCCACAGCGCCCATTACCCAAAGTTATGGGTTTAACTGCCTCGATAGTAAATGGAAAGGTAAAACCTGATAAAATTGAATCGGAGATCCAAGAGCTGGAACGCACATTAAGATCTACATGCGAAACAAGTCAAGACGAAGATGTTGAAAAATATGCTGCTAAACCCGAAGAACTGGTCCTTGTTTACAAGAGCCAGAGCACTGATAAAAATGTAAACAATTTGATCCAAATCCTGTTAGATGTCTTAAAACCAGGAATTGGTTTTCTCCGCGACTGTCGGGTGTCCAAAATTGACGAGAATGCACACTGGTACGCGAAGTTCGCTCTGAGAGAGTGTAAGGAGACATTGGATGAACTGGGCCCTTGGGCTGCTTTTAAAGTAGCAGAATACCTAATAGAGGATCTAGGTATGGTACTGTTTCAGTTTTAAGAGGAACTGACGTAACTGTGCCCAAAGTTTAAGTCAAGGTTTCGAAAAATCATAATACGGTCAACGCGAACCAAATATCATAAATATTATCCAAAAAGAAGGGAAAAATCTCATGACTCCATTTCCAAAAATTTTGGTTTTATAGGTTTTTTTAAAATTTTGCTTTAACCCTTTACACCCTAACATCAGTATACATATTCTCCATACTGTTCTCTACACATTTCTTAAGGTGCTGACAAGGAGAATTTGCTTAACAATCAAGAGCTTCTTTCGTTGGCGATCATTTCCTTTAATCTTGATACCCTAATGGTTGATTGATTCTTGGGTGATCTTGTTAGGAGAAGTTAGAAGTAGTCACTCAGAGAGTTGAAGAGTTTAGCCTACATGACAGATATTGACTTAATGCTTATTAGAAACGAATCAGTGTGTCAAATCCTCTGCTCATAATACCAAATTATTCCAATTCAAGCAAAATTAACCTGGGATTGGATAAAAATGCCTTTGTTGGCATCTTTTGATCAACTGGAATGGAATGCACTTATAAACCGGAATCTTTCCTTCTAGACAGAGCATGCAAGGTTCAAAGCAGCAAACAAGGGCGATTGTTTTGTGAGTTTAGTGCCACCCAGCTGCGTCAACTGCGGGGCATTTACTGTAATTTTACTGAAAGTGATGGGTCTGAGGACAGTGGACATTGTTACTTCATGCCTAAACTTCAAACACTTCTGTGTGTTTTCAGGGAGTTTGCTAACTCACAGCATGGTAAGGAATACTCTGCTGACTGCTTTATTTATGGAACTGATATTTCATTTCCTCAGTGAAAACCAAAACAGAAGATTAGCAAAGTGGATATTTCTGCACTTCTTATCACAATTTGACATTTTCTTTTCTAAGATCTCTCCTGATTGTGTGCCAAACCTTCTTAAAATTTTAACCATGAGACTTTGTGTTAAATTTCTAAATATCCACTGCATGATTTTTCTTTCCTCTCAGCTCCTGTATATTTTGAATTGTAATGTTATTGTGAGGAGAAATTTGTTTTGGTTTGCTCTTAGCAGTGAGAAGTGAAATGGAATAATAATAGTGGTACTAGTAATAAAAATATCGATGATAGTGACAGGGCCAAATTGATTACAATCATTATACTATTAGTAGGAAATTTAACAACAATAAAAATGATAATGATGATAACAACAACTATAATAATCTCTCAGGGGGAGATCAATATTCAGTAGCCATCTCCTCATTCCACCAAGAAATGTGAGGAACAACATCGTGGTTGAGGAACAAATCACAGGGACAAAAAGATTAAACATGGCTACATTTGCTACCCAACTTCACCTTAAGGAAGATTTAGCCAATTGTTAAAAGTAATATTAATAAGAATAATCTTTTAGGTTTACTTTTGTTTTTTTTGTCAATCCATACACACTAAATAACCAGCTTTAAAATTGGCTCTTTCTTGAAATTTGTTTCAAGGGTGATTTTGGATGTTACTCTGCAAAACAGCTTGATGATCCACAGTTTGGTTATTTTGCAGCATCTGAAGAGGAGAAGACCCTCTGTGCCATTGTGTTTGTTGAAAGACGATACACAGCACTGATCCTCAGTAAACAGCTTAACAAGGCAGCCGAACTAGATCATGAGCTCTCATTCATCAAAAGTAACTTTGTGATTGGTCACGGCACAGGTGCAAGGGTTAGCTACTCCAGTAACACAGAGATGAATTTTAAGAAACAGGAGGAAGTGCTGCGCAAGTTCAGAAATGACAAGAAAAGACATGAATTCAATGTGCTGATAGCCACCTCTGTTGTTGAGGAGGGATTAGATATTCCCAAGTGCAATGTTGTCTGCAGGTTTGATTTCCCAAAGAATTATCGTTCCTATGTACAGTCAAAGGGCAGAGCTCGTGCCAAAGGTTCCAAGTACTACATGCTGGTGGATGAAAAGGAGCAAGTGGAAAAAGAGAATGAATTGGAGGTACCTATTTTAAAGTAATAAAGTCAGTAATAATCCATACTTACTCTGGTGATTGTCATTGATAATGTTTAGCGGAGGATACAGAGCACCAGACTGCTGTGTGGGAGATAGAAGGTTCGAACCCCAGACTGCCGACCAACACTCAGGGTCCTAGAATAACTGAGGACTGTGCTGCCTTTGTTAAGACATCTGCAAACAGTTAGACATTCTGGTCAACTTGTATAGGGATAGTAAGCCACAAGCCCCGTCTTCTGTTTCTCCTCTCTACTGGTTAGCAGGGGACGTTAAAGAACCCATGCATTTCTTGCAAAGAATAGGGAACATAGATGTCATTTTTATAGTCTGGCCTTTAGATTTTTTACACAGGCTGCCTTTTAAAGCAGCTTTAAGCTGAACTGTGAAAGCTGGTTTAAATATCATAAATAAATTCATAACCTGGTCGAATTATTGTAAGGAATGTTAATTCTTCTTAATGTTCATGACTTATTCCCTAGATGTTGCGTGCTATTGAGAAAATCTTGTTGGAAAGATGCCATGATCGGCTGGAGCCATCAGTGGAGGAGTGTAATGAGTCAGTAGACACAGATTTACTGCCACCATACATACCAGTAAATGGAAAGGGAGCAAGAGTAACAATGACCAGTAGTGTTGCTCTACTTTCAAAGTAAGTGCAAAGAATTTATTAACTTTGAATTGTGTTGTAGTTCTAAATTTGAGATAATTGGTTGACTTGTGTATTGTTAAGTAATGTGGTTGTAAAAAGGGAAGATGTGCTATATATGGGGTAACAAACTTGGGCACTGATTGTGAAAAGGGGTGATTTCTATTAACGATGAGTATTGCTGTAAAGCTGGCTGTTTGCTTCCCTACAAACCTTAAGATCACCCAGTTCCTTGCTGTTCTCCTTTTCTGAAGGCAAGTGCTAAAATAAATTTACCACTTGTATTAACTCTTATTTTTCACTGAAATCACTTGGAATTTGTGAAAATTCAGCGGGTTGAAGGATAAGTCTACTAGTTTGATAACTTTTTACCTGTCAAGTTTAAAATAAGGGAGTACACTGCCTCTTTAAAAGCTCTTACACCACATCTACATAAAGTTATACCCTTTTAAATTTTAACTCAGGGGTGTAGAATATTCTTATACTTAATATGGAGATGACCAATTACTTAAAATTACAAACTTTACAAAACTAGAATTATAACAATATTTCTACTTTTGTCTTTTCAGGTACTGTTCAAAGCTCCCAGGTGACCGGTTTACGCAGCCCAAGCCAGTTTACAAGGTTGAGGAAATTGGAAAATATCTTTACAAGTGTAAACTAACACTCCCAATAAACTGTCAACTACGTGATGATATAATAGTGAGTTTAGAGGACTTTTATTTTTTTTAAACTAAGACATAAAATTGTTATTATGGAAATTTGCCTATTTCCACTGTCATTATCATTGGCTATTGATAATGTTTATCTGCCTTCTGATTGGTTACGTAACCGCCTCCCGGTTAGCTCAATTGGTTAGAGCTCTGGACTGTTGTGTGGGAGGTCGAAGGTTCAAGCCCCAACCAGACCAACACTCAAGGTCTTAAAATAACTGAGGAGAACGTGCTACCTTTCTATAATGTCAAGAAATGGATAGACATTCTAGTCTTCTCAGATAAGGACGAATAAACTGTAGGTCCCGTCTCCTACCTCTATTAATTAGTCAATTTGGTCAGGCAGGGGACGTTAAAGAACCCACTCACGAGATTACTGTGATGTGGTCTGGCCAGTTTACTGGGAATTGGGGGGGGAGGTGGGTCTGCCCTTGTCATTGTTAACGCGGCATCCACTGTTATTGGCTAAAGCTGTAGTGGTCTCCCTGCCTTAGATAATTGGGCTTAGCTAAATAAATTAAATTACAAAATTACGTTATTGGTACTTTGGTTGTGATTTTGTGTCTCTCAATTCAACATTGCTCTAATTCTCTGTGCTAAGTTTCAAGCAGTTTGTTAGCTCTTGGAAATGAACCCTGTAACTCGCAAGATTCTAAAAGTAACTCTTCCTACTAACTGCTATACATTTCCTTGTAAATTGGAGAGGACAACATGATGTTACATTAAGACAACACCTTAACGCTGATGAACTTATATATTCTCATCACCTGTTCGCCATGTAACATATTGGAATCGCAAGGAGAAATTCCATGTTAATCGCTTACTTGAGAACCATCTATGTCTGCATTTCATCAGGGTGAACCAATGCTGAGTAAGAACCAAGCCAAGATGGCAGCTGCGCTCAAAGCCTGTGAACTGCTTCACAAGATTGGTGAGCTTGATGATGACCTGTTACCAAAGCGGACTTTATCTGACGAGGAAAGTGATTTGGAAGAAGAAGTAGCAGCTGAGTCTGGCGGAAAAAAATCAAAAGCTGGAACAAAGAAGAGAAGACGGCGGTACAAGAGAAAGGTAAGCAGTTGAATTTCACAATTTTGGCCTGTGACTTACTCATTAAACTGTTAACTTATATATCTCAATACAATGTCGTAGGCAATGTCTAAGCATGAATTTGGCTGGTCAGCTAGAGGGTCTACCATTCCCTAAGCTTATTCAAGTTTGGGTTTGCTGTTGATTTACCAATTTTTTTGAGCTTTAACAAACACGTTATTCGCTTCTAAAACGCTGTGACTTAGTGATCATGAAACCATGAAACCAGTGTTCGAATCCTCTCGTTGAACTCAAGTTTCACCTTCGCTTCACGCTCTTGACAAATAGTTACACCTTCTTTACCTAATGTTTTGTTCTTGCCCAGGTTCCTGAAACATTTGTCGGCAGCTTGGTACAGGATGGTCAGCCCCAGTTCCTCACGACCATCACCATACAAGTCACTAAACTTACTCAGCCACAAGAGTTTGTTGTTAGTGAGCGACTGTTCCTCAATGAAACTTGCACGTTTGGAATGCTGACAACGAAAAGAGTTCCTTGGGTTAGAAATTGATTATTAATATTTCATTATTTATCAGGTAACCGAATTCTGTAGGCCAATTTTCAATCCAGTGTCGCTCTGTGATTGGTCCAAAAAGCTTGCACCTTTCTTTCAGCCAATCAGCTGCAAAACTAAAACCAATCACGACTTGGTCGCCTGCGTTTTCCCGCGCTTTACGCAGTTTGGTTGTTTTCATTTTACTCATTGGCTCCTAGAGGTCGACGATTGCAGCATGTACCACTTCAACCGGTCTCACACACCACAAATGTTGACCTTCATCTTACAATGCAATTTTTTCACTCTTCAGATACGATCGTTCAAACTGTATCCTAACTATGGCGAAGTCACGGTATCCTTGCAGTGTCACAGATCTCCTTTGCGTGTAAACATCACTAAACAAGAGTTGGACATTCTTCGCAAGTTTCATCTCTTTCTCTTCAGTCACGTTCTACGCTCTCCCGTGGAATTCACACCAGGAAGTGTGGATGGTTACTTCGTTGTTATGTTGAAGGCTTCAGGAAGGAGTATTGACTTTGATTGTATGAGAGAGGAGCTTTCTTTCAAACAAAGCCGTGGAAGTCAGCCCATCGTCGTAGACGCAGTAGTAACAAAGAACTACGTTGAATCTCCACAAAAGTACGCTGTTTTGAATGTTCGTGGCGATCTGACTCCGATGTCTTCGTTCCCAGAAAATTCGCAGGGCGCCGACACTTATGAAGAATATTTTCGCACTAGATATGGAGAAAAGGGATGCATTGGGAACAAGAATCAAACTCTCGTTGAAGTGAAAGAACTCTCCGGTAGAATTAACTTTCTAGTAGACCGAAAACAAGGACCAAAAAACAAGCGCAATGTGATTTGTCTTGTTCCAGAGTTGTGTGACCAGACTCCCATTCGCGCTTCTCTTCTAAGCGTGTCTCAAATTCTACCATCTATTCTTCAGCGTGTCAACTCCCTCCTTCTCGTTGCTGATCTCAAGGCCATGGTTGCTGGTGTACGCGACACAACAGATGAATCAATTCTCCCTCCCATTGGAGCTGAAGAGGGCTCAAGAGAGGCGCCCATGGAGGTTGAAGGCGATGCTTTGGACCTGGAAGACGATGATGCACTTTTCTACGACATCAGGTCGATGTTCCGTTACAGTCCACCATCTGCTGACCACCCCGACTCCTTTCTCGTTCTTCAAGCTATTACCACCACCCACAGCGAAGATGCATTTAATCTGGAGAGGCTGGAGATGCTTGGGGACTCATTTCTGAAGCTGGCCGTGTCCATTCATCTCTTCTGCACATACATCGATAAAGACGAAGGCAAGCTGACCCGGCGTAAGAAAAACCAGATTAGTAATTTAGCGTTGTACCGAGCAGCGGCAAAGAAATCTGTGGGCGAGTATCTCCAGAGTACGCAGTTGGCTCGCGACGTTTGGTGTCCTACGGGATGTCAGTTTGGCGATGTACCACCAAATCGCACCACAGGTAGCCCAGCCATGGAAGTTGACAGCGGGGACACGGTCGAGGCAATGGAAGTTGACGAGACCTTAGAGAGGGGAAAATGCAACACTCAAAAGATTGCGGACAAGTCCATAGCTGACAGCATCGAAGGACTGATCGGAGCGTATCTAATATCCTGTGGTTACCTTGGTGCGTTGCGATTTATGAAGTTTCTGGGGCTAAAAGTTTTACCTGAAATTGATAGCAACGACGGCAATGATTTGCAGGCGGAGAATAGCAAATCGGGTTGCTATGCTAGATTTTGGCCAGATCAGACAAAAATAACAGCTGCGCAAGGTAAAGGAGATATGGTTTTCCGCCTCACTTCTGGCCTGGAAAACTTTGAAAACGAATCAATCTCGTACAATTTCCAACAAAAGTTGTATTTGGTAGAGGCACTAACTCATTCGTCCTACCACGAAAACCGTGTCACGCCAAGTTATGAAAGACTCGAGTTCCTGGGCGATGCCCTGCTGGACTTTTTGGTCACGCAACATTTGTACTTCCGTCACGTCAACTTGTCACCAGGGGAACTGACCGATATACGACAGGCCTTGGTGAACAATAACATCTTTGCCACCCTTGCCGTAGAACACAACTACCACAAGTATCTGAAGCATATGTCTCCAAAGTGGTTCCAAACAGTGAAGAACTTTATTGATAGAGTGGAAGATGAGGCAGAAGAGAGGAAAGATAATCAGCTTCAAACGGTAGGGTGAACTTTATTCTTTAACCCTTTACATCAGTTTTCTTATTCCCCATTCTGTCTTCCATACATTTCCTAAGGTGCTGACAAGGAGAATTTGTTTAACAATCAAGAGGCTCTTTAGTTGGTGATGGATACATTTCCTTCATTCTTGTGACTTTAACGTGTGATCCAGGGCTGTTTTAATAAGGAGAAATTAAGTGCTAATTATTCTCATGGACCAAAGCGTTAACGAATATTTTCTCCAGTTGATTTATTAGAAGTCTGTCTTTGGCAGGTCACCGCTGACCCATTTATTATCGTGTCTGAAGAGGAAGAAGAAGGAATCGAGGCGCCCAAAGTTCTTGGTGACATCTTTGAATCAGTCGCAGGCGCGATATTTTTGGACAGCGGTATGGATTTGACTAAAACCTGGGGTGTGTACTACCGCATGATGAAACCCTACATCGGTAAGTTGGCCATCGCCACCCACGAAGACCCCCCTCCCCACCTCTTGGGAAAAGTCTTATCAGTAGAAAGTTCCGAGGTTGTTTTTCTCGCAATAAGCTGGAAAAGGAGTGAGAATGAGTCAGAGAAAGTATACTCAGCATGGCGTTGAAGCATTCAACCCTCAAATCCAGAGTGAGAAGGAACGCCGTTGAATAACGAACCTAGAAAAAATACTACAAATAATGATTGATATGAAGTTTTCAATTCAGATCATTACTCAGTGAACTTACTGCGAAATCCCATCAGACATGTTTACAAGGAACCTGAACCTGGTGAAAAACACCGGAAAGATTGATTGATTTATGTTTTTTATTCAGATCATTACTCGGTGAACATACCGCGAAATCCCGTCAGACATGTCTACGAGAAAGACGAGAAGGCTGACTTTGGGTGAGTGTACAGTTCAAGGTTAAGATTTTTGATGGTTGGTTGACTCTCCCCGCATACGTCTCTGACTAACTGCACCAAAGGTGTTAATAATTTTAGAGCGTAATAGAGTGCATTTTTGCCAAGAACAACATCTATGGATTGCAGGAGCAGTCTTTAGAGAAATTGTGGCCGAGTGCGGCAGATCTTTCCAAAAACATGGGCATGTGCACGTGTAGAGTGCCAAAATAGTGTGGCATAACATGAAATCGTCAACATTATCCCTTGAAATAGGGAGATATTGAGAAAGATTACAAAGAACTGCAGTTGTGGCGCGATTTAATCTAGCAGATTTTCATTTTTTTTTTTCGTTTTCTCCAGGAAAGCGAAGACCCTTGAAGATGGTAAGATCCAGTGCACTCTGAGAGTGTACTGGGGAAAGTACAATGGAAAGGGATCGAACATGAAGATTGCTAAAGCTGCAGCAGCCAAGTTCGCTATTGAAGGGCTGAAAAAGAAATACGCTGCGGTATACGAGGAAGATTAAGACTCAAAGAAGGCTTGGGGACATCAGTGTTGCGCCATGTTGCGGCAAAGGTGCTCTCTTAGATTTGTGTTGTTGAGATAATGCTGTGGAACACTGTTACAGTAATAGGAAGTAAATTTCTTTTGTGCCTATGATAATATTTGTACATTATCTTCCACAATGAACATCCCTTTCTAGGAGCCACGTTTATGTAGGTGACGTACCTTGAATGAATGGGAGTCGTTCAAGATTACTTTGTGTTACAAATGTCCCTTAAGTGTTGTGATTGACTTTCTCAGACACCGAGGACAGTGTAGACATTTGTCTAGAGACGTTTGCACTATTAATGCGGCTTTGAAATATTTTTTTATCTACAATTTGTCTTTTTGACAACTCCTGTTTTTAACTTGTGGGCGTCCCTAACAATTAAAAATATTTTTTTGTTTATTTTTTATCTATTGAATGACTCAATTTTTCTATTTTGTGGGCGTCAGGGCGTCGTTGCTAACAATTTGTGGAAAATAGAGAAAAATCGAAACAAACAAAAGAACAGTAAAAAATATCGCAAAAAAAAATAATAGAAAACTCTGACAGCAATAACTATGAAAGTTCACCATAGCAGTGCTTTGGTATATGAGTTTGTAATTGATGAAGATAAAATTTTAGTTTCCTGGGAATCAGGCATTTCCTTTAAAGATTTATGTTTTTTACCAGTTTTAAGTGTGGCAAGAAGAGTACATGTAAGAATGCAAGACCGATTTTGGTAATCGTGATATGTGTTGCAGTTGTAAATAGTGTAGCTGAAATGAAATGGAAAGTTCTGTGTAAAATAACTACACATGAATGAGAGAATAAAGAAAAGCGCTGATGTTACATTCATGTGGGCTGTTTGTTATTACTCTTTAAAAAATGCCGCGTAATTCCGTAATAAATGGTAATTTTATGTAGCATGAATTTGCTTGAGTTTGTGTTACAAATGGCTTCGTTACTCGCTCTCCGTGACAGATGGTGAGCTAAGCTGTCATGGGAGGATAAGCGAGCATGTTCGCTTAAATTCTTCAGAGACCGAAATATGCTCTCACAGGAGGAACCCCAGTTTGGTTTCTGTATCTGATTAAAATTAACGCTTCTGCTATTTATCAACCGTGTGACTTTTATTCGTTACTTCCCAAAATATCTGTTGGTTTAAAATAACGATGTCGAACGCTAACGTGGCGGACGTGCATTTCGTCTCAGTCCGTTGATACTTAACAGTGTCATAGCTACTTCGCCTGCGCAAAGTGAGAGGAAGTGAAAGCTTATGAAGCTTGAGAGAAATCTCTGTTTAAACTAGATGTGCATTTTTCCGATTACTCTAAACCGTGAAACGTACCTCTTTGTAGTTTTAAGTCTCTTTGTTTTAGTAGTCTGCACACCGTTCGTCGCACAGTGTTGTATGTGTACTGTGAGCACAAGGTACTGTGCAGGACACTCTTTGCCAATGCTTGCCAGAAACAACTGTGAAACTAAGACGCCATCTTGCTTTAAACATAAACCATTTTCACCATGCGTTGTCCCGCAAGTTTGAGGTTGTGTTCACTCAGGTACACACCTGAAAACGCAGCGCACATCCGAGTGTAAGACAATGCGTTTGCATGTTACATGTTCACTCGTGCGTTTTCTTAGGCACGTGATCTGCGTTTGAGTCAGTATTGCACGTGAACTTTGCTCTCAATGTTCTTTTTTCACCATCGTTTGGTTAAGAAAACGTAGTCACTTTTGTTTGCATTAAGGAGAGAGAAATGCGGCAAATTTTCTCGACGACCTTGATTTTCCTGCTACATTAAGTAACAAGATTTCCGTACAGCCACATACTTCATTGTGCATACACCACATGGATAAAGAAATCAATGGCAAAAATGATATATTGCCGCCTTGGGGAGTACGGCTCGTTTTATAACTGGGGGACTCTCGCAAATCACGACGGCAACGAGGACGTGGCAAAAAAAAAGAAATCTCATGGGCAGGACAATAGTTCAACACGTGCGTTTTTAACCTTGTACATTTCTTAGCCGTCTTCTGCAAAACAACGTGAAATCACCAAAATTTATTAATCCAATTTCACTTTCTCCCTGTGAGAGACGAGAAAATCTCCTATTCTTAGCTCCTACATATTTGCTGCATGGTTCCATTGAAAAGTTGATTAATCACTCTCCTCCGGCTCGTGGTTTATAAATTTTCCGAGCTTTTCCGCCTGGGTCATTACGCCAGTAAACCGATAGAAAGTGCGATCTGTTGCTTAGATTTCTTTAGATAGAATTCTTTCTTCATTATTTTTATAAAGATAAAAAAGTTAGTGGAGTGTTAAAAGCCGCTCGAAACGTCAGAGTTTAAAATTCGTTATGGCGACTACATACTACTTGATCATCACCTTTGGGGTGATAAATATTAATTGGTCCTCAGTCATTGACGTCAATCCTTTCTTAGAATTTCCGTGGCACTTGGAATGAAATTCGCCGATATGTGTCTAACATGGAAGAGAAAACTCTAGCATAAACATGCAGCGTATTTATGGCAGAGCCATTTCGTAATACTTTGAATATCTTCTTGTACTGAGTGAAAATACCTTTGCCTTAAAAAAGGAGACAAAAAAATTAGTTCGTAACGTTATGAGAAGATTAACAAGATTCCAAAGGGCAAACTTTAGGCGTCACCCTTTAGATTAAAGAGGTGTTCGCTGAAACACCGGTCACGGACTTACAGCTAAGTAGAGTGCCTAAAACTTTGGGAAAAAATATTCAATTATGCCCGAATTAAACATCGATCTTGTTTCCCTTGTAAAAATGCTTTCAAAGGTTTGCCCTCATGCTTCAAAAATTTCACGATTTCGAAAATTTTCCTGGAAACACTCTGCCTTCCTCTTATTATACAGAATACTTAACTGACTAACTGATATCATCAAGCGCCAAAAAATATGGGACGCTTTCTTTTTAAAATGAAAGATATATTTAAACAATCCATTTAATCAATATGCATGGTTGAGTTCCATAGTCAAATGAAACCACAATTTTCTTTTAGCGCGCGTGACATTGTTTGAGGAAAGTGTTAGAACTCAAAGCCAGCCACGTGGAATATTTACATATCTTTTTTTTTTTTTTTTTAAATTTCTTGTTTGACGTAATCGTTGTTTTCCCGGATATTGATGCTTGGTACTTTCTAGGAAAACACAATAATGCCATGGCCGGTTTCCTGTTGTTCTGTGTTGTAGGGTTAATTAAGCGAATAACCAAATAAGGCAAGGTGTCAAAGAAATCGTGACATATCGTAATATTAATTTTGCTTAGCGAAGCATTTTCACTTTTTATCTTCGGCTGAGAATATTCCACCGTCGAAGAAAGTTTTTATTTTTTGGCGAAGGAATTATCAGGTAAGCGAATGCAATTTCTTGATCGGAGGCGATCAACTGTTTGTCCCTATTTCGACCACTCTAATAATTCTTATAATTTCCTTAATAACCTTCTGTGTCTGAATAAATTTCCCGGTTGAATCGCCCTTCTTTGTGAGAGGATTTCCAACGTAGGGCGTCGTAGTTTGTATTGACACTCAAGCTTTTTTCATCATTTGTAATTTTATTAAGTGAAACCATGGAAAAGGCTTCCGAAAGCAAAACAGGTGGAGAAACCGTTGAGAATTTTTCAGCTCGGCCGTATCAAGTGGAGCTTCTGGAGCGGGCGAAGAAAAGGAACACTATCGTATGTCTGGGCACGGGAACTGGCAAAACGTTTATAAGTGTCATGCTCATAAAAGAACTCGCTCATGAAGTAAGAGGAAACTATAAAGACGGCGGGCGAAGAACTTTCTTCCTTGTAAATACAGGTATCTATGTATGTTTCGTCTTTTTGAGATCGGCTTTACCTTGGGGGAGTGGGTACGATATCTCAGCGCGGGTTGGGCCGGGGTTGTGAAGAGGGATACGGGGTAGTGGCAGTCCTCGCATACGGTTTAAATACAATTCAATGGAAATAGAGGAAATGATCATAGATCTTTCCTTGTTTTGGTCTGATTATGATATATTTGAACTTTCGATGCCAGAAATTAAAATATAAGATAGAGAATGTGGTTTACATTCTAGTAAAATCTTTATTTATTTAAAGAGGGTAGCACTTAATAGCCAAAAGGCTAATAAACTTGAGGCCCTTATAGAATACATATGATATTACTAATACAAATTTAGATATCAATAAGTAAAAACAAATACATTATTAAAGAAATAAAAGAACAGTTAAAAAATTAAAAGTCCTATGATAAAATCTAACATAAAGTAGATCTCAAGGATTAAATGACAGAGTCATGAAACTATAAAAAGGAACCTATTAAACTATAAAATGATTCAAATTCTGTTGACTTCTGAGAAAAAAATTGCCTTAAGGCATTTTTAAAACTTTGTACAGATGTCTTCTGTCATAAGGTGATAAGTAAACTGTTCCATAGTTGACATATGGTAACATTGAAAGTTTTGCCGCCAATTAATTTACGTTTTAACTTTGGGCATACTAAGTTATAGTTTGCATTCCCAGTGTTACAAGAGTGAAGAACACTATTATATGTTAAAAGGCAAGTAATATACGCAAATGATTCTCCTCATAGTCTCTTAAATGCAATTAGACATTTGGAAATTTTAGCCTCCTCATGAAAAGATAACCAACTTAAATCATCCAATAATCTGACAGAAGAGACCTAAGAATCAGCATCCATAATAAGTCTAGCTGCATGCTTCTATAATCTCAGCGCTCTACCTAAAAGGTCCTTTTTACAATTGGTTCAAACAAGAGCAACTTAATTTCATACTGGTCTCATCATGCTCTCATAATATCAATGTCATTACTTCATGTGTTGAGAAAGTTTTTTACAAACATTTTCAACATAAGAAGAGAAATATGAAGTGTCTTTATATTGAGCAGATGATGTTAAAGTGGTATCATCAGCATATAGATCTATTTGGGAAGATAACCCATAGAAAAGCAAGTTGTTGATAAAAAGAATGAAAGACAATGAGTCCAGAATACTTCTCTTAAAGGGACACCTTGCTTAATCACAGAAGGTTCAGAGTCACTGCCATCAATAGAGACAACTTGCTGCCTGTTTATTAAATAGGATCAGAACCATGATGACGGGGTTTTAGCCACACTATAAGCCCCGAGCTTCATAAGTAGGATTTGATGTTCTTCCATGTCAAAGGTCTTTTGAAAATCAATCATTGTTAGAGCACTGATATGGTCTTTATTGAGATTAGTCAACTGATCAATGATCTTCACCAAAGCAGTTTCAGAGCTGAGCTCCTTTCTAAATTTAGACTGACCATGGTCAGATAAGGTTGTTCTCAGACAGACTGGCATAGAAACAGTCAAGGATATAACATTCAACCACTTTTGAAAGCACTGGAAGAACTGATAGTGGGAAATTGGAACGATCATCTGTTTTGCCACCTTTAAACAAAGAAGTGACTTTTGCTTTCTTCCATCACTTAAGGAACACTCCATTCTCAATGAAAATATTTCTAAGCCGGGCAACAGAAGGCACTATTTCAGGAGCTGCTATCCTCAATAAATGTGATCTGATACAATGAATACCAACAGCTTGATCAGGACTGATACTCAGAAAAATTGTTTTGACAATGGATGGTGTTACTGTAGGAACAGGAAATAGCACATAAGGGTGTTTTCTTGAATTGACAAAGTTGTGTAGGTTGTTAAAATTCCAGTTGGCACTTGGCAAAGTAGATCTTAAACTTCCAGCTGTGGATGCAAAATGTATGTTAAACAGATCGGCCATGCCTTCTGTGTCATCAATAATGCAGTCACCTTCTTTGAAGCAACTAACAGATTGTGCATTCTTTTTGTCAGCTGTTAAAGATTTAATTGTCTTCCACATTGACTTAGAATTGTTCTTGTTGGCATCAAAGGCATCATTAAAATATTCACATTTAGCATTACAAATGACTGTGACAGCTTTGTTTCTCTCAACTTTATTCTTTAGTCATCAGAAGAACACGAAATCCTTGCAGCTTTGAGATTAAGCTATCTCTGAAATGCAGTTGATCTAAAGTGGGTTTGGACATCCAAGGAACTTGTTGAAGCTGTTTCACACATTTCTTACGTCAAGGACAATGCTAGTCAAGCACTGAGTTAAATAAGGATTCCCAGGATTCGAGCATATAGTCTATATCATCGAACATAAACACTGTATTCCAAGGGGCCTGCCAGAGAGCTTATTTAAATTCGTCTTTTTCAAAGTCTTTCATGTTCTGTTATTCTGACTTCCTTTAGTTGAAAGGAGCTTGAGGATTCTAGAGGAATTCTACTCCCCTTGTAACTAACTTGTTCTTCCTTTTTTTCCAGTTCCATTAGCTGGCCAACAGGCAAAAGCAATCGCAAAACATACTGACTTGAAAGTCAGGCATTACGTTGGAGAGATGGGAGTAGATTTCTGGGACAAGCCCACTTGGGAAAATGAGTTCAATACATTCAACGTTTTGGTCATGACAGCTCAAATATTCCTCGACCTTCTGTTGCATAGCTACATACTTCTCTCGCAAGTGAATCTCTTGATCTTTGATGAATGCCACCATGCCAAGAAGAATGATCCTTACAGACAGATAATGCAGTGCTTCAGCGATTGCCCACAGCGCTCATTACCCAAAGTTATGGGTTTAACTGCTTCGATAGTAAATGGAAAGGTAAAACCTTATAAAATTGAATCGGAGATCCAAGAGCTGGAACGCACATTAAGATCTACATGCGAAACAAGTCAAGACGAAGATGTTGAAAAATATGCTGCTAAACCCGAAGAACTGGTCCTTGTTTACAAGAGCCAGAGCACTGATGAAAATGTAAACATTTTGATCCAAATCCTGTCAGATGTCTTAAAACCAGGAATTGGTTTTCTCCGCGACTGTCGGGTGTCCAAAATTGACGAGAATGCACACTGGTACGCGAAGTTCGCTCTGAGAGAGTGTAAGGAGACATTGGATGAACTGGGCCCTTGGGCTGCTTTTAAAGTAGCAGAATACCTAATCAAGGATCTAGGTATGGTACTGTTTCAGTTTTAAGGGGAACTGACGTAACTGTGCCCAAAGTTTAAGTCAAGTTTTCGAAAAATCATAATACGGTCAACGCGAACCAAATATCATAAATATTATCCAAAAAGAAGGGAAAAATCTCATGACTCCATTTCCAAAAATTTTGGTTTTATAGGTTTTTTTAAAATTTTGCTTTAACCCTTTACACCCCAACATCAGTATACATATTCTCCATACTGTTCTCTACACATTTCTTAAGGTGCTGACAAGGAGAATTTGCTTAACAATCAAGAGCTTCTTTAGTTGGTGATCATTTCCTTTAATCTTGATACCCTAATGGTTGATTGATTCTTGGGTGATCCTGTTAGGAGAAGTTAGATGTAGTCACTCAGAGAGTTGAAGAGTTTAGCCTACATGACAGATATTGACTTAATGTTTATTAGAAACGAATCAGTGTGCCAAATCCTCAGCTCATAATACCAAATCCTCTGCTCATAATACCAAATTATTCCAATTCAAGCAAAATTAACCTGGGATTGGATAAAAATGCCTTTGTTGGCATCTTTTGATCAACTGGAATGGAATGCACTTATAAACCGGAATCTTTCCTTCTAGACAGAGCATGCAAGGTTCAAAGCAGCAAACAAGGGCGATTGTTTTGCGAGTTTAGTGCCACCCAGCTGCGTCAACTGCGGGGCGTTTACTGTAATTTTACTGAAAGTGATGGGTCTGAGGACAGTGGACATTGTTACTTCATGCCTAAACTTCAAACACTTCTGAGTGTTTTCAGGGAGTTTGCTAACTCACAGCATGGTAAGGAATACTCTGCTGACTGCTTTATTTATGGAACTGATATTTCATTTCCTCAGTGAAAACCAAAACAGAAGATTAGCAAAGTGGATATTTTTGCACTTCTTATCACAATTTGACATTTTCTTTTCTAAGATCTCTCCTGATTGTGTGCCAAACCTTCTTAAAATTTTAACCATGAGACTTTGTGTTAAATTTCGAAATATCCACTGCCCATGATTTTTCTTTCCTCTCAGCTCCTGTATATTTTGAATTGTAATGTTATTGTGAGGAGAAAATTTGTTTTGGTTTGCTCTTAGCAGTGAGAGGTGAAATGGAATAATAATAGTGGTACTAGTAATAAAAATATTGATGATAGTGACAGGGCCAAATTGATTACAATCATTATAGTAGGAAATTTAACAACAATAAAAATGATAATGATGATAACAACAACTATAATAATCTCTCAGGGGGAGATCAATATTCAGTAGCCATCTCCTCATTCCACCAAGAAATGTGAGGAACAACATCGTGGTTGAGGAACAAATCACGGGGACAAAAAGATCAAACATGGCTACATCTGCTACCCAGCTTCACCTTAAGGAAGATTAAGCCAATTGTTAAAAGTAATATTAATAAGAATAATCTTTTAGGTTTACTTTTGTTTTTTTGTCGATCCATACACACCAAATAACCAGCTTTAAAATTGGCTCTTTCTTGAAATTTGTTTCAAGGGTGATTTTGGATGTTACTCTGCAAAACAGCTTGGTGATCCTCAGTTTGGTTATTTTGCAGCATCTGAAGAGGAGAAGACCCTCTGTGCCATTGTGTTTGTTGAAAGACGATACACAGCACTGATCCTCAGCAAACAGCTTAACAAGGCAGCCGAACTAGATCATGAGCTCTCATTCATCAAAAGTGACTTTGTGATTGGTCACGGCACAGGTGCAAGGGTTAGCTACTCCAGTAACACAGAGATGAATTTTAAGAAACAGGAGGAAGTGCTGCGCAAGTTCAGAAATGACAAGAAAAGACATGAATTCAATGTGCTGATAGCCACCTCTGTTGTTGAGGAGGGATTAGATATTCCCAAGTGCAATGTTGTCTGCAGGTTTGATTTCCCAAAGAATTACCGCTCCTATGTACAGTCAAAGGGCAGAGCTCGTGCCAAAGGTTCCAGGTACTACATGCTGGTGGATGAAAAGGAGCAAGTGGAAAAAGAGAATGAATTGGAGGTACACATTTTAAAGTAATAAAGTCAGTAATAATCCATACCTACTCTGGTGATTGTCATTGATAATGTTTAGCTGAGGATACAGAGCACCAGACTGCTGTGTGGGAGATAGAAGGTTCGAACCCCAGACTGCCGACCAACACTCAGGGTCCTAGAATAACTGAGGACTGTGCTGCCTTTGTTAAGACATCTGCAAACAGTTAGACATTCTGGTCAACTTGTATAGGGATAGTAAGCCACAAGCCCCGTCTTCTGTTTCTCCTCTCTACTGGTTAGCAGGGGACGTTAAAGAACCCATGCATTTCTTGCAAAGAATAGGGAACATAGATGTCATTTTTATAGTCTGGCCTTTAGATTTTTTACACAGGCTGCCTTTTAAAGCAGCTTTAAGCTGAACTGTGAAAGCTGGTTTAAATATCATAAATAAATTCATAACCTGGTCGAATTATTGTAAGGAATGTTAATTCTTCTTAATGTTCATGACTTATTCCCTAGATGTTGCGTGCTATTGAGGAAATCTTGTTGGAAAGATGCCATGATCGGCTGGAGCCATCAGTGGAGGAGTGTAATGAGTCAGTAGACACAGATTTACTTCCGCCGTACATACCAGTAAATGGAAAGGGAGCAAGAGTAACAATGACCAGTAGTGTTGCTCTACTTTCAAAGTAAGTGCAAAGAATTTATTAACTTTGAATTGTGATGTAGTTCTAAATTTGAGATAATTGGTTGACTTGTGTATTGTTAAGTAATGTGATTGTAAAAAGGGAAGATGTGCTATGTATGGGGTAACAAACTTGGGCATCGATTGTGAAAAGGGGTGATTTCTATTCACTATGAGTATTGCTGTAAAGCTGGCTGTTTGCTTCCCTACAAACCTTAAGATCACCCAGTTCCTCACTGTTCTCCTTTTCTGAAGGCAAGTGCTAAAATTTACCACTTGTATTAACTCTTATTTTTCACTGAAATCACTTGGAATTCATGAAAATTCAGCGGGTAAAAGGATAAGTCTACCAGTTTGATAACTATTTTTACCTGTCAAGTTGAAAATAAGGGAGTACACTGCCTCTTTCAAAGCTCTTACACCACATCTACATAAAGTTATGCCCTTTTAAATTTTAACTCAGGGGTGTAGAATATTCTTATACTTAATATGGAGATGACCAATTACTTAAAATTACAAACTTTATAAAACTAGAATTATATCAATATTTCTACTTTTGTCTTTTCAGGTACTGTTCAAAGCTCCCAGGAGACCGGTTTACTCAGCCCAAGCCAGTTTACAAGGTTGAGGAAATTGGGAAATATCTTTACAGGTGTAAACTAACACTCCCAATAAACTGTCAACTACGTGATGATATAATAGTGAGTTTAGAGGACTTTTATTTTTTTTAAACTAAGACATAAAATTGTTATTATGGAAATTTGCCTATTTGCTCTGTCATTATCATTGGCTATTGATAAAGTTTATCTGCCTTCTGATTGGTTACGTAACCGCCTCCCGGTTAGCTCAATTGGTTAGAGCTCTGGACTGTTGTGTGGGAGGTCGAAGGTTCGAGCCCCAACCAGACCAACACTCACAAGGTCTTGAAATAAATGAGGAGAATGTGCTACCTTTCTATAATGTCAAGAAATGGATAGACATTCTAGTCTTCTCAGATAAGGACGAATAAACTGTAGGTCCCGTCTCCTACCTCTATTAATTAGTCAATTTGGTCAGGCAGGGGACGTTAAAGAACCCACTCACGAGATTACTGTGATGTGGTCTGGCCAGTTTACTGGGAATTGGGGGGGAGGGGGGTCTGCCCTTGTCATTGTTAACGCGGGATCCACTGTAATTGGCTAAAGCTGTAGTGGTCTCCCTGCCTTAGATCATTGGGCGAAGCTAAATAAATTAAATTACAAAATTACGTTATTGGTACTTTGGTTGTGATTTTGTGTCTCTCAATTCAACATTGCTCTAATTCTCTGTGCTAAGTTTCAAGCAGTTTGTTAGCTCTTGGAAATTAACCCTGTAACTCGCAAGATTCTAAAAGTAACTCTTCCTACTAACTGCTATACATTTCCTTGTAAATTGGAGAGGACAACATGATGTTACATTAAGACAACACCTTAACGCTGATGAACTTATATATTCTCATCACCTGTTCGCCATGTAACATATTGGAATTGCAAGGAGAAATTACATGTTAATCGCTTACTTGAGAACCATCTATGTCTGCGTTTCATCAGGGTGAACCAATGCTGAGTAAGAACCAAGCCAAGATGGCAGCCGCGCTCGAAGCCTGTAAACTGCTTCACAAGATTGGTGAGCTTGATGATGACCTGTTACCAAAGCGGACTTTATCTGACGAGGAAAGTGATTTGGAAGAAGAAGCAGCAGCTGAGTCTGGCGGAAAAAAACCAAAAGCTGGAACAAAGAAGAGAAGACGACGGTACAGGAGAAAGGTAAGCAGTTGAATTTCACAATTTTGGCCTGTGACTTACTCATTAAACTGTTTACTTATATATCTCAATGCAATGTCGTAGACAATGTCTAAGCATGAATTTGGCTGGTCAGTTAGAGGGTCTACCATTCCCTATGCTTATTCAAGTTTGGGTATGCTGTTGATTTACCAATTTCTTTTGAGCTTTAACAAACACGTTATTCGCTTCTAAAACGCCGTGACTTAGTGATCATGAAACCATGAAACCAGTGTTCGAATCCTCTCGTGGAACTCAATTTTCACCTTCGCTTCACGTTCTTGACAAATATTTACACCTTCTTTACCTAATGTTTTGTTGTTGCCCAGGTTCCTGAAGCATTTGTCGGCAGCTTGGTACAGGAAGGTCAGCCCCAGTTCCTCACGACCATCACCATACAAGTCACTAAACTTACTCAGCCACAAGAGTTTGTCGTTAGTGAGCGACTGTTCCTCAATGAAACTTGCACGTTTGGAATGCTGACAACGAAAAGAGTTCCTTGGGTTGGTACTTGATTATTAATATTTCATTATTTATCAGGCAACCTAATTCTGTAGGCCAATTTTCAATCCAGTGTCGCTCTGTGATTGGTCCAAAAAGCTTGCACCTTTCTTTCAGCCAATCAGCTGCAAAACTAAAACCAATCACGACTTGGTCGCCTGCGTTTTCCCGCGCTTTAGCCAGGTTGGTTGTTTTCATTTAACTCATTGGCTTCTAAAGGTCCACGATTGCAGCGTGTACCACTTCAACCGGTCTCACACACCACAAATGTTGACCTTCATCTTACAATGCAATTTTTTCACTCTTCAGATACGATCGTTCAAACTGTATCCTAACTATGGCGAAGTCACGGTATCCTTGCAGTGTCACAGCTCTCCTTTACGTGTAAACATCACTAAACAAGAGTTGGACATTCTTCGCCAGTTTCATCTCTTTCTCTTCAGTCACGTTCTACGCTCTCCCGTGGAATTCACACCAGGAAGTGTGGATGGTTACTTCGTTGTTATGTTGAAGGCTTCAGGAAGGAGTATTGACTTTGATTGTATGAGAGAGGAGCTTTCTTTCAAACAAAGCCGTGGAAGTCAGCCCATTGTCGTAGACGCATTAGTAACAAAGAACTACGTTGAATCTCCACAAAAGTACGCTGTTTTGAATGTTCGTGGCGATCTGACTCCGATGTCTCCGTTCCCGGAAAAGTCGCAGGGTAACACTTATGAAGAATATTTTCGCCTGAAATACAGAGAAAGGGGATGCATTGCGAACAAGCATCAACCACTTGTTGAAGTGAAAGAGCTCTCCGCTAGAGTGAATTTTCTAGTAGACCGAAAACAAGGAACAAAAAACAAGCGCGATGTGATTTGTCTTGTTCCAGAGTTGTGTGACCAGACTCCCATTCGCGCTTCTCTTCTAAGCGTGTCTCAGATTCTACCTTCTGTTCTTCAGCGTATCACCTCCCTCCTTCTCGTTGGTGATCTCAAGGCCATGGTTGCTGGTGTACGCGACACAACAGATGAATCAATTTTCCCTCCCATTGGAGCTGAAGAGGGCTTAAGAGAGGCGCCCATGGAGGTTGAAGGCGATGCTTTGGACCTGGAAGACGATGATGCACTTTTCTCCGACATCAGGTCGATGTTCCGTGACAGTCCACCATCTGCTGACCACCCCGACTCCTTTCTCGTTCTTCAAGCTATTACCACCACCCACAGCGTAGATGCATTTAATCTAGAGAGGCTGGAGATGCTTGGGGACTCATTTCTAAAGCTGGCCGTGTCCATTCATCTCTTCTGCACATACAGCGATAAAGACGAAGGCAAGCTGACCCGGCGTAAGAAAAACCAGATTAGTAATTTAGCTTTGTACCGAGCAGCGGCCAAGAAATCTCTGGGCGAGTATCTCCAGAGCACGCAGTTGGCTCGCAACGTTTGGTGTCCTACGGGATGTCAGTTTGGCGACGTACCACCGAATCGCACCACAGGTAGCCCAGCCATGGAAGTTGACAGCGGGGACACAGTCGAGGCAATGGAAGTTGACGAGACCTTAGAGAGGGGAAAGGAGACAAAACTTACTTCTACAGAGCATGCGCGCCAGAAATGCAACACTCAAACGATTGCGGACAAGTCCATAGCTGACAGCATCGAAGGACTGATCGGAGCGTATCTAATATCCTGTGGTTACCTTGGTGCGTTGCGATTTATGAAGTTTCTGGGGCTAAAAGTTTTACCTGAAATTGGGACCAACGACGGCAATGATTTGCAGGCGGAGAATAGCAAATCGGGTTGCTATGCTAGATTTTGGCCAGATCAGACAAAAATAACAGTTGCGCAAGGTAAAGGAGATATGGTTTTCCGCCTCACTTCTGGCCTGGAAAACTTTGAAAACGAATCAATCTCGTACACTTTCCAACAAAAGTTGTATTTGGTAGAGGCACTAAGTCATGCGTCTTACCACGAAAACCGTGTCACGCCAAGTTATGAAAGACTCGAGTTCCTCGGCGATGCCCTGCTGGACTTTTTGGTCACGCAACATTTGTACTTCCGTCACGTCAACTTGTCACCAGGTGAACTGACCGATATACGACAGGCCTTGGTGAATAATAACATCTTTGCCACCCTTGCCGTAGAACACAGATACCACAAGTATCTGAAGCATATGTCTCCAAAGTGGTTCCAAACAGTGAAGAACTTTATTGATAGAGTGGAAGATGAGGCAGAAGAGAGGAAAGATGACCAGCTTCAAACGGTAGGGTGAACTTTATTCTTTAATCCTTTACATCAGTTTTCTTATTCTCCATTCTGTCTTCCATACATTTCCTAAGGTGCTGACAAGGATAATTTGTTTAACAATCAAGAACCTCTTTAGTTGGTGATGGAGACGTTTCCTTTATTCTCGTGAACTTAACGTGTGATCCAGGGCTGTTTTAATAAGGAGAAATTAAGTGCTAATTATTCTCATGGACCAAAGCGTTAACGAATATTTTCTCCAGTTGATTTATTAGAAGTCTGTCTTTGACAGGTCACCGCTGACCCATTTATTATCGTGTCTGAAGAGGAAGAAGAAGGAATCGAGGCGCCTAAAGTTCTTGGTGACATCTTTGAATCAGTAGCAGGCGCGATATTTTTGGACAGCGGTATGGATTTGACTAAAACCTGGGGTGTGTACTACCGCATGATGAAACCCTACATCGGTAAGTTGGCCATCGCCACCCGCGAAGACCCCCCTCCCCACCTCTTGGGAAAAGTCTTATCAGTAGAAAGCTCCGAGGTTGTTTTTCTCGCAATAAGCTGGAAAAGGAGTGAGAATGAGTCAGAGAAAGTATACTCAGCATGGGGCATTCAACCCTCAAATCCAGAGTGAGAAGGAACGCCGTTGAATAACGAACCTAGAAAAAAATACTACAAATATTGATTGATATGAAGTTTTCAATTCAGATCATTACTCAGTGAACATACTGCGAAATCCCATCAGACATGTTTACAAGGAACCTGAACCTGGTGAAAAACACCGGAAAGATTGATTGATTTATGTTTTTTATTCAGATCATTACTCGGTGAACATACCGCGAAATCCCGTCAGACATGTCTACGAGAAAGACGAGAAGGCTGACTTTGGGTGAGTGTACAGTTCAAGGTTAAGATTTTTGATGGTTGGTTGACTCTCCCCGCATACGTCTCTGACTAACAGCACCAAAGGTGTTAATAATTTTAGAGCGTAATAGAGTGCATTTTTGCCAAGAACAACATCTATGGATTGCAGGAGCAGTCTTTAGAGAAATTGTGGCCGAGTACGGCGGATCTTTCCAAAAACATGGACATGCGCACGTGTAGAGTGCCAAAATAGTGTGGCATAACATGAAATTGTCAACATTATCCCTTGAAATAGGGAGATATTGAGAAAGATTACAAGAACTGCAGTTGTGGCGCGATTTAATCTAGCAGATTTTCATTTTTTTTTTTTCGTTTTCTCCAGGAAAGCGAAGACCCTTGAAGATGGTAAGATCCAGTGCACTCTGAGAGTGTACTGGGGAAAGTACAATGGAAAGGGATCGAACATGAAGATTGCTAAAGCTGCAGCAGCCAAGTTCGCTATTGAAGGGCTGAAAATGAAATACACTGCGGTATACGAGGAAGATTAAGACTCAGTGAAGGCTTGGAGGACATCAGTGTTGCGGCATGTTGCGGCAAAGGTGCTCCCTTAGATTTGTGTTGAGATAATGCTGTGGAACACTGTTGCAGTAATAAGAAGTAAATTTCTTTTGTGCCTATGATAATATTTGTACATTATCTTCCACAATGAACATCCCTTTCTAGGAGCCACGTTTATGTAGGTGACGTACCTTGAATGAATGGGAGTCGTTTAAGATTACTTTGTGTTACAAACGTCCCTTAAGTGTTGTGATTGACTTTCTCAGACACCGAGGACAGTGTAGACATTTGTCTAGAGACGTTTGCACTATTAATGCGGCTTTGAAATATTTTTTTATCTACAATTTGTCTTTTTGACAACTCCTGTTTTTAACTTGTGGGCGTCCCTAACAATTAAAAATATTTTTTTGTTTATTTTTTATCTATTGAATGACTCAATTTTTCTATTTTGTGGGCGTCAGGGCGTCGTTGCTAACAATTTGTGGAAAATAGAGAAAAATCGAAACAAACAAAAGAACAGTAAAAAATATCGCAAAAAAAAAATAATAGAAAACTCTGACAGCAATAACTATGAAAGTTCACCATAGCAGTGCTTTGGTATATGAGTTTGTAATTGATGAAGATAAAATTTTAGTTTCCTGGGAATCAGGCATTTCCTTTAAAGATTTATGTTTTTTACCAGTTTTAAGTGTGGCAAGAAGAGTACATGTAAGAATGCAAGACCGATTTTGGTAATCGTGATATGTGTTGCAGTTGTAAATAGTGTAGCTGAAATGAAATGGAAAGTTCTGTGTAAAATAACTACACATGAATGAGAGAATAAAGAAAAGCGCTGATGTTACATTCATGTGGGCTGTTTGTTATTACTCTTTAAAAAATGCCGCGTAATTCCGTAATAAATGGTAATTTTATTTAGCATGAATTTGCTTGAGTTTGTGTTACAAATGGCTTCGTTACTCGCTCTCCGTGACAGATGGTGAGCTAAGCTGTCATGGGAGGATAAGCGAGCATGTTCGCTTAAATTCTTCAGAGACCGAAATATGCTCTCACAGGAGGAACCCCAGTTTGGTTTCTGTATCTGATTAAAATTAACGCTTCTGCTATTTATCAACCGTGTGACTTTTATTCGTTACTTCCCAAAATATCTGTTGGTTTAAAATAACGATGTCGAAAGCCAACGTGGCGGACGTGCATTTCGTCTCAGTCCGTTGATACTTAACAGTGTCATAGCTACTTCGCCTGCGCAAAGTGAGAGGAAGTGAAAGCTTATGAAGCTTGAAAGAAATCTCTGTTTAAACTAGATGTGCATTTTTCCGATTACTCTAAACCGTGAAACGTACCTCTTTGTAGTTTTAAGTCTCTTTGTTTTAGTAGTCTGCACGCCGTTCGTCGCACAGTGTTGTATGTGTACTGTGAGCACAAGGTACTGTGCAGGACACTCTTTGCCAATGCTTGCCAGAAACAACTGTGAAACTAAGACGCCACTGATCTTGCTTTAAACATAAACCATTTTCACCATGCGTTGTCCCGCAAGTTTGAGGTTGTGTTCACTCAGGTACACACCTGAAAACGCAGCGCACATCCGAGTGTAAGACAATGCGTTTGCATGTTACATGTTCACTCGTGCGTTTTCTTAGGCACGTGATCTGCGTTTGAGTCAGTATTGCACGTGAACTTTGCTCTCAATGTTCTTTTTTTCACCATCGTTTGGTTAAGAAAACGTAGTCACTTTTGTTTGCATTAAGGAGAGAGAAATGCGGCAAATTTTCTCGACGACCTTGATTTTCCTGCTACATTAAGTAACAAGATTTCCGTACAGCCACATACTTCATTGTGCATACACCTCATGGATAAAGAAATCAATGGCAAAAATGATATATTGCCGCCTTGGGGAGTACGGCTCGTTTTATAACTGGGGGACTCTCGCAAATCACGATGGCAACGAGGACGTGGCAAAAAAAAAGAAATCTCATGGGCAGGACAATAGTTCAACACGTGCGTTTTTAACCTTGTCCATTTCTTAGCCGTCTTCTGCAAAACAACGTGAAATCACCAAAATTTATTAATCCAATTTCACTTTCTCCCTGTGAGAGACGAGAAAATCTCCTATTCTTAGCTCCTACATATTTGCTGCAGGGTTCGACCATTCCTCTGCCTCCCTCTATTCAATCTCCATAAGTTTCTGTGAAAGTTGTATGCGAGAAGATTGAAGAGAAAGTTAACGAGTGCGGAAGCCCCCACCACGAGAAAAGTTATCTTCATCATTTGTAATGCGCATCGGAACATATTTGTATGATATATGTACAATTTATAAAGGAACTGAGGGGCTACGAGCGCCATTGAAAAGTTGATTAATCACTCTCCTCCGGCTCGTGGTTTATAAATTTTCCGAGCTTTTCCGCCTGGGTCATTACGCCAGTAAACCGATAGAAAGTGCGATCTGTTGCTTAGATTTCTTTAGATAGAATTCTTTCTTCATTATTTTTATAAAGATAAAAAAGTTAGTGGAGTGTTAAAAGCCGCTCGAAACGTCAGAGTTTAAAATTCGTTATGGCGACTACATACTACTTGATCATCACCTTTGGGGTGATAAATATTAATTGGTCCTCAGTCATTGACGTCAATCCTTTCTTAGAATTTCCGTGGCACTTGGAATGAAATTCGCCGATATGTGTCTAACATGGAAGAGAAAACTCTAGCATAAACATGCAGCGTATTTATGGCAGAGCCATTTCGTAATACTTTGAATATCTTCTTGTACTGAGTGAAAATACCTTTGCCTTAAAAAAGGAGACAAAAAAATTAGTTCGTAACGTTATGAGAAGATTAACAAGATTCCAAAGGGCAAACTTTAGGCGTAACCTTTAGATTAAAGAGGTGTTCGCTGAAACACCGGTCACGGACTTACAGCTAAGTAGAGTGCCCAAAACTTTGGGAAAAAATATTCAATTATGCCCGAATTAAACATCGATCTTGTTTCCCTTGTAAAAATGCTTTCAAAGGTTTGCCCTCATGCTTCAAAAATTTCACGATTTCGAAAATTTTCCTGGAAACACTCTGCCTTCCTCTTATTATACAGAATACTTAACTGACTAACTGATATCATCAAGCGCCGAAAAATATGGAACGCTTTCTTTTTAAAATGAAAGATATATTTAAATAATCCATTTAATCAATATGCATGGTTGAGTTCCATAGTCAAATGAAACCACAATTTTCTTTTAGCGCGCGTGACATTGTTTGAGGAAAGTGTTACAACTCAAAGCCAGCCACGTGGAATATTTACATATCTTTTTTTTTTTTTTTAAATCTCTTGTTTGACGTAATCGTTGTTTTCCCGGATATTGATGCTTAGTACTTTCTAGGAAAACACAATAATGCCATGGCCGGTTTCCTGTTGTTCTGTGTTGTAGGTTTAATTAAGCGAATAACCAAATAAGGCAAGGTGTCAAAGAAATCGTGACATATCGTAATATTAATTTTGCTTAGCGAAGCATTTTCACTTTTTATCTTCGGCTGAGAATATTCCACCGTCGAAGAAAGTTTTTATTTTTTGGTGAAGGAATTATCAGGTAAGTGAATGCAATTTCTTGATCGGAGGCGATCAACTGTTTGTCCCTATTTCGACCACTCTAACAATTCCTATAATTTCCTTAATAACCTTCTGTGTCTGAATAAATTTCCCGGTTGAATCGCCCTTCTTTGTGAGAGGATTTCCAACGTAGGGCGTCGTAGTTTGAATTGACACTCAAGCTTTTTTCATCATTTGTAATTTTATTAAGTGAAACCATGGAAAAGGCTTCCGAAAGCAAAACAGGTGGAGAAACCGTTGAGAATTTTTCAGCTCGGCCGTATCAAGTGGAGCTTCTGGAGCGGGCGAAGAAAAGGAACACTATCGTATGTCTGGGCACGGGAACTGGCAAAACGTTTATAAGTGTCATGCTCATAAAAGAACTCGCTCATGAAGTAAGAGGAAACTATAAAGACGGCGGACGAAGAACTTTCTTCCTTGTAAATACAGGTATCTATGTATGTTTCGTCTTTTTGAGATCGGCTTTACCTTGGGGGAGTGGGTACGATATCTCAGCGCGGGTTGGGCCGGGGTCGTGAAAGGGGTACAGGGTAGTGGCAGTCCTCGCATACGGTTTAAATACAATTCAATGGAAATAGAGGAAATGATCATAGATCTTTCCTTGTTTTGGTCTGATTATGATATATTTGAACTTTCGATGCCAGAAATTAAAATATAAGATAGAGAATGTGGTTTACATTCTAGTAAAATCTTTATTTATTTAAAGAGGGTAGCACTTAATAGCCAAAAGGCTAATAAACTTGAGGCCCTTATAGAATACATATGATATTACTAATACAAATTTAGATATCAATAAGTAAAAATAAATACATTATTAAAGAATTAAAAGAACAGTTAAAAAATTAAAAGTCCTATGATAAAATCTAACATAAAGTAGATCTCAAGGATTAAATGACAGAGTCATGAAACTATAAAAAGGAACCTATTAAACTATAAAATGATTCAAATTCTGTTGACTTCTGAGAGAAAAATTGCCTTAAGGCATTTTTAAAACTTTGTACAGATGTCTTCTGTCATAAGGTGATAAGTAAACTGTTCCATAGTTGACATATGGTAACATTGAAAGTTTTGCCACCAACTAATTTACGTTTTAACTTTGGGCATACTAAGTTACAGTTTGCATTCCCAGTGTTACAAGAGTGAAGAACACTATTATATGTTAAAAGGCAAGTAATATACGCAAATGATTCTCCTCATAGTCTCTTAAATGCAATTAGACATTTGGAAATTTTAGCCTCCTCATGAAAAGATAACCAACTTAAATCATCCAATAATCTGACAGAAGAGACCTAAGAATCAGCATCCATAATAAGTCTAGCTGCATGCTTCTATAATCTCAGCGCTCTACCTAAAAGGTCCTTTTTACAATTGGTTCAAACAAGAGCAACTTAATTTAATACTGGTCTCATCATGCTCTCATAATATCAATGTCATTACTTCATGTGTTGAGAAAGTTTTTTACAAACATTTTCAACATAAGAAGAGAAATATGAAGTGTCTTTATATTGAGCAGATGATGTTAAAGTGGTATCATCAGCATATAGATCTATTTGGGAAGATAACCCATAGAAAAGCAAGTTGTTGATAAAAAGAATGAAAGACAATGGGTCCAGAATACTTCCCTAAGGGACACCTTGCTTAATCACAGAAGGTTCAGAGTCACTGCCATCAATAGAGACAACTTGCTGCCTGTTTATTAAATAGGATCAGAACCATGATGACGGGGTTTTAGCCACACTATAAGCCCCAAGCTTCATAAGTAGGATTTGATGTTCTTCCATGTCAAAGGTCTTTTGAAAATCAATCATTGTTAGAGCACTGATATGGTCTTTATTGAGATTAGTCAACTGATCAATGATCTTCCCCAAAGCAGTTTCAGAGCTGAGCTCCTTTCTAAATTTAGACTGACAATGGTCAGATAAGGTTGTTCTCAGACAGACTGGCATAGAAACAGTCATGGATATAACATTCAACCACTTTTGAAAGCACTGGAAGAACTGATAGTGGGAAATTGGAACGATCATCTGTTTTGCCACCTTTAAACAAAGGAGTGACTTTTGCTTTCTTCCATCACTTAAGGAACACTCCATTCTCAATGAAAATATTTCTAAGCCGGGCAACAGAAGGCACTATTTCAGGAGCTGCTATCCTCAATAAATGTGATCTGATACAATGAATACCAACAGCTTGATCAGGACTGATACTCAGAAAAATTGTTTTGACAATGGATGGTGTTACTGTAGGAACAGGAAATAGCACATAAGGGTGTTTTCTTGAATTGACAAAGTTGTGTAGGTTGTTAAAATTCCAGTTGGCACTTGGCAAAGTAGATCTTAAACTTCCAGCCGTGGATGCAAAATGTATGTTAAACAGATCGGCCATGCCTTCTGTGTCATCAATAATGCAGTCACCTTCTTTGAAGCAACTAACAGATTGTGCATTCTTTTTGTCAGCTGTTAAAGATTTAATTGTCTTCCACATTGACTTAGAATTGTTCTTGTTGGCATCAAAGGCATCATTAAAATATTCACATTTAGCATTACAAATGACTGTGACAGCTTTGTTTCTCTCAACTTTATTCTTTAGTCATCAGAAGAACACGAAATCCTTGCAGCTTTGAGATTAAGCTATCTCTGAAATGCAGTTGATCTAAAGTGGGTTTGGACATCCAAGGAACTTGTTGAAGCTGTTTCACACATTTCTTACGTCAAGGACAATGCTAGTCAAGCACTGAGTTAAATAAGGATTCCCAGGATTTGAGCATATAGTCTATATCACCGAACATAAACACTGTATTTCAAGGGGCCTGCCAGAGAGCTTATTTAAATTCGTCTTTTTCAAAGTCTTTCATGTTCTGTTATTCTGACTTCCTTTAGTTGAAAGGAGCTTGAGGATTCTAGAGGAATTCTACTCCCCTTGTAACTAACTTGTTCTTCCTTTTTTTCCAGTTCCACTAGCCGGCCAACAGGCAAAAGCAATCGCAAAACATACTGACTTGAAAGTCAGGCATTACGTTGGAGAGATGGGAGTAGATTTCTGGGACAAGCCCACTTGGGAAAATGAGTTCAATACATTCAACGTTTTGGTCATGACAGCTCAAATATTCCTCGACCTGCTGTTACATAGCTACATACTTCTTTCACAAGTGAATCTCCTAATCTTTGATGAATGCCACCACGCCAAGAAGAATCATCCTTACAGACAGATAATGCAGTGCTTCAGCAACTGCCCACAGCACCCATTACCCAAAGTTATGGGTTTAACTGCCTCAATAGTAAATGGAAAAGTAAAACCTAATAAAATTGAATCAGAGATCGAAGAGCTGGAACGCACTCTAAGATCTAGTTGTGAAACAAGTCAAGATAAAGATGTCAAAAAACATGCTGCTAAACCTGAAGAACTATTCCTTGTTTACCCAAGCAAGAGCACTGATGAAAACATGAACATTTTGAAGGAAAAACTGTCAGATGTCTTAACACAAGGAATTGGTCTTCTTTGCAACAATCGGGTGTCCAGCCATGATGCAAATGCACACTGGTATGCTAAGTTTGCCTTGAGGGAATGTAAGGAGACATTAGATGAATTGGGCCCTTGGGCTGCATTTAAAGTGGCGAAATACTTAATTAAGGATCTAGGTATGGTACAGTTTCAGTTTTAGAGATAAATGTAACTATGCCTCAAGTTCAAGTCAAGTTTTTAAAATCATAATACAGTCAACTTGAACCAAATATTAGTTTCCAAAATGAAGGGGAAAAATCTCGTGCCTCCATTTCCAAACATTTTGGCCACGTGGGATTGTTTTTAAATTTTGCTTTAAATCATTACACCCTAAAATCAGTATACATTTCTCCAAACTGTTCTCTATATATTTCATAAAGGTGCTGACAAGGAGAACTTGTTTAACAATCAAGAGCTTCTTTAGGTGGCAATCATTTCCTAAATTCTTGTTACCTTATTGGTTGATTCAGGCTGGCGTGATATTGTAAGAAGAAATTGGATGCTAGTCACTCTGAGGGTCAAAAAGTTCAACCTACAGAACAGAGATTGACTTAATGTTTATTGGAAAAGAATCAGAGTGTGCCAAACTCTCTGCTCATAAGACTGAATTATTCCAATTCAAGCAAAATTAACCTGAGATGGATAAAAATGCCTTTGTTGGCATCTTTTGATCAACTGGAATGGAATGCACTTATAAACCTTGATCTTTTCTTGTAGACAGAGCATGCAAGATTCAAAGCAGCAGAGAAGGACAAATGTTTTGTGAGTGTAGTGCCAACCAGCTGCATCAACTGCGAAGCACTTACTGTAATTTTACTGAAAGTGATGGGTCTGAGGACAGTGAACATTGTTACTTCATGCCTAAACTTGAAAAACTTCTGAGTGTTTTCAGGGAGTTTGCTAACTCACAGCATGAAGGTAAGGAATACTCTGCTGACTGCTTTATTTATGAAACTTACCTTTTTATCTCCTTCATGGAGACCAAAACAGAAGATAAGCAAAGTGGATATTTTTGCATTTCTTATCACAAGTTGACCCTTTCATACCTAAGATCTCTCCAAACCTTCCTAAAAATTTCAACCCTGAGACTCTGTGTTAAATTTCAAGACATCCACTGCCCATTATTTCTCTCTCTTCTTAGCTCCATCATATTTGAATTGTAATGTTATTGTGAGGAGAAATTTGTTTTGGTTTGCTCTTAGCAGTAAGAGGTGAAATGGAACCCTCTATCATAGTAACAGCAATAAAATCAATAATAATATTTGATGGCACTAATATTAATAGTAGTGGTGCTAATAAAAAAAGTATTGATGATAATAATAGCACCATAATGATTACAATTTTTATAGTAGGAAATTCAAAAACAAAAATGATGATAATAGCAACTATAATAATCTCTCAGGGGGAGATTAATATTTAGAGGACACTTTAAACTTCTGTAACCATCTCCTAATTCAATCAAGAAAAGGCTTTCAGTTGAAGAACAATCACAAGGTCAGAAGGATCAAACATGGCTACATCTGCTACCCAGCCTCACCTTAAGGAAGATTTAGCCAATTGTTAAAAATGATATTAATAATAATGATCTTGTAGGTTTATTTTTGTTTTTCTGTTAATCCCTACACACTCAAAAGACAGCTCTTAAATTGGATCTTTCTTGAAATCTGTTTTCTGAATTCAATGTGCAAGAGTGGTTGTTGAATGCCACTCTGCAAAACAGCTTGGTGATCCCCAGTTTGGTTATTTTGCAGCATCTGAAGAGGAGAAGACCCTCTGTGCCATTGTGTTTGTTGAAAGACGATACACAGCACTGATCCTCAGAACAGCTTAACATGGCTGCCAAACTAGATCAGGAGCTCTCATTCATCAAAAGTGACTTTGTGATTGGTCACGGCACAGGTGCAAAGGTTAACTACTCCAGTAATGCAGAGATGAATTTTAAGAAACAGGAGGAAGTGTTGCGCAAGTTCAGAAATGACAAGAAAAGACATGAATTCAATGTGCTGGTAGCCACCTCTGTTGTTGAGGAGGGATTAGATATTCCCAAGTGCAATGTTGTCTGCAGGTTTGATTTCCCACAGAATTATCGTTCCTATGTACAGTCAAAGGGCAGAGCTCGTGCCAAAGGTTCCAAGTACTACATGCTGGTGGATGAAAAGGAGAAAGTGGAAAAAGAGAATGAATTGGAGGTACATTTTTTAATGTAATAAAGTCAGTAAAAATCCATACCTATCCTGTATTTTGGTGATTGTCATTGATAATGTTTAGCAGAGGTTGTAGAGCACCAGACTGTGGTGTGGGAGGTTGAGGGTTCAAGCTCCAGACTGCAAACCAACACTCAGGGTCTTAGAATAACTGAGAAGTGTGCTGCCTTTGCTAAGACATCTGCAAATAGTTAGACATTCTAGTCAACTCGGAAAAGGATAATAAGCCGTAAGCCTCATCTCCTCTGTAATGATTGGCAGGGGACATTAAGGAAACCATGCATTTCTCCCAAAGAATAGGGAATGTAGATGTCAGTCATAGTCTGGCCTTTTAGATTGTTTATACAGGCTGCCATTTAAACCAGCTTTAAGCTGGGCTGGGAAAGTTGGTTTGAATATTGCAAATAAACACATATCAGTAACCTGAGTGAATGACAGTAACAAATGTATACTCTTAGGAAGCTTTTTAAAAATGACTTATACCCTAGATGTTGCGTGCAATTGAGGAAATCTTGTTGGAAAGATGCCATGATCGGTTGGAGCCATCAGTGGAGGAGTGTAATGAATCAGTAGACACAGATTTCTTGCCGCCGTACATACCGGTAAATGGCAAGGGAGCTAGAGTAACTATGAGCAGTAGTGTTTCTCTACTTTCAAAGTAAGTGCAATGAATTTATTAACTTCCGATTTTGAGGTAGTTTTAAATTTAAGATTATGGGTTGAGTTGTTTATTGTTGAGTAATGTAAGTGTAAAAAAGGAAGATGTGCCATTTATGGGTAACAAACTTGGGCTCCTCCTTGTGAAGGGGTGATTTGTATTTACCACATGTATTGCTGTAAAGCCAGCTGCTTGCTTCCCCACAAAACTCAAGATCACTCAGTAGCATCAATAAACGGATTAATAATCGACAGCTCTCCATTGTTCTCATTTTCTGGAGGCAACTGGTACAATTTACTGCTTGTATTACCTCTTATTTTTCACCAAAAATCACTTGAAATTTGTGAAACTTCTGCAGGTAAAAGGATAAGTCTACCAGTTTCATGACTTTTTTTGTACCTGTTGAGTTCAAATTAAGGGATTACACTGCCTCTTTAAAAGCTCTTACACCACATTAACATAAAAGTTATGCTCTTTTAAATTTTAACTCAGGGTCTTATATTTAATATAGAGAAGATTAATTACTTATTATAAACTTTATAAACCTAGAATTATAACAATATTTCTACTTTTGTCATATCAGGTACTGTTCAAAGCTTCCAGGAGACCGGTTTACTCGGCCCAAGCCAGTTTACAAGGTCAAAGAAATTGGAAAAGATGGTTACAAGTGTAAACTAACACTTCCAAGAAACTGTCCAATACGTAAAGATATAATAGTGAGTTTGGAGGACTTCTCTTTTTTTAAATAAAGAAATAAAAAACCTACCACAGAAATATGCTTATTTTCACTGTCATTCTCATTGGCTATTGATAATGTTTATCTGTCTTCTGATTGGTTATTGGTACTCTGGTTTTGGTTTTGTGTCTCTCAATTCAAAACTGCTCTCATTCTTTGAACCAAGTTTCAAGGAAAAGCATTGTAATTTAGCACGAGAATTGTTTGTTAGCTCTTGGGAATTACCCCAGTAACTCCAAGGTCCTGCAAGCAATTTTCCCTACTAACTGCCATACATTTCCTTGTAAATTAGAGAGGAGAATATGGTTTTATATCAAGACAACACCTTAAAGGTGATAAACTTATAGGTTCTCATAACCTGTTTGCAATGCAAGATATTGGAATTACAAGGAGAAATTACATGTAAATCGCTCACATCAGAATCATCTCTCTCTGCATTTCATCAGGGTGAACCAATGCCAAGTAAGAGCCAAGCCAAGATGGTCGCTGCGCTCAGAGCCTGTGAGCTGCTTCACAAGATTGGTGAACTTGATGATGACCTGTTACCAAAGCAGACTTTATCTGACGAGGAAAGTGATTTGGAAGAAGAAGAAGCTGCAGCTGAGTCCGGCAGAAAGAAACCAAAAGCTGGAACAAAGAAGAGAAGACGACAGTATATGAGAAAGGTAAATGGTTGAATGTCACAAATTTGGCCTGTGACTTACACTTACATATTAGACTGTTAACTTATATTTCAGTACAATGTTACTCAAAATGAACTGTCTATGCATAAATTTGGTCAGTCAGCTAGAGGGTCTGCCTCTTCCTGAATAATTTTTATTGGCCCCGTTCTCATCAAATTACAGTCAGTGTAAAACCAAGGTTAACGCAGACTGAGGGTAAAATGCAGACTGAAGACTACAGACCAGGGTTAAAATGCAGACTTGGTTCTTTAGTTGAAATTTATGAACATTTCTGGTTTCTCTACATCATTAAACTTAAAAGGAACTTGAGACTTCTGTTTGCTAGGTTTTTTTCAATTTAGGGAAGACTCTGCCATTTTTCCAATGAATAAAAATACATCACAGCAAAATTAAATTTCCGAAGTAACCCTTGTAAGCCAACAAGAAGCCCAACATAGGTAAAGTTGACCATCATAGCTGCAGATTTACCTCAGGTTCAAACTGAAGTGAAACACCAAGCGGAATAAGAGAGGCAAACATCTGGGCCAGGTTGTTCAAAGCTAGGTTAAGATAACCCAGGGTTAGCGTGAAATCTGACCTCAAATCTGAAAGCTTGAAAGGCATACTCAGTATATTTATTTTTGCCTACAATTTGATGCTTGGGTGTTCTAAAAAGAATTGAAGAAATTATCTGAAATTGGCCTTTGAAGAAGGGACTAAAGAAACCCAGATTAAAACTCAGTAACCCCGGGTTAGCGCTAATCGGCCTTCGAACAATTGGGCGCTGGGGATCTTGTTTGGAGGTTTTTTATTAGATCCTTATCTCGCACCCACAAATTTGCATTAAATTCAAATAATTTGCACGCCTAACTTCGCAACGCAAAACAAAGGTGCGAGAAAAAGGTTTTAATTTTCCAAGTAATCGAAACTGCCGATGTGTGATGAAAGTCTATCGCTTCTACTTTCAAGGCCAAACAAAGTATACATGAGCTACATGTATGTTAAAGCTATCTTACGTTGCTCAGTAGAAGTGTTTATTCCTTAACATGGGAAATGTATTAAGCTGGCTGTGAACTGCATATTCAAACACTTCAATTTCTCGTTCTTACCTTAAAACAAAATGTCAACGCCAAAACCATCTGAGGAAATCAATCGCAGTGACAATTATTGCCAGGTTCTCACGACTTACGCGGCCTCGAACCAGCTCACTCTTGAAACTCTTTTCCGGGGAAGCGGGCGGTTTTTTCGAACCAAGTCTGCATTTTACCCTGTTCTGCAGTCTTCAGTCTACATTTAACCCTCAGTCTGCACTTTAACCCCGTTCTGTAGTCTGTAGTCTGTAGTCTGTAGTCTGCGTTTTACACTGACCGACCCAATGGTAGCCAACCCAGTGATCAAACGTCGGGCATGCGTGAGGGGATCAATCCCGGCCGGTCATGAGCTAATTTCCCGCGCGAAATTTGAAAGGAAAACATAAGAAGCAACCGCAGTCTCGCAAAATAAGTGACAGAAAATTGAAAGAAAAAATGAGAAAAGGAAAACTTGAGACTTTTCAATCTCTAAGTTTATTCAAGTACGGATATCCAGTGAATTTACCATTCTTTTTTTAGCTTTAATAAAAAAAAGTTATTCGCTTCTAAAACCCCGTGACTTAGTGACTTGGGGGGTGTTTGTAATTCGAGTGAGACAACTTAGTTCTGACAGCCCTGAAAGCATGGGACTTAGTCATCACAACGTTCGCACATGCGTAGACGTTTGACCTCTGTGTTGGTGCGGCCGAGGTAAGACCCAGTCCGCTTTTATCGTAAAACATTGTGTTAGTCCATGCGCGGTGGGGTGGGCGGGGTCGGAAAAAGCTCTACGACGGTGCATATGGCCTCGCCAGGTGCGAGCTGAAAAAAGGAAGGAGGAATGAAGGAGAGCGGCTATCATATGATGAAATGCTTATTGGTTGATTTAAGCCGGGCCGCAGGGAAAAATATTTCTTTCTTGGTCATGACATACGCACGTTGCTGTGCTTGGTTCATAACTACTTAGGACCGAGAGCAAAATACTCTCCAATTCGGCCCTCTCACTCAGCCAATTAGCATATACTATTGCAACCTCGTTCCCAGGGCCTTTTCCCTTAGTTAGGGGTGGAGTTGGGGGAGGGGAAAAGGCCCTGGGAACGAGGTTGATACTATGGCACCCTATTGCACCCCAGATTACCCCAAAGATTTCGTATGACTGAGTATACAACTTATTTTCTGTAGCGCTGTTGGCAGAGCGTTCGACCATGAAACCCATGCTCGAATCCCAACGTTGAGCGCAAGTTTCTCCCTCGGTTCATGCTCTTGACAAAATATTTACACCTTCTTTACCTGGCCCCGGTTGTTCTGAGGTTGGATACCACTATCCACCGGATAAAACTCTATCCGGTGGATAACGCAGTATGTTTTGCTATCACTTATCGGCTGGATAGCGATTTATCCGTTGGATAGCGTTATCCGCCCTTGACACTACTTAGCCCTGATGTTTTGTTCTTGCCCAGGTTCCTGAAGTATTTGTCAGCAGCTTGGTACAGGATGGTCAGCCCCAGTTCCTCACGACTATCACCATACAAGTCACTAAACTTACTCAGCCACAAGAATTTGTCGTTAGTAAGCCACTGTTCCTCGATAAAACTTGCACGTTTGGAATGCTGACAACGAAAAGAGTTCCTTGGGTTAGTACTTTATTATTAATATTTCATTTGTTGTCAGGTAACCGAATTCTGTTGAGCAATTGTCAATCCAGTGTCGCTCTGTGATTGGTCCAGAAAACTTGAACCTCTCTTTCAGCCAATCAGCTGCAAAACTAAAACCAATCACGACTTGATCGCCTGCATTTTCCCGCGCTTTAGGCAGTTTGGTTGTTTTACTTTGAATTCTCACTAGCTACTAAAGGTCCCCAATTAAAACATATACCACTTTTACCACACACACTATCAAGGACCTCGCAGTTTAAAATAGGAACGATTCTTACTTTGTAGGACACTGAGAGTGCGTAGTAACAGGCAGTCAGTTTTTTTGACCTGTAAACCCTTGCAACAGTCGGCCCTTCGTAAAATAACAGTTATGAGGTTCTGTTCCTTAAACGATAAGACTTGCTCCAAATATTGATCTGAATTAGGGTTTGACTGCAGATGTTGCCCTACATTTTACAATGAAATTTTTTCACTCTTCAGATACGATCGTTCAAACTGTATCCTAACTATGGCGAAGTCACAGTATCCTTGCAGTGTCACAGATCTCCTTTGCGTGTAAACATCACTAAACAAGAGTTAAACATTCTTCGCAAGTTTCATCTCTTTCTCTTCAGTCACGTTCTATGCTCTCCCGTGGAATTCACACCAGGAAGTGTGGATGGTTACTTCATTGTTATGTTGAAGGCTTCAGGAAGGAGTATTGACTTTGATTGCATGAGAGAAGAGCTTTCGCGTGCACCCAGACAAAGCCGTGGAAATCAGCCCATCGTCGTAGACTCAGTGGTAAGAAAAAACTACGTTGAATCTCCACAAAAGTACGCTGTTTTGAATGTTCGTGGCGATCTGACTCCGATGTCTCCGTTCCCAGAAAAGTCGCAGGGCAACACTTATGAAGAATATTTTCGCCTTAAATACGGAGAAAGGGGATGCATTGCGAACAAGCATCAACCTCTTGTTGAAGTGAAAGAGCTCTCCGCTAGAGTGAATTTTCTTGTGGACCAAAAACGAGGAACAAAAAACAAGCGAGATGTGATTTGTCTTGTTCCAGAGTTGTGTGACGATATTCCCATTCGCGCTTCCCTTCTCAGCGTGTCTCAGATTCTACCATCTATTCTTCAGCGTGTCACCTCCCTCCTTCTCGTTGTCGATCTCAAGGCCATGGTTGCTGGTGTACGCAACACAACAGATGAATCAACCCTTCCTCCCATTGGAGCTGAAGAGGGCTCAAGAGAAGCGCCCATGAAGGCTGAAGACGATACTTGGGACCCTGAAAAAGATGATGCGCTTTTCCCCGGCATCAGGTCAATGTTCCCTCACAGTCCACCATCTGCTAACCACCCCGACTCCTTTCTCGTTCTTCAAGCTATTACCACCACCCACAGCGGAGATGCATTTAATCTGGAGAGGCTGGAGATGCTGGGAGACTCATTTCTGAAGCTGGCCGTGTCTATTCATCTCTTCTGCGCATACAGCGATAAAGACGAAGGCAAGCTGACCCGACGTAGGACAAACCAGATTAGTAATTTAGCGTTGTACCGAGCAGCGGCTAAGAAATCTCTGGGCGAGTATCTCCAGAACACGCAGTTGGCTCGCGAAGTTTGGTGTCCTATGGGATGTCAGTTTGGCGACATACCACCGAATCGCACCACAGGTAGTCCACCCATGGAAGTTGACAGCTGGGACACGGTCGAGGCGATGGAAGTTGACGAGACCTCAGAGAGTGGAAAGAAGACAAAACTTACTGCTACAGAGCATGCGCGCCAGAAATGCAACACTCAAATGATAGCGGACAAGTCCATAGCTGACAGCATCGAAGGACTTATCGGAGCGTATCTAATATCCTGTGGTTATCTTGGCGCGTTGCGATTTATGAAGTTTCTGGGGCTAAAAGTTTTACCTGAAGTTGACGTCAACGTCGACATTGATCCGCGGGCGGAGAATAGTAAATCGGGTTGCTATGCTAGATTTTGGCCGGATCAGACAAAAATGACAGCAGCGCAAGATAAAGGAGATATGGTTTTCCGCCTCACTTCTGGCCTGGAAAACTTTGAAAACGAATCAATCTCGTACAATTTCCAGCACAAGTTGTATTTGGTAGAAGCGCTAACCCACGCGTCCTACCACGAAAACCGTGTCACGCCAAGTTACGAAAGACTCGAGTTCCTCGGCGATGCTCTGTTGGACTTTTTGGTCACGCAACATTTATACTTCCGTCACGTCAACTTGTCACCAGGGGAACTGACCGATATACGACAGGCCTTGGTGAACAATAACATCTTTGCCACCCTTGCCGTAAAACACAGCTACCACAAGTATCTGAAGCATATGTCTCCAAAGTGGTTCCAAACGGTGAAGAACTTTGTTGACAGAGTAGAAGATGAGGCAGAAGAGAGGAAAGACAATGGCCTTCAAACGGTAGGGTGAACTTTATTCTTTAATCCTTTACTTCAGTTTTCTTATTCTCCATTCTGTCCTCCTTACATTTCCTAAGGTGCTGACAAGGAGAATTTGTTGAACAATCAAGAGCTTCTTTAGTTGGTGATGGAGACGTTTCCTTTATTCTCGTGACCTTAGCATGTGATTCAGGGCTGATATCGTAAGGAGAAATTAGGTGCTAATTACTCTCATGGGCCAGAGGGTTAATGAATATTTTCTCCAGTTGATTTATAAGGTATGTTTCTTTGTTAACAATTATTTGGCAGGTCACCGCTGACCCATTTATTATCGTGTCTGAAGAAGAAGAAGGAATCGAGGCGCCTAAAGTTCTTGGTGACATCTTTGAATCAGTAGCAGGCGCGATATTTTTGGACAGTGGTATGGATTTGACTAAAACCTGGGGTGTGTACTACCGCATGATGAAACCCTACATCGGTAAGTTGGCTATCGCACCCACGAGGGTGGATCAACCTCCCATCCTTAAAAGCCTTATCAGCAGAGAGCTCCGAAGTTTTTTTCGCAATAAGCAAGGAAAGGAGTGAGAATGAGTCAGAGAAAGTATATTCAGCATGGAGTTTAAGAATTCAACCCTAGCTATCAACTCCAAAGTGTAAAGGAAGGCACTTGAATAACGAACCTAGAGGAAAGCACTAGAAATATTCATTGATATGATTTTTCTATTCAGATCATTACTCAGTGAACATACCGCGAAATCCCATCAGACTTGTCTACGAGGAAGACGAGAAGGCTGACTTTGGGTGAGTGTACAGTTCAGTACAGTTATGCCGGGTTGGTTGACTCTCCCTGCATACGTCTCAGACTAACTGCCCTAAAGGTGAAAACAATTTTAGAGGGTAATGGACTGCATTTTTTCCAAAAACGATATTTATGAACTGTGGAAGCAGTCTTTAAAAAAAATTGTTCATTAAAGTGTGGCAGAGTTCGGGAGACCTTTCCAAAAACATGGGCAAAAATAGTGTGGCGCAACATGAAATTTTCAACATTATATCTCGAGATAGGGAGATATTGAGAAAGATTACACAGAATTTCGGCAGTGGCTCGGTTTTATTTACCAAATTGCATGATCTTACTCTTACAAAAAAGTTCACTTGTCCGCTCATAATCTGTACACCAGTCAGTAAAGTATTGAAAAGGGCGAATGACAACACGCGCATGAGAGTGGCCGCATAAGGTTTACGTAACGCCAAGCGTTACTTGCTTTTTCAGGCGCGTCTTCTGGCGTGCGTTACTTTCATCTCGCGCGTATAACGAGTCAAAGAGGCCTTGTTTGCCAGTCGGCTATCAAACAATGAGTTCTTGATCACGAATTTTCATGTTTTTTGTTTTGCTTTGTTTTCTCTAGGAAAGCGGAGACCCTTGATGATGGAAAGATTCAGCTTACTCTGAGAGTGTACTGGGGAGAGTACACTGGAAAAGGACCGAATAAGAAGATTGCTAAAGCTACAGCCGCCAAGCTTGCTATTGAAGGACTGGAAAAGAAATCTTCAGAAGAGAACGCTGCGGTATATATTAGGCAGTTCGCAGAACCACATCAGCATAAGACTCGAAAGCGAAAACTCAACGAATTATTTACAGGTATTTCAATGAAAATCCATAAATGTTCCAGTAATCAAGCCGAGTAAACATCCAGTTAGGCAATAAGGAACCTTTAACGAGCGAAATTACAATACACACAAAATACGATGGAACTTACCGACTGTTTCTATTTTAGAGTGACCGTAACTCAACAATTTTGGTTAGCAAGACATGCCAGTACAAACACGCGACTAGTTCGTTTTCGACAAAGCACATGGCCGATGTCCCGGATGTTGACGTCAAACTTCAGGCACGCAACAGGAGCTACAGTATACGAGGAAGATTAAGTTTCAGTGTGGGCTTGGAGGACATCAATATTGAGGCAAAGTGCTTTCTTAGATTTGTGTTGTTGAGATAATGCTGTGGAACACTGTTCATAGGAAGTAGGTTTTCGTATGTGCCTATGCTTATTAATGTGTATTACCTTCCGCTATGAGCATTCCTCTCTAGGAGCTACATTTATGTAGGTGACGTACCTTGAATGAATGGGAGTCGTTTAAGATTACTTTGTTTACCACTGTCCCTTAAGTGTTGTCATTGACTTTCTCAGACATCGACATTTGTCTAGACGTTTACATTATAAATACGGCTTTGAAATATTTTGTATATACAGTTTGTCTTTTAACTAACTTTTGTTTTTAACTGGAGGGTGTCCATGACAATTCAAAAGATTTCTATTTACTTTTTATATGTTAAATGACTCTTGCTTTTATCTTGTGGGCGTCAGGGCATCTTCGCTAACAATTTACGGAAAAGAGAGAAAACCCGAACTAAGCAAAAGAACAGCAAAACAAATCGGACGAAAAACAGAAAACTCTGAAAGCAACAACGTTAAAAGAAGTAGTGATTTGGTATATGAGTTTAGTGGATGAAGATAAAATTTTAGTTATAAAATCGCTTCAAGAGAATCAGGCATTTCTTTTTAAAGATTTTTTTACCAATTTTAAGTGCAGCATGTAAGAATGCAAGACCGATTTTGGTAATCGCGATATGTGTTTTCGTTGTAAGTAGTGTTATTGAAATAAAATGGAAAGTCTTGTGTAAAATAACTATACATATATGAGAAACCTCCTAAACAAAGCCGCCTAATTCCGTAATAAATAATAATTTTAATTAGCATAAATTTGCTTGAGTTTGTATTACAAATGGCTACGTTACTCGCTCCGTGACAGATAGTGAGCTAAGCCGCTGTCATAGGAGGATAAGCTCTCACAGGTCGAACCCCAGTTTGGTTTCTGCACCAAATTAAAATTATCGCTTCTGCTATGTATCAACTATGTGACCTATTATTCCTTACTTCCTTAAAAATCTATTGGTTGAAAATAACAAAGTCGTTCACTAACATGGCGGACGTGCCTTTGTCTCAAGCATAAGAGTTCGTCAGATACTTAGCAGTGTCATAGCTACTTCGCTTGCGCAAAGTGAGAAGAAGTGAAAGTCTATGTAGCTTGAGAGAAATCTCTGTTTAAACTGGATGTACATTTTTCTGATTATTCTAAACCGTGAAACGTACCTCTTTGTAGTTAGAAGTTTGTTTCTTTTAGAAGTCAGCACACCGTTCGTTCGTTGCATAGTGTTACATGGGTACTATGAGCACCAGGTAATGTGCAGGACACTCTTTGCCAATGCTTGCCAGAAACAACTGTACAAGACGCCGTCTTGCTTTAAACTTAAGCCATTTTCACCATGCGTTGTCTCTCAAGTTTGAATTTGTGTTCACTCAGGTTCACGCCTGTGAATGCAGGCGCACATGCCTTTGTGAGAACGTCATTGTCTGTAAGCGATACGGATTTTTCAGTGTTTTAGCAGCCATAATCCAAAAAAATTCCGACAAACCGTGACGACCTTGGATTGAGAATGGTGAGGGCTTTGCCGTTCATTCAACAATCTGACCGAGTGGCGCGAAGGGCGAGTTTGCTGCCGACGCATCCATCGGAAAATCATCGCGCACGACGGAATGGCAATCGCCAAACATGATGCTACAGTGAGATGGCTGTGCGATACAAGGCTCTCTGCGACATACGATGACGAAAGTACCATGGACATCACCCAAAATGTTATTATAACCGCATACGTTTTCTTGATAGTCACAACCTCCGTGTGCCGCATGGCCAGTTTTAAAGCGAAGAGACGGTCAGAGCTTATGGCAGTCGCAGTCCATAAGGATACAGGCCCCAGCGTGTAACCCACAATAAACGTGGTGGTCTCTTCGACCCGGCATAAGTTCCAATCTTGGTGGATAACGAACAGCAGATAGACGACGTCCAGCGGCTCTAAAAGAGGCCCAACTAAAAGACATGTGTCCCCAAATTGCAACCTAAGATTTTGATCCTTTAAGAACCATAGAAATTTCTGAGTCTTCATTCCAGCAGTAAACGGATTAATTTGGGTGAACAGATCCCTCTGGTGACAGATCAGTACTGCAGATCATGTTGCTAAACGATTCAGTCGTAGACAAATTAAGGACTTAATTAATAAAATTTTGTACTTAAATTGAAATGCGGTTTCCACCAGAGACAGTCAAAACTTTTCTTGTTTCATCGATAACTCCCTTAACAAACTTTCAGACCATCAGTCAAATACTCAGTTTGCGAGAAGAGTCACAGTAAATCAAAACATTTATGGAGGGGAATCATAAGAGAAAAAAGAAAGAACAAAATAAACCTTTCGAAATCGCAGACATTTTTCAATAGTTAGGATGCTCTGAATGAATGGCTTTACCGACATCTTCACTCTCCCCCCCACCTTACTTGGGCAATAATTAGCTCCCAAAACAACCGTTTTAAAAGCAGTTGTTTATACTGGCTGCCCTGTGTTTACATTATAAACTAAATGAATCCTCTTGAGCAGAGAGGAATTTCCTCTGGCTAACCGTATTGCGGTCACGCATTTCTGTACACGCACGAGTTCACTGTGCACTAGAATGATTATGATCGCCAGGCAATCAATTTTCCACACTCGGCTCTTTAGGAAACCTACAATCAAACCGTTGCAAAGAAAGACCCTTGTACGGTCGCCCATAGAGGGGGTCGCGCGTTAAATGAAAAATTATCGCGCGATAAATGAGAAACTTGTTAGGTAGTACGTGATCGGCTGTCACGCACGTTGTTTCCGAGGACAAGATGGCAATGGCTGCAACAGTTGGAAAGTTCTTTCTTAGTCCATAAATTTCAAACCTGCAATGTGATCAGAAAGATTAGATAATCCACACTTGTTCTCAGACACTGACAGCCATCTTTGAAAGTGTCTCGTAAGATTTCGCAAAATCAAGGTTTACTGTACTGATTCACAGAGGTGTGTGTCGTAGAAGTATATTAGAAAGTACTGTACTAAATGATCTTTTCATGAAATTAAAACGCACTATTGTAAACATACCTACGGTGATACCTCCTCAACTGTGGCAGCCATTACCGTCCGCGGAAACAACGTGCGTGACAGCCAAACACGTGCGACCTCACAAGTTTCCCATTTATAGCGCGATAATTTTTCATTTATGGCGCGATAATTTATCATGTATCGCGCGTTAAAAAAATGTGGCATGTCCTCTATGGGCCACCGTACCCTTGCCTCTACGTAAATATTACTAAATTTATTTCAAAGTTATTAGGCAGGAAATATTTCCAACACATTGGTCCCGGAAGTTTTATACAAAGCTTTTTAGCTGTTAAAACTGCTGCAAACTGACGGTTGAGAAGGATGCTCTCAGTAAACTCTCTTTAGCAATTAAGGTATTGATCTGTTTGTTCAGCCCGAGGGAGCTCTGGAATAACATGTTGAAGTGGAAAACGTCTCTTTTCGGATGAAATAACTACGAAACACAGTTTTAAAGTCGGGTTCATACAACGGTAAAAAAAGTTTGAGACATAAGCACTTCTAAGCGAATGACTATGCAAGATTTTTATCCGGTCAAAGTCCAGTTTCGTTTTTTACAGTGTTTTGTGGTTTGAGCTCTCCTTTTGGTTGATTCAAGACTTAAAGCATTTGCCACTGAACCATGGTGAAGTTGGAACTCGACACGAATCAGTCGCACACACAGCGAAGAAGGGAGAAAAAAAAATAATTAAATGACCTTTGACCCTTAGATTAGATTTCGCCCAAGTTCGCCTTTTATATCTCTGGCTCACCCCTGCACGACCTGTGTCGGCTTCCTGGTCCTGAACTGTAAATTGTTTGTAAATGGCTACTGGAAGAGAGCGGTAGTGCCAGTCCCTTGTATTATCCGTGGTTGTTGTGCTATATTCGAACAATTAAAGAGAGATAGCGGCTTTTTTTGACGAGGTTATTCTCATAGAATATTAGGAGGCTGAGTGAAAGCAGTTCAAAATTAAGTTTTTGAGCCTTTCCCGCTACTTTGATTTGTTACAATGGTCTAAAATAAGCTGGAGATCAATAGTAAGGTGTCCATAATCGAACGCTATCGCTCGCGGCATGCTTCGTCACCAGCTCTCAGTCTTACAAATTAAATGCCGCCCTCGTTGATTTTCTTGTTATGATTTGTTCTCACTTAGACTGGTTCTTTATTCATTGTTTTTATAAAGATTAAAAGAATTAGAGGAATGTTAAAAGTGGCTCGAAACATCAGAGTTTAAAAATTCGTTACGACGACTTCATACTTCATCAGCTTTGGAGTGTTAAATATAAATAGGTCCTCAGTGATTGACGTCAATCCTTTTCTCAGAATTTCCGTGGCACTTGGAATAAAATGGCAGAAATGGGTTCAACACAAAAGAGAAAAATCCAGTATAAATATGCAGCTTTTCTATGGCACTGCTATTTCCTAATAATTTGAGTATCTTCTTGTACCGAGTAAAACAACCTTTGCCTTCAAAAAGGAGACAAACAAATTAGTTCGTAACGTAACGTAACGTGTAACATGAGAAGTTTACTAGATTCCAAATGGCAAACTTTTGGCGTAACCCTTAAGGTTAAGGAGGCGTTCGCAGAAGCACCGGTCACCCGTTTGGACTTACAGCTGTGTAGAGTTCTTAAAAGTTTGGGAATAAATATTCAAGTATGCCCGAATTAACCATCGATCTTGTTTCCCTTGCAAAAAAACTTTTCCTTCTCGCTTATTAAAAAAAATTTCACGATTTTGAAAATTTCCTTGGGAAAATTCTGCCCTCTATTTACCATAGTGAATAGTTAACTGACATCATCAAGCACCAAAAAAATATGGCACACTTTCTTTTTAAATGAAGGATATTTTTAAAGCAACCATTTAATTAATATACATGGTTGAATTCCATAATCAAATGCGCCACAATTTGCTTTTAACGCGTGAAATTGTTGCATAGCTTGAAATGTTTCGAACCAAAGCCAGCCATGTGTAATTATTTATAGATCTTTTGTTTTTCCTTTTTTCTTTTTTTTTTTTTTTATGATTTTTTGTTTTGATGTATTCAATTTTTTCCCAGAAATCGATGCGAGGTACTTTCTCGGAAAACGTAAAGATGTCATGGCCATAATATTGCTTGGCGAAGCATATTTATTCATTGTCTTTGACTATTTAAGAATACTGTACCGTCGAAGAAAGGTTTGAGATTTTGATAAGGGAATTATCAGGGTAGCGAATGCCATTTCTTGAACAAAAGCGATCGATCGTTTGTCCTTGTTTCGATCACTTTTTAATTTTTGTAATTTTCTTTTTGACCTACCGTGTCTGAAATAATTCTCCAATTGAATCGTCCTTCATTCTGAAGGGGATTACAATTTAGGGCTTCGGATTGACACTCAAGCTTTTAGTGATCATTTGAAATTTTAGTAGGTGACACCATGGAAAAGGCTTCCGAAAGCGAAACAGGTGGAGAAGCTGTAGAAAATTATTCCGCTCGGCCGTACCAAGTGGAGCTTCTAGAGCGGGCGAAGGAAAGGAACACCATCGTATGTCTGGGCACAGGAACTGGTAAAACGTTTATAAGTGTCATGCTCATAAAAGAACTTGCTCATGAAGTAAGAGGAAGCTATGAAGACGGCGGGCGAAGAACTTTCTTCCTTGTAAATACAGGTATCTATGTATGTTTTGTCTTTTTGAGATCGGCTTTACCTTAGGGGAGTGGGTACGATATCTCAGCGCGGGATCGAGCTGGGGTTGTGAAGATGGGTTGTGGCGGCCGGGTCCTCGCATACGGTTTAAATATAATTCAGTGGAAACAGAGGAATGACCATAGATCTTTCCTTGTTTTGGCCTGATTATGACATAATCAAGAGTGTGGTTTACATTCCAGTAAAATCTTTATTTATTTAATGAGGGTAGCACTTAATAGCCAAAAGGCTAATAAACTTGGGGCCCTTATAGAATACATATGATAATACTCATAAAAATTTAGATATCAATAAGTAAAAATAAATACATTATTACAGAAATAAAAGAACCGTTAAAAAATTAAAAGTCCTATGATAAAATCTAACATAAAGTTAGGGATTAAATGACAAAGTCATGAAACTTTAAAAAGGAACCTATTAAACTATAAAATGATTCAAGTTCTGTTGGCTTCTGAGAAAAAATTGCCTTAAGGAATTTTTAAAACTTTGTACAGATGTCTTCTGTCATAATGTTCCATACTTGACATATGGTAACATTAAAAGTTTTGCCGCCAACTAATTTATGTTTTAACTTTGGGCATACTAAGTTGTAGTTTGCATTCCCAGTGTTACAAGAGTGAAGAACACTATTATATGTTAAAAGGCAAGTGGATATAACATTCAACCACTTTTGAAAGCACTAGGAGGACTGATTGTGGGAGGAAATTAGAATGATCATCTGTTTTGCCACCTTTAAACAAAGGAGTGACTTATGCTTTCTTCCATCACTTAAGGAACACTCCATTCTTAATGAAAAAATTTATAAGCCGGGCAACAGAAGGCACTATTTCAGGAGCTGCTATCCTCAATAATTGTAATCTGATACAATGAATACCAACAGCTTGATCAGGACTGATTCTCAAAAAAATTGTTTTGACAATGGATGGTGTTACTGTAGGAACAGGAAGTAGCACATCAGGGTGTTTTCTTGAATTGACAAAGTTGTGTAGGTTGTCAAAATTCCAGTTGACACTTGGCAAAGTAGATCTTAAACTTCCACTCATGAATGCAAAATGTCTGTTAAATAGATCAGACATGCCTTTTTTGTCATCAGTAATGCAGTCACCATCTTTGAAGCAACTAAAAGATTTTGCATTCTTTTTGCCACCTGTTAAAGATTTAATTGTCTTCCACATTGACTTGGAATTGTTCTTGTTGGCATCAAAAGTATCATTAAAATATTCACATTTAGCATTACAAATGACTCTGACAGCTTTGTTTCTCTCGACTTTATACTTTCTTCAGTCATCAGAAGAACATAAAATCCTTGCAGCTTTGAGATAGGTATCTCTGAGATGCAGTTGATCTAAAGTGGGTTTGGACATTCAAGGAACTTCTTGAAGCTGTTTCACACATTTCTCACACCAAGGACAATGCTATTCAAGCACTGAGTTAAATAAGGATTCCCAGGATTCGAGCATATAGTCTATATCATCAAACATAAACACTGTATCCTAAGGGGCCTGCCGGAGATCTTATTTAAATTCATCTTTTTCAGAGTCTTTCGTGTCCTTTTGGGTGGAGCTTGAGGATTCTAGAGGAAATCTACTCCCCTTGTAACTAACTTGTTCTTCCTTTTTTTCCAGTTCCACTAGCCAGCCAACAGGCAAAAGCAATTACAAAACATACTGACTTGAAAGTCAGGCATTATGTTGGAGAGATGGGAGTCGATTTCTGGGACAAGCCCACTTGGGAAAATGAGTTCAATACATTCAACGTTCTGGTCATGACAGCTCAAATATTCCTCAACCTGCTGTTACATAGCTACATACTTCTTTCACAAGTGAATCTCTTGATCTTTGATGAATGCCACCATGCTAAGAAGAATCATCCTTACAGACAGATAATGCAGTGCTTCAGCAATTGCCCACAGCGCCCATTACCCAAAGTTATGGGTTTAACTGCCTCGATAGTAAATGGAAAAGTAAAACCTTATAAAATTGAATCAGAGATCCAAGCACTGGAATGCACATTAAGATCTACATGCGAAACAAGTCAACATGATGATGTTGAAAAATATGCTGCTAAACCCAAAGAACTGGTCCTTGTTTACCCAAGCCAGAGCACTGATGAAAATGTGAACATTTTGATCAAGAAACTGTCAGATGTCTTAACACAAGGAATTGATCTTCTTTGCAACCCTCAGGTGTCCAGCTGTGATGAACATGCGCACCGGAATGCTAAGTTGGCCTTGATGGAATGTAAGGAGACATTGGATGAATTGGGCCCTTGGGCTGCTTTTAAATTGGCAAAATACTTAATCGAGGATCTAGGTATGGTACAGTTTCAGTTTTAGAGATAAATGTCACTGTGCCCCAAGTTCAAGTCAAGTTTTTAAAATCATAGTACAGTCAACATGAACCAAATATTAGTTTCCAAAAAGAAGGGAAAAAATCTCATGCCTCCATTTCCAAACATTTTGGCCATGTAGGATTGTTTTTAAATTTTGCTTTAAATCATTACACCCTAACATCAGTATACATGTTCTCCAAACTGTTCTCTATATATTTCCTAAGATGCTGACAAGGAGAACCTGTTTAACAATCAAGAGCTTCTTTAGTTGGTGATCATTTCCTTTATTCTTGTTACCTTAATGGTTGATTCAGGCTGGCGTTATATTGTAAGAACAAATTGGATGCTAGTCACTCTGAGGGTCAGAGTTTAGCCTACAAACCAGAGATTGATGTAATATTTATTGGAAAAGAATCAGAGTGTGCCAAACTCTCTGCTCATAAGACTGAATTATTCCAATTCAAGCAAAATTAATCTGAGATGGATAAAAATGCCTTTGTTGGCATCTTTTGATCAACTGGAATGGAATGCACTTATAAACCTTGATCTTTTCTTGTAGACAGAGCATGCAAGGTTCAAAGCAGCAGAGAAGGAAAAATATTTTACGAGTACAGTGCCAAAAGGCTGCGTCGACTGCAAGGCACTTATTGTAATTTTACTGAAAGTGATGGGTCTGAGGAAAGTGGACATTGTTACTTCATGCCTAAACTTCAAAAACTTCTGAGTGTTTTCAGGGAGTTTGCTAACTCACAGCATGAAGGTAAGGAATAGTCTGCTGACTGCTTTATTCATGAAACTTATTTTTTTATATCCTTTGTAGAAACCAAAACAGAAGATTAGCAAAGTGGATATTTTTGCATTTCTTATAACAAGTTGACCCTTTCACGCCTAAGATCTCTCCAAACCTTCCTAAAATCTCAACCCTGAGACTCTGTGTTAAATTTCAAGACATCCACTGCCCATTATTTCTCTCTCCTCAGCTCCTTCATATTAGAATTGTAATGTTATTGTGAGGAGAAATTTGTTTTGGTTCGCTCTTAGCAGGAAGAGGTGAAACAGAATCCTCTATCATAGTAACAGTAATAACATCAATAATATCTGATGGCACTAATATTAATAGTAGTAGTGCTAATAAAAAAAAGTATTGATGATAATAATAGCACCATAATTATTACAATTTTTATAGTAGGAAATTTAAGAAAAAAAATTATGATAATAGCAACCATAATAATCTCTCAAGGGAGATCAATATTTAGAGGACATTTTGAACTTCTGTAACCATCTCCTCATTCAATCAAGAAAAGGCTTTCAGTTGAAAAACAATCACTAGGGTAAAAGGATCAAAATATGGCAACATTTTCTACCCAGCCTCACCTAGAGGAAGATTTAGCTGATTGTTAAAAATAATATGAATAACAATGATCATGTAGGTTTATCTTTGTTTTTCTGTTAATCCCTACACACTCAAAAGCCAGCTTTTAGATTGGAGCTTCCTTGAAATCTGTTTTCTGAATTCTATGTGCAAGAGTGGTTTTTGAATGCCACTCTGTAAAACAGCTTGGTGATCCTCAGTTTGGTTATTTTGCAGCGTCTGAAGAGGAGAAGGCCCTCTGTGCCATTGTGTTTGTTGAAAGACGATACACAGCACTGATCCTCAGCAAACAGCTTAACATGGCGGCTAAACTAGATCAGGAGCTCTCATTCATCAAAAGTGACTTTGTGATTGGTCACGGCACAGGTGCAATGGTTAACTACTCCGGTAACGCAGAGATGAATTTTAAGAAACAGGAGGAAGTGCTGCGCAAGTTCAGAAATGACAAGAAAAGACATGAATTCAATGTGCTGATAGCCACCTCTGTTGTTGAGGAGGGATTAGATATTCCCAGGTGCAATGTTGTCTGCAGGTTTGATTTCCCACAGAATTATCGTTCCTATGTACAGTCAAAGGGCAGAGCTCGTGCCAAAGGTTCCAAGTACTACATGCTGGTGGATGAAAAAGAGCAAGTGGAAAAAGAGAATGAATTGGAGGTACATTTTTTAAAGTAATAAAGTCAGTAAAAATCCATACCTATCCTGTATTCTGGTGATTGTCATTGATCATGTTTAGGTGAGGTTGTAGAGCACCAGACAATGGTGTGGGAGGTTGAGGGTTCAAGCCCCAGACTGCCGACCAACACTCAAGGTCTTTGAATAACTGAGAAGTGTGCTGCCTTTGCTAAGACATCTGCAAATAGTTAGACATTCTAATCAACTCAGGAAAGGATAACAAGCCATAAGCCTCATCTCCTCTGTGATGATTGGCAGGGGACATTAAGGAACCCATGCATTTCTCGCAAAGAATAGGGAATGTAGATATCAGTGTCATAGTCTGGCCTTTTAGATTGTTTATACAGGCTGCCATTAAAACCAGCTTTAAGCTGAGCTGGGAAAGTTGGTTTAAATATTGGAGAAAAACACATAACCTGAGTGAATGACAGTAACAAATATATACTCTTAGGAAGCTATTTAAAAATGAATTCTACCCTAGATGTTGCGTGCAATTGAGAAAACCTTGTTGGAAAGATGCCATGATCGGTTGGAGCCATCAGTGGAGGAGTGTAATGAATCAGTAGACACAGATTTCTTGCCGCCCTACATACCGGTAAATGGCAAGGGAGCTAGAGTAACTATGAGCAGTAGTGTTTCTCTACTTTCAAAGTAAGTGCAAGGAATTCATTAACTTCCAATTTTGAGGTAGTTTTAAATTTAAGATTATGGGTTGAGTTGTTTATTGTTGAGTAATGTAAGTGTAAAAAAGGAAGATGTGCCATTTATGGGTAACAAACTTGGGCTCCTATTGTGAAAAGGGTGATTTGTATTTACCACAAGTATTGCTGTAAAGCCAGCTGCTTGCTTCCCCACAAAACTCAAGATCACCCCGTAGCAACAACAAACTGATTAATAATTGACAGCTCTTCAGTGTTCTCCTTTTCTGGAGGCAACTGGTACAATTTACTGCTTGTGTTACCTCTTATTTTTCACCAAAAATCACTTGAAATTTGTGAAACTTCTGCAGGTAAAAGGATAAGTCTACCAGTTTGATGACTTATTTTGTACCTGTCAAGTTCAAAATAAGGGATTACACTGCTTCTTTAAAAGCTCTTACACCACATTAACATAAAAGTTATGCTCTTTTAAATTTTAACTCAGGATCTTATATTTAATATAAAGAAGATTAATTACTTATTATAAACTTTACAAACCTTGAATTATATCAATATTTCTACTTTTGTCATTTCAGGTACTGTTCAAAGCTTCCAGGAGACCGGTTTACTCAGCCCAGGCCAGTTTACAAGGTCGTAGAAATTAGGAAAGATGGTTACAAGTGTAAACTAACACTCCCAACAAACTGTCCACTACGTGAAGATATAATAGTGAGTTTGGAGGACTTCTCTTTTTTTAAACAAAGAAACATAAACCTTACCACAGAAATATACTTATTTTCACTGTCATTCTCATTGGCTATTGATGTTTATCTGTCTTCTGATTGGTTATTAGTACTCTGGTTTTAGTTTTGTGACTCTCAACTCAAAACTGCTCTCATTCTCTTAACCAAGCTTCAAGGAAAAGCATTGTAATTTAAAACAAGAACTGTTTGTTAGCTCTTGGGAATTAACCCAGTAACTCCAAGGTTCTGCAAGCAATTTTCCCTACTAACTGCCATACATTTCCTTGTAAATTGGAGAGGAGAATATGATGTTATATCAAGACAACACCTTAAAGCTGATGAATTTATATGTTCTCATAACCTGTTTGCAATGCAAGATATTGGAATTACAAGAAGAAATTACATGTTAATTGCTCACATGAGAATCCTCTCTCTCTGTATTTCATCAGGGTGAACCAATGCCAAGTAAGAACCAAGCCAAGATGGCAGCTGCACTCAAAGCCTGTGAAAAGCTTCACAAGATTGGTGAGCTTGATGATGACCTATTACCAAAGCAGACTTTATCTGACGAGGAAAGTGGTTTGGAAGAAGAAGAAGAAGCAGCAGCTGAGCCCGGCGGAAAGAAACCGAAAGCTGGAACAAAGAAGAGAAGACGTCAGTATGAGAGAAAGGTAAGTAGTTGAATTATCGTAAAACATTGCCCACCCATGCACGGTAGGGTGGGCAGGGCTGGAAAAAGTTCCACGACGGTGCGTACGGCCTCGCGAGGTGCGAGCTGAAAAAAACAAGGAGGAATGAACGAGAGCGGGTATCTTATGATGAAATGCTTATTGGTTGATTTAAGCCGGGCCGAAAGGAAAAATATTTCTTTCTTGGTCTTGACATAAGCACGTTGCTGTGCTTGGTTCGTAACCCAGGACCGAGGGCAAAATACTCTCCCATTCGGCCCTCCCGCTCAGCCAATAAGCATACACTATTGCACCCCAGATTATCCCAAAGATTTCGTAGGACTGAGTATATAGCTTATTTTCTGTATCGCCGTTGGCAGAGCGTTCGAACATGAAACCCAAGTTCGAATCCTTACGATGAACTCAAGTTTTTCCTTTGGTTACGTTATTGACAAATATTTGCACTTTCTTTACCGGGCCCCTTTTGGTCGGAGATTGGATAATACTATCCACTGGATAAAACTCTATCCGGTGGAGAACGCAGTATGTTTTGCTATCACTTATCCGCTGGAAAGCAATTTATCCATTTGATAGCGTTATCCGCCCTTTGCACATCTGTGACCTGATGTTTTGTTCTTGCCCAGGTTCCTGAAGTATTTGTCAGCAGCTTGGTACAGGATGGTCAGCCCCAGTTCCTCACGACCATCACCATACAAGTCACTAAACTTACTCAGCCACAAGAGTTTGTCGTTAGTGAGCGACTGTTCCTCGATGAAACTTGTACGTTTGGAATGCTGACAACGAAAAGAGTTCCTTGCGTTAGTACTTGATTATTAATATTTCATTACTTATCAGGTAACCGAATTCTGTAGACCAATTTTCAATCCAGTGTCGCTCTGTGATTGGTCCATAAAGCTTGCACCTCTCTTTCAGCCAATCAGCTGCAAAAACTGAAACCAATCACGAGTTGGTCGCCTCCGTTTTCCTGCTCTTTAGGCAGTTTGGTTGTTTTTGTTTTACTCATTGGCTCCTAAAGGTCCACGATTGCAGCATATACCACTTTTACCAGTCACACACACCAAAAATGTTGACCTTCATCTTACAATGCAATTTTTTCACTCTTCAGATACGATCATTCAAACTGTATCCTAACTATGGCGAAGTCACGGTATCCTTCCAGTGTCATAGATCTCCTTTACACGTAAACATCACTAAACAAGACTTGGACATTCTTCGCGAGTTTCATCTCTTTCTCTTTAGTCACGTTCTACGCTCTCCTGTGGAATTCACACCTGGAAGTGTGGATGGTTACTTCATTGTTATGTTGAAGGCTTCAGGAAGGAGTATTGACTTTGATTGCATGAGAGAGGAGCTTTCGCGCGCACCCAAACAAAGCCGTGGAAATCTGCCCATCGTTGTAGACGCAGTAGTAACAAAGAACTACGTTGAATCTCCACAAAAGTACGCTGTTATGAATGTTTGTGACGATCTGACTCCGATATCTCCGTTCCCAGAAAAGTTGCATGGCGACACTTATGAAGAATATTTTCGCCGTAAATACGGAGAAAGGGGACGCATTTCGAATAGGAATCAACCTCTGGTGGAAGTGAAAGAGCTCTCCAGTAGAGTGAATTTTCTAGTGGACCGAAAACTAGGAACAAAAAACAAGTGCGATGTGATTTGTCTTGTTCCAGAGTTGTGTGACCATATTCCCATTCGCGCTTCTCTTCTGAGCGTGTCTCAGATTCTACCTTCTGTTCTACAGCGTGTTACCTCCCTCCTCCTCGTTGCCGATCTCAAGGCCATGGTTGCCGGTGTACGCGACACAACAGATGAATCAAGTCTCCCTCCTATTGGAGCAGAAGAGAGCTCGAGAGAGGCGCCCCCGGAGGTAGAAGACGATGCGCCCTTCTCCGACATCAGGTCGATGTTCCGTTACACTCCACCATCTGCTAATCACCCTGACTCCTCTCTCGTTCTTCAAGCTATTACCACCACCCACAGCGGAGATGCGTTTAATCTGGAGAGGCTTGAGATGCTGGGGGACTCATTTCTGAAGCTGGCCGTGTCCATTCATCTCTTCTGCACATACAGGGATAAAGACGAAGGCAAGCTGACCCAGCGGAAGAAAAACCAGATTAGCAATTTAGCGTTGTACCGAGCAGCGGCCAAGAAATCTCTGGGCGAGTATCTCCAGAGCACGCAGCTGGCTCGCGACGTGTGGTGTCCTACGGGATGTCAGTTTGGCGACGTACTACCGAATCGCATCACAGGTAGCCCAGCCATGGAAGTTGACAGCGGGGACACGGTCGAGGCAATGGAAGTTGACGAGACCTTAGAGAGCGGAAAGAAGACAAAACTTACTGCTACAGAGCATGCGCGCCAGAAATGCAACACGCAAATGATAGCGGACAAGTCCATAGCTGACAGCATCGAAGGACTGATCGGAGCGTATCTAATAGACTGTGGTTATCTTAGTGCGTTGAGATTTATGAAGTTTCTGGGGCTAAAAGTTTTACCTGAAGTTGACGCCAACAGCAATGATTTGCAGGCGAAGAATAGCAAATCGGGTTGTTACGCCAGATTTTGGCCGGGTCAGAAAAAAATAACAGCAGCGCAAGCTAAAGGAGATATGGTTTTCCGCCTCACTTCTGGCCTGGAAAACTTTGAAAAGGAATCAATCTCGTACAATTTCCAACAAAAGTTGTATTTGGTAGAGGCGCTAACTCACGCATCCTACCACGAAAACCGTGTCACGCCAAGTTACGAAAGACTCGAGTTTCTCGGTGATGCTCTGTTGGACTTTTTGGTCACGCAACATTTGTACTTCCGTCACGTCAACTTGTCACCAGGGGAACTGACCGATATACGACAGGCCTTGGTGAACAATAACATCTTTGCCACCCTTGCCGTAGAACACAGTTACCACAAGTATCTGAAGCATATGTCTCCAAAGTGGTTCCAAACAATGAAGAACTTTATTGACAGAGTGGAAGATGAGGCAGAAGAGAGGAAAGATAATCAGCTACAAACGGTAGGGTGAACTTTATTCTTTAATCCTTTACATCAGTTTTCTTATTCTCCATTCTGTCCTCCATACATTTTCTAAAGTGCTGATATGGAGAATTTGTTTAACAATCAAGAGGCTCTTTAGTTGGTGATGGAGACGTTTCTTTTATTCTCGTGACCTTAACATGTGATTCAGGGCCGATATTGAAAGGAGAAATTAGGTGCTAATCACTCTCATGGGCCAGAGGGTTTATGAATATCTTCTCCAGTTGATTTATAAGGAGTATTTCTTTGGTAACACTTATTTGGCAGGTCACCGCTGACCCATTTATTATCGTGTCTGAAGAGGAAGAAGAAGGAATCGAGGCGCCCAAAGTTCTTGGTGACATCTTCGAGTCAGTAGCAGGCGCGATATTTTTGGACAGCGGTATGGATTTGTCTAAAACCTGGGATGTGTACTACCGCATGATGAAACCCTACATCGGTAAGTTGGCCATCGCCACCAGCGAGGGTGGATCACCCTCCCATCCAGGGAAACCACCCCCCGGGAAAAGCCTTATCAGTAGAAAGCTCCGAGGTCTTTCTCGCAATAAGCTGGAAAAGGAGTGAGAACGAGTTAGAGAGAGTATACTCAGCATGGCGTTAAAGGATTTAATCCTAGCGATCAACTCCAAAGTGTGAAGGAAAGCCATTGAATAACGAACCTAGAGAAAAATTCTACAAATATTGATTGATATGAAGTTTTCGATTCAGATTATTAATCAGTAAGCATATCGCGAAATCCCATCAGACATGTTTACGAGGAACCTAGAACCTGGTGAAAAACACTAGAAAGATTGATTGATTTTCGATTCAGATGAATACTCGGTGAACATACCGCGAAATCCCATCAGAACTGTCTACGAGGAAGACGAGGACGCTGACTTTGGGTGAGTGTACAGTTCAAGGTTAACATTTTTTATGGTTGGTTGACTCTCTCCGCATACGTCTCTTACTAACTGCACCAAAGGTGTAAATAAATTTAGAGAGTAATAGAGTGCATTTTTTCCAAGGACAACATTTATGAACAGCGAAAGCAGTCTTTAAAGAAATTGTGGCCGAGTGCGGCAGATCTTTCCGAAAACATGGACCTGTGAATGTGTATAGAGCTAAAATTACCTCAAAATGTCGGAAAATAAAATTGTTCGACGTCAACGAAGAGCGCAAAAATAGTGTGGCGCAACGTAAAAGTTGTCAACATTTTTCTCTCGAAATAGGGAGATATTGAGAAAGATTACACAGACCTGCGGAAGTGGCGCAGTTCAATCTACCAAATTGCATAATCTTACTCTTACATAAAAGTTTAATCGTCCTTTCAAGATCTACATACTAGTCAGTAAAGCATTGAAAAGTGCGAATGACAACTTGCACATGAAAGTGATCGAATGTGCTTCACGTAACGCTAAGCGTTAACTGCTTTTTCAGGCGCGTCTTTTGGCGTGCGCTTCTTTCATCTCACACGTATTTATCGAGCCAGAGAGGCCTTGTCCGCCAACTAACTATCAAACAATGAGTTCTCCTGATAACGCAGATTTTCGTGTTTTTTTCCAACATCATCTCTCGAAATAGGGAGATATTGAGAAAGATTACACAGAACTGTGGTAGTGGCGCGGTTTCATTTACCAAATTGCATAATCTTACCCCTACAAAAAAGTTCACTCGTCTGCTCATGATCTACACACCAGTCAGTAAAGCATTGAAAAGCGCTAATGACAACTCGCGCACAAGAGTGGCCGCATGTAGTTAACGTAACGCCAAGCGTTACTTGCTTTTTCAGGCGCTTCTTCTGGCTTGCGTTTCTTTCATCTCACACGCATTTACCGAATCAGAGTGGCCTTGTCTGCCAATTGGCTATCAAACAATGGGTTCCTGATCAGGCAGATTTTCATGTTTTTTTTGTTTTGTTTTGTTTTCTTCAGGAAAGCGAAGACCCTTGATGATGGTAAGATCCAGTGCACTCTGAAAGTGGACTGGGGAGAGTACAATGGAAAGGGACCGAACATGAAGATTGCTAAAGCTACAGCTGCCAAGCTTGCTATTGAAGGACTGAAAAAGAAATACGCTGCGGTGTACGAGGAAGAGTAAGACTCAGAGTGGGCTTGGAGGACATCAGTGTTGCGGCAAAGGTGCTTTCTTAGATTTGTATTGTTTAGATAATGCTGTGGAACACTGTTACAGTAATAGGAAGTAGATTTCTTATGTGCCTCTGATAATATTTGTACATTATCTTCCACAATGAACATCCCTTTCTAGGAGCCACGTTTATGTAGGTGACGTACCTTGAATGAATGGGAGTCGTTTAAGATTACTTTGTGTTACAAACGTCCCTTAAGTGTTGTGATTGACTTTCTCAGAAATCGATGACAGTCTAGACATTTGTCTAGAGACGTTTGCATTATTAATACGGCTTTGAAATATTTTTTATTTACATTTTGTCTTTTTAGTGACTTTTGTTTTTAACTTGTAGGCTTCCCTAAAAATTTAAAATATTTGGTATTCACTTTTTATCTGTTTAATGAATCTTGTTTTTATCTTGTGGGCGTCAGGGCATTGTCGCTAACAATTTATGGAAAATAAAGAAAAACTGAAACAAACAAGAGAACACCGAAAAAATTAATAGAAAACTCTAACAGCAATAACAGTGAAAGTTCACCATAGCAATGCTTTGGTATATGAGTTTTTAATTGATGAAGATAAAATTTTAGTTTTAAAATCGTTTCCTGGAAATCAGGCATTTCCTTAAAAGAACGTTACCAGTTTTAAGTGCGGCAAAAGTGTACATGTAAGAATGCAAGAATGATTTTGGTAATCGTGATATGTGTTGTAGTTGTTAATAGTGAAGCTGAAATGAAATAGAAAGTCCTCTGTAAAATAACTTTACATAAATGAGAGAATAGTTTGTCATTACTCTTTAAAAATGCCGCGTAATTCCATAATAAATAATAATTTTAACTAGCATAAATTTGCTTGAATTTGTATTACAAATGGCTACGTTACTCGCTCTCCGTGACAGATAGTGACATAAGCGGTCAAAAGAGGATAAGCGAGCATGTTCGCTTAAATTCTTCAGAGACCGAAATAAGCTCTCACTGGAGGAACCCCAGTTTGGTTTCTGCGTCTCATCAAAATTAACGCTTCTGCTATTTATCCACCGTGTGACCTTTTATTCGAGACTTCCTCAAGAATCTGTTGGTTTAAAATAACGATGTCGTACGCCAACTCGGTGAACGTGGCGTTTATCTCAAGCATAACAGTTCGTTGATACTTAACAGTGTTATAGCTACTTCGCCTGCGCAAGGTGAGACGAAGTGAAAGTCTATGTAGCGAGAGAAACTCTGCTGTGTGCATTTTGCTAAACCGTAAAACATACCTCTGCATAGTAAGAAGTCGCTTTGTTTTAGAAGTCTACAAACTGTTCTTCGCACAGGTACTGTGCAGGACACTCTTTGCCAATGCTTACTAGAAACAACTGTGCAAGACGCCATCTTGCTTTAAACTTAAACCATTTTCACTATGCGTTGCTCCCCAAGTTTGAAGTTGTGTTTACTCAGGTACACACCTGTGAACGAAGCGCACATCCAGGTAGAAGACAATGCGTTTGCATGTCACATGTGTCACTTGTGGATTTGCCTAGGCACGTGATTTTATTTGAGTTTCGCTTGTGAATTTGGCTATCAATGTTCTTTTTTTCTTTATCGTTTGGTTAAGAAAACGTAGTCACTTAGGTTTGCTTTAGAGAGAGAAATAACGAAAATTTTCTCGACGACTTAGATTTTCCTACTACATTTAGTAACAAGATTTCCTCACAGCCACATACTTCATTATGCATACATCTCTTGGATAAAGAAATCAAGGGCAAAAATAATAGATTCCTTACCTCTCACAAATCACGACGGCGACGGCAACGAGGACGTAGCAAAAAAAAGATCTAATGAGCAGAACAATAGTTCAGCACGTGCGTTTTTAACTTTGTACATTTCTAACTGTCTTCTTCAAAACAACAACGTGAAATCACCAAAATTTGCGTCGTCTGCGAACGGAAACCGCGACGGCAAATTATTTGAATTTCCATTTGGAACTTAACACTGCTTATATACGTTAAGCTGAAGTTGAGGTGTGGCACGGTTAGAGACGGTAAACACATACAGCCATTTTCGAAATTCTAACTGAAAATAGACATTCATTTATCAATCGACGTCTACCTTGGTATTTGACCGCGTCGTTTGAAACCTGGTAAAGGTCCCCTCATAAAATTTACTTTAGAAATAGCTATTCAGTATTTTGAAAAATTCAACTCAGACCGCATTTTGGAACCCGTGACAAAACACCACCCTTTTTCCTGATTGCTTTCGTCTTCCCGTTTCGGTGTTTGTTTTGTTTTTTTTTTCTATCTTATCGAGCGAAATTAATTTCGTTTCCTTCGCGACAAAAATCGCAAAATGCCTTGGTGCAGCCCTTAAAAAAACGCATAAAGGATGAAAAACATTGTGAATTACTGATAAGGGACCTAAAACAGTCAGCGCGAGAGCGCCGAGAAAGCCATCGATTAAAAAATAAATTTATATTTAATGTCACGATAGTCAGAATTTCTTGAATGCCTGGTGGTGTTTATCATCCCTTACAGCGCCACCCCCTCAGCTACAGCTAACGTATTTTAGCAGTGTTAAGTTCGAAATGGAAATTCAAATACTTTGCCCACGGTCGGGGTTTCCGTTCTCAGACCACGCAAAATTTAAATAATTTTGGTGATATCGTGTTGCTTTTGCTTGAGAAGGCTAAGAAATGTACAAAGTTTTAAAACGCACGCGCTGAACTATTGTCCGGCCAATTAAATGTTTTTTTTTTCCGCCATGCCCTCGATGCCGTCACCGTCGTGGTTTGCTTAGTGTTAAGGTTCCTAAACTAATTCTTATTTAGGTTCCACGAAAACATGTATAAATTATTGACTGCAGGTGGCTCAGTTATGACTACTTTCTGTTCAACTTTCATGCCTAATAGCCTTTTAGAATGATTTACTTTAAGCTCTGCTATCTGTTACTTATGTTAATAATATGTTTTCATTTAGAGGTAAGTAGCTCATGACGAGAAATGAGTGTCAACTTCAGAACCGGGGTGTACTTACACCCATTTTCAACTACTTTAAGGAAAATATTGTAATATTGAAAAGCGTTCAAAGGAAATCTAATAAAAAATTTCGCTAAGGTTTTTTGTTAATCAGAAAATTCTACCGCCTCAGTTTTCTGTGTATAATCAAACTGTTATTTTAATCCTGATATGTTGATAATGATAGCAAAACGCTTCGTAATGCTGTCAAATCCTGGTTTCTGACAACGTTGAAAAACATGGAGAATTTATGTAAATAAGAAAATTTTAATTCACGCCATATTTAATCACCTGTGACTCACAAATCCAAAATCTCATTATTTAAAACAGGGATATTGACAAAGGCAGATATGAGTGATTATAATACGCTTTTGTCCCGATAAAACTTCTTCAATTACTGAAAAATGATACGACGAGTTTTCATTAACGTTACCTTCATTCAAAGTGATCATAAATATCAGTGTCGTTATAACTGACATATTCCTTTAAATAGAATTCATATTTATTTCAGGAGAAAAGATTGAATTATTTAAGAATTATACAGTGCTAATTATACAGTGCTTTAATCAATGGTCCTTTTAATTTAACTACAGATAGTTATCTCTAGAAATGGCACAACAAACTTCGGAAATTTAGCCGGCAATCGACATGGCGTAAACTTCCTGTTTGCCTTTTAAAACTTGTCATCATCATTGTTTTAATTTATTTTAATCTAGTTCGCTTCGTGCGATATTTACTGTCTTCTGGAAAAAAAAGAAACTTAATCAATTTGGAAACATTTCTCTCTCTTTTCCCAAGCTAAGTTAACAATCAATTCTATTAAATGACAAATCCTTCGAAATCAGCTCTATTTTAGGGCTTTTGGCTTCCATCTACAGGTGGTATATGGTCTCTCACGGTTGAGAGTTGTTTCTGGTTCAAATCAATACCTAGACTAGAATATTGACGGCGTACTTATTTATCACCCATTCACCCCAGCAAAACACGTTTATGTAAACTGGGTTTTACAGAATAAAATCAGAAACAGAGAACCTAAAAACTGAATTTTTCATAGGTTTCAGGTTGTCACTAACTTGTATTTTCAATGTGCTAAATTTGAGGTCGACAAACATTGGTTTGAGAAGCTTCTACGAAGACAATAATTTAAAATCGTGTTTAACAAAACAGCTTTAGAACATGTAAGCTTTGGTGTGAATAGGGCATGAGATTTGTTCTTTTTTCCAAGCTTGAGCAAATGTTTTAACACCTCTCTTCAAACGGTCATATCTTCCACTGAAACCGAAGTACAATATTAGCCTGTTTAGCCACGGCAATGATCATTCTAAGTTGATGACCAGCATAATGATTGCTTGAATGTACTCTTCACAGCTTTTCTCACTTCTCTGATCTTCCAGCAGTAAAGGAAGGGATTCAACGTAGAGTTCACAAATACAACACTCATTGTCATTTGCCAAGGGAGAAAAAGTGACGAAGACGGACTGGAAAAGAACAGAACTGAAGCCACACCGTAGGGCGAATAACACATAATCAACGCCAGCTTCACCCAAAGAATATTGCTAACTGTCTTTCTGTATCGTGCTATCCTCAACATAGTTATTTCATCTCGTTGCTGTTGCCGCGAGTTGCCGTGTATTACGCGAGTTTGCTGCCGACGCAGCCATCTGAAAATCACCGCGTACGACGGAATAGAAATCGCCAAGCATGATGCTACAGTGAGATGGCTGTACCAAAACGATACAAGGCTCTCTACGACATACGATGACGAAAGTACAATGGACATCACCCAAAATGTTGTTATAACCGCATACGTTTTCTTGATAGTCACAACCTCCGAGTGCCGGATGGCCAATTTTAAAGCTAGGAGACGGTCAAAACTTATAGCAGTCGCAGTCCATAGGGACACAGGCCCCAACGTGTAACCCACAATAAACGTGGTAGTCTCTGCGACCCGGCATAAGTACCAATCTTGATGAATAACGGAAAGCAAATAGACGACGTCCAGCGGCTCTAAAAAAAGCCCAACCAAGAGATCTGTTGTCGCCAAATTGCGAAGCAACAGCCTTGTGGGTGGATGAAGCGAAGTCTCTTTGCGAAGAGCCATTAAAATCACCATATTTCCGAGAAGCGCAGTTACGGAAAAAAAAATGTTGCATGCGGCTGTAAGATATATCAAGTTATCGGACGTTCCATTTGTAAGAATGCGGTTTGAGCAAATCACGTCACCAAATTTCTCAGTCATTTTTCCACGTCCTGAAGAGTTCATCACCTTAGTATATCTTAAATGTGAAAGAGAGTTACTGACATCCATATAAATAGCGTCAATTGAAGTATGACGTAACTTTTGTGTCACGGAAATGACTCCCCCCCCCCACCCCTGTGTTTAATGGATTCGCCGGTGACGGCGTGTGCAAATGAGGACTGACTCGTCAACAGCATCATATTAGCCTCGAAATGTCGCTAGATTTTAAGTTCCACCTGACTATAATAGGGATTTTAGTGTTACGAAGAATGATATCAGGTGGGAGGGAAGAATAAAGAGTGCATTCAATAAATATTTGGGTGCGTGTTTGCCGGAAAATCTCCATGACTCGGCTTTTGTTCATTCGTGAACGAAGAAGGAACATCAAGCATTAAACTGAGTAGTTACGCTGAAAAATTACACTAAGCGAAAAATAGCGACAGGAACCACCCAAAACACGAGGAAAACTTGAAGATAGTAACTGGTAACAAAAAGATCTTTATTTCAGCCATGTTGCAAGAGTTTTGTTGCATCATGGAGTTAATGGATGTAACTGCTTTAAAGATATTGGCGCAGTCAGCACAATTTCCATATTCTTTTAATTGCACATCAAATTGTATTGGGCTCATAACGAAATTTCAATTCTTGAGTAATACTGAAAAACATTGCGTAAATTCTCCAGTCTGCTTGCGTAGCATGTCATTAGACACAATAATTTCAGTTAAAGTATCATTTCAATATTTCATTCAAAAAATTAGCCGAAATTAGATGCGAAACTCTGGGAGTGCTCCTCTCCCCCAAAGTTCCGTGCGGCGCTCTAGCATCCTTTTTTTTTTTTTCGCTGATTTTTTTTTACTCGCGCGACACTCGCCAAAAAGAAGGGGTTACTCGTTTTCTAATTGGAATTTGAAACCTAAATATCAAACGTAACCTGTTCCACCGGTAAAAACGAGTCAATAACCGGTATTTCTAGTTTATTCACCCAGGTTGTGACGGGTAGGTTATCGGAAAATTGGGCGGCTTCGTGTGACAGTCGTCATCTCATCAAGCGCCTGTCATTACTGAGTTGAAATCAAACGAACAATGGCGTCAATAATTCTGCTTCCCCTTTCGCAACTCATCAGATCAAAAGACGGATTCTCTATTTTGTTTTCCAGTATCCGGTCAAGCTCCTTCCTCAAGTCTCGTACAAGTGTTGCAACCTGGAAGAGAAGAGGAAAGCAGAAAAAAAAATAAACAGAGAACCTTGAATGAAAATCACTACCGAACCCTTTATACCCTAACATCAGTTTTCATATTCTCCATACTGTTCTCCATAAATTTTCTAGCCCGCTGATTAGGAGAATTTGTTTAACGATCGACAGCTTGTTTAGCTGATGATCATTTCCTTTAGTCTGTAAGGAGAAATTAGATGTTTGTCACTAGGTGAATGCAAACATGAGTCCAAAATAGCACAAAGTTTTTTAACGAGGCCACCAACCTGGTGCGAAGATGCAGAAAAACGGATCCAGCCATCGTCAATAGAGATGACGAAAACACCTTTCTCCAGGTTGACAGACAAATTGTCTCCACAGAAGAGAAGTAAAGAATACTCTGACACCATACTGCAGTCTCGGATGTAAACCTGAAAAGGATCTCGTATATGTCAAACTTAAGTCAAATCTAGTTCAGATGCAACTTCCAACCCTGAGTGAAGGAAAAGTTCAAGTCATAGAGCCTTTGGGGCTTTAGAGCGACTGGTGAAATTGCTTTTCCAGGGATTCCTCTCGGAATACCTCCTGAGGTCCTTACCTCCGTGGGATAAGTGGGATTATTTGTTTTGAAGTCAACAACATGCAAAACCTATAATTCAGTGGGTGAAAACGCACATATCCAAAGAATCTGCATGGCATGCATCTTTTCCTGTACTAAATACTCACTTATTGTCGCATAAATAAGAACCCGCTGATACACAGGGTAGACCAGCGGTATAGACCAGATTGAGTATGACGTGCGGCGTTTCGTAACTGCCCCCCACCCCCACCCTTTGAAACATCCTAACAAAGCCCTTGATTTCCATAAGACTTTGCCACAAAAACTTAACTCTAATTCTATCAATAAACATATTACCTTGGATGTCTTGACTTTCTCGTGATACACGAGATATGGACTGTCGAACGAGTTTACTTGAAAATTGACCGATTTGGGATGAATAAACACCTGCAGAGGAAAGAGCGATTTTACTCGCAACGATTTTTAAAGTCTGATTCTATGGGCACAACGTAATGTGGAGCTTTCTCTTCCTGTCATGGTCTCGCAATTGAGAACAAGAACTGTTGCGGCAGTGACGACTGCGGGAGCCGAGCCACTAATTGAAATTGACCAATTGCAACTTACTTACGCTACCTGAGTCTTAGAGCTAATAATATTACGACAAAACTGACCAAGCCTCTTTCTAGCCTTAAACTCTTTCACTCCCAAGACCTCATTCACAATTCTCCGTACTGTCGACCATAAAATTCTTATGATGTTAGTTCTGAGAATTTGGTATTGGATCAATTAATAATCCCCAAATTGTTATTTTTCTTTATTCTCATCACTCGTCGGCTTGATATTGTGTGGTATTGTGAGGAGAAATTATTTCTTGGTCACTTCTGGGAGTTAAAGTTTTACACTCCTTGAGCACCTCTTCACCCTTATAATGACTTTTGCGCAGGTTTTCAAAACGCAGTCAGTTAGTTTCAGGAACAATCTCACTAAGACTATCAGAAAACAGGCATAGGGTAAAATATGGACTGGACCATTTTTTGGACCATTTTTTTTGGACCATTTTTTGGACTATTTTTTGGACCATTTTTTGGACCATTTTATAGGGGGGAAGCACACCATTAGTACTCAGGGAGGGGTGGGGATGCAGTCTACTAGTACTGAGGGAGGGTTGGAAGGCAGAGTGTTATTACTCAGGGAAGGGTGAGAGAAGGACTTCGTAGGCAGGGAGGGGTGAGAGGTGGATGTAATAGTAAACGCTACTTGTTAATGGAGCTTTTACTCGATCATACAAATTATCTTCATCGGTTTTTCGACTGACTTTTTGAATGTTCTTCATTTTTGTCGTCCTGCGAAAGCGAAACTGCCACGTGAACACTGGACTTTGATTTCTATTGAAAATATCATCGCGTTTAAGATTCTCTACTGTTGACTTATGCCTGTGCCTTTTGAGTCGACATGGTACCATCAGTTGCTTCACGTTTCCCTTAGTGTATACAGTATGTAATTACTAAATTTATCTATCTTCCTTTTGTCATTCATCTTATCAGACGAGATCACGAAATTTTCGGTCCTTAGCCCTTAACTTAGCAGCATATAGAATTCACGAGCGCTTTTGCAATTTCAACGTTTATACTTTTATTATATGAAATAATCAACTTTTGTAATGCGAATGCTAAACTGGCACTTAAACACTGGACTATAATTGTCATTGAAGATATCACCAATTCCATTCCTGTTTTTGATCCTCCACTATAAAGATATGCGTTGTGCCTGTTAGGTCGACTTGTGATAGTGCTAAGTGATACCGACGGGATAGCATGAATCATCTTTCAGTTGCCTCACGTTTCCCTTTAGTATGTGACAAAAAAAGCGAAGGAAAGCGCGATGTCTTTATAATGGTTTCACAACACGGGGTGCAGTTAATCCAGCTGTCAATGAAACTCTCCTGACATATCCAAGCTCCTGATAATAAAATTTTCCGGGCAGAATCGGTCACATTTACTGACTTCTACGTTTTGTCGACGGAAAATATCGGTAAGCAACAGTAGCCACTGTACTTCCACTTAGCAGGTTACGTAGGTATTTACGCAAGAAGTGATTGGCAGCGGCCCGGGCAAATTGGAAAACAAACGTACGGGAGTCGCGAGGAATGCCTGGTCGCTATTTCCGGTGTGGGTGATTAACTCCTTTGTTTGCGAAACAGATAAAATCGATATTTGCGCTTTCCCATCTTTCCCATATTACATGTAAAGCAGTGCTTATGCTCGATACGAGAATATGGATTCCTCTTCGAAATCGTTTGCTGATTATTTTATGTCCCAGTGTTTACGTGGCAGTTTCGCTTTCGCATGACGACAAAAATGAAGAACATTCAAAAAGTCAGTCGAAAAACCGATGACGATAATCTATACGATCGAATAAAAGTTCCATTAACAAGTAGTGTTTACTATTACATCCACCTCCCACCTCTCCCTGCCTAGCAATAGTCCTTCTCTCACCCCTCCCTGAGTAATAACACTCTGCCTTCCACCCCTCCCTGAGTACTAGTAGACTGCATCCCACCCCTCCCTGAGTATTAATGGTGTGCTTCCCCCTATAAAATGGTCCAAAAAATGGTCCAAAAAATGGTCCAGTCCATATTTTACCCTATGCCCAGAAAACACGATCTCCACTCTACTCGCTGACCTGGCCGTCATTCTTCGTCCAAAACTTCAGTTCAGCTGCTTTGGAATCCACAGGAACAGCCCCTGTTAGAGAAACGAACGACCAAAAATGTATTCTTTTCTCAAAAATCACTTTAAGCAACAAGTAAAAATCAGAAGCGTAATTTCAATAAACTTATCATTGGTTTCTGCGAGGTTACGTAACGCATGCGTTATTCGTGTATCTTTTCCCTTAAGAATTCCTTTCTGGATTTCTTTCAATTCGGTTTGTCAGATGCGTGTTTGTGGCCGTTTTTAGCAATTAGATGACATTTGATTGTCGGTGAAGCTTTAAAAGTATCTTAGTCACCACTAAAACACGGACAGCTCTCTGTTAAGGCTATTTGCTCTGTTCTTTTAGTGCCCTTAGAGGCTTGACTGTGTGATGCGTATGAAGGCGTGGATGGAATAATCAGCGTCCTTGACCATTCACTCACCTGCAACAGACGCCTTGTATTTCACGTCTGGTTTGACAACTTGAACGATGTTTGGGAATAAAGCGGCGCAAACAACTCCCAAAACTAACTTCTGATTCTTAGAGTTCACGTTGACCTAACGAGGCAAGAAAGAGAGTAAAGTGATCAGAAACACCTGGTTCTGTTATTGGAGGTTGTAACATAGCAACCGGAAAGCACGCAAAGTGGGCCACAGCGCCAGAGCTTATACCAGTCTAAATAGTATGAAGCAACAAGGAGTACTACTACTCTTGTACATGGGATTTTGTAAGGTACCCTGACAATTCGCCGGCACCATTTATGATTTATGATTTTCAGATGGCACATTATTCATAATACTATTATTTGAAGCGCATTACAACAGTTTGTTGGGGACTTTGGCCAGATTGCATTAGACAGTTTATAAAGGAAATTTGCAAGTGCCTCCAATTTTGGAAACAAGACCAGGCAACAACACCGGGAACTACGTTCCACGCTCTTTGTGAGAAGTGTTTGGTTTCTAAAACTTCCCCTGCTACAGAGAAGCTACAGCGAAGATACAGGAGACGGAGCCCAGGATTTATGGTCATTACCCAAGAAGACTAGAATTTCTAACCATTTGCAGATGTCATAGCAAACGCAGCAAATTCTCTTCTGTTATTTTAAAACCCTGAGCGTTGGTCCAGTCCGGGACTTGAACCCTCAACCTCCTGCCTAGGCGCTCTACAACACGTGATAGAGCACCGTGCGATGACCATGGACCAGGATCTCGATCCTTCCCTCGTTGGTACCTGTTCTAAGACAAGTAACCCCACCCCAGTGACATACCTCGTCACCTGTCGCAGCCAACACTCCGTCTCCAGTTCTCGGCGCCAGTCTCCCTATCTGTCTGGTCGTGAGATCTGCTCTGATGAACCCGATATCTGACAATAGTTCAGCGTATTGACACTTGAGGCTTGCTATCATCTACATGGAAAAAGAAGCAAACTCTTGGAGCTACTTACAGAATGGGCACTTAACAAAATATATTTCTAGGGTTGCAAAAAAAGTCTCTTTTCGTTTAAACTTTGACTTCTCACTCTCTGTGGTATGTTCTTCCTTCCTAAGAGGCTTTACAGCATTGCATAAGCTAACCTGAAGTGTCTTCATGGACAAAAAGTTTGTGCGGCAGTAGTGATGTCCAGCAGCAATTCCACTTGCCATGGTCTCCAGCCAGCCCTAAAAATGAAAATCTTTGTTAATTTATATTGGTCTGAAGAAATCTTTCCACGAGATAAACAGTCAAAACCACCGAGCAGATGTCATATTTTGCACCTCATCTTCTTCCCCTTTACTGCGGCTGGATGAAAATAAAATGGGTACTGACAAAAAGCCTGTATTAAGGCAGTCAAATTGTGGTATTTCAAAATGGATGTATGAACTTCAAAAGGAATGTTGAACTTCGAGTTGTGCAATACTGATTCGTGATTTCAATTGGAGCTTGAAGTACGCGCATATTCAAAGCAAACTTGCATTCGTCACGAGACCCAAGCGGCCCCGCACGTGCTTTGATTGAAAAACATTGTAATAAAATTATCGGGTAGGAGCCATACGTAATGACTCGAGTGGGACCGTTAAGACCGCCCTGCCTTGCGCAAGGAGGGGGGAACCAACGCAAGGGTGATTTATTGATTTATTTTTTTATTGGGTGAATTAGGTCAGACCGGGCGAGAAAAAAATTTGACTCTCAGTCATGACTTAAGTGTTGACCCCAGCCTACCACTCGGTCAATAGGCGCATACCATTACATTGTGAAGGACTGCAAGTGGAATGATCTTTCAAAATACCTTGTAGCTTTTCAGCAGAGTCATGTGATCGCTGTTACCAATGGCCATTTCTTGTCGTTTCTTATCTGCTTCTTCTCTTTTGTCGAATGGAGCGGACTAAAAATGTACACAGAAAACTAAGCATCCTTAAAAAAATGGTAAGGAAACTTTACTAGGGCACGAAACCAACCAAACAAGATGGCTGTAAACAAGCAAAGAAGGGAGGTGCGGAGCATATCCACTTTTCTGTGGCTATGGCATGAGGCGACTGAGGGTATCGCTTTCTGCTTTCCCCTAGATAGGATGCTAGTCTATTGTCTAGCCCATCCCTGTCCCGAGAATTTCATAGGATATCCTGACAGTTCGCCGATATAAAAATTATACTCCTGAGTTGAGAAAGGCAGTGTGAGAGTGAATTGTGGCGCCCTTGAACGCAAGGCATTCACTCCAGAAGAAGGTTCGAACCCAGACCTCTCGATCCAGTGTCCAATGCGCTATGCATTAGCTGACTGCGTCTCCTCTCCCATAGTTCATTTAATACTTACAAATGGAGACCGATAGCTGAGTATGGCTCCAATCGTCAGCACAGGGTCCAAACACCGGAAAATTGCACCGAGCAACATCAGCTTGCCAATCCTATAAAACAAAATGTGAAAAATTGAGAATCGATAAACGTTTGCTGCCTATTCTAAAGATGCAGGACAAACGCCTTGGTGGTATAAACTCACCGAACATCAACAGGCAAAGCTGCTAGGTGATAACCAAGAGAAGTGAGATTCTAAAAAAACAGAAAGTACACGTCCATGTTCACTTTTTTTAGAAACACTTTTAAATACAAAGGGGGTGGAGAGATTGGGGATCTTTCTTCTCACAAACCCTATGGGGGGAGGGGTAGTGGTATACGCCAATTTCATACGTCACCATGTACCTCGTCGGTGTCCAGTGCTCCGATGTTATGCAACCGTTTAATTGCGTCGTTGATCGATTCCTCGGAAGGTGGTTGTAGGAGTTTACCAAGGACATCCTGTGATGTGGGTCAAATGTATAGTAACGTTAGAGGTTGAATAAGGAAAGACGTTGCGAGCTATTGTCACTCGCGTGAGAAAGTAAATACTCTTGAGTTTCACGCAAGGATTCTTACAATTTCGCTGTCGGATGCCCCACCACTGAGCCATAGTGAGCAACTCACGGGGCTTCAAGCTCAACTCTTTCCAAACTCACCATTTGGCGACTACAAAAAGAGTAGCCTAAAATAACATTTTGGCCATTAAAAAAATACTTTTGCAATATTACACAACGGACTTTGGTTGTGGAGATCCAGGGACATCTAAAGGTTTTCTATTCGGCCAACCAAGAAAGAGGCACAAGTAATATTTTATGAAAATGTAAATCAAGAGTTCACTTCAGAGCATGAAGACTCAGTTACTGAACGTTTGAACTTGCTCCTTGAACTTCTATGTAACGCAAGCAAGAAAAACGAGGACACACACACACGAAAAAAAAAACTATTGGTTTTACTGATTTGGTTTTCTCTCCAAATAATCCAAGTCCAACTAACCTTTATCTCTCGCCCAAAGAACAGCGTCAGTACTTTAATACGAAGACATAGCTTCTCCAAAGGAACTCGCTGGATTTCTGAATTTAAAAAAACACATTTGGAAGAGTATACGCTAAGTTTAAGCCCCATCTATAAGGACTTGTTATCAGAAATGTAACAGGCATGTCGAAGAACTCAAAAATCCATTTTTGATCAACATTGCTCAGAATCATCGACGATTCACGGTTTTAATATCGTATGGTTGTCTTTGAGTTAACGGTAAACATTTCACAGATGGCCCATAGAAAAACATTATTCTTGGAGATAGCAAGGGAATATTGTTTGGGATTATTTTCCGACGAGGAATTGTTACTTGGGTTTGGAAAGTTATTCAGCATTGCATAGGGTTTGCTCTGCACCACTCTCTTATTAGTCTACGAAACTCGCGCTATCCTCCCTTTCCACCAATCAGATTAATTGGGCCACTCGCGGTTTTTCGCGGGCAAGGCAGTTTGCTTTATTCTAACACGCATTTTCATTGGTTCCTTGTTATATTTCCTGTGTTCTAATTGGTCATTTTGCCTACTCTGTTATTTCTTGATTAAGTTGAATTTTTCGTAATCTATTCATTTTTACCTGGAATCTGATGGCCGGCCATTTGGTGTTGAAATCGATGACTGGTAAACAGGTGAAAACAAACCCCGGATGTAACTCGGCCCGCTCTTCCTCGTCTCTGACGAGCATTGGCTTGTGATACCCAGACTTCCTCCAGGCTCTCCATCCCCTTTACTGAATCATACCTGCATATAACAAGATATCGAATATCCACAAATTATTTTTGTGTAACAAAATAGCGTCAGATGACTTGTTAACCAGGTTCTTTCTTGGGTAAAGACTTGAAAGCCTTAACGCAAACTCCTGAAGATTTGTTTTCATGTATGAAAGAGTTAAAACAGCCCAACTATTTTCAACATGGAATTCATTCATTAATTCAGTCATCCTCCCCTTTCTCCATTCCCATGCAGCAACTTTTTCAAGTGTCGTAAATAATCCATGACAAAATTAGCAATACATTGCACTCCGTGATTGGCTATAAGAAAAAACCCGCACCTCCTCTCAACCAACGTCTACGTTGAGCCCTCATTGGTTCCTTGTGATATTTTCCTACGTTCGGATTGGCCGATGTCATTACTTTGGTTTGACTTTATGACAATGGACTACAAAGCGCTCTACGCGAGCTTACCGAAAAAAGAAAATATCGCGTTTTTGTACCAGAACTTACCTGTTCTCTTTCATTCTTCCACAGTCGATGACAAACACGACATCATCTATAGTCACTGAAGTCTCAGCGATGTTGGTGGATAGAACAATCTTTCGGACTCCTTCTTTTTGTTTCCTGTAATGCGCAATTGTTAGAATACATTCTCTACTGTCAGTACTTATAACCCATGAGGCCCCGCGATTTTTTTTAAACAACATTTTAAAAAATCCCTGGATGAGGACACGAGCAGGGCCATAAAAATCTGTTCGACCATTTTTCCACGTCCCCGCAAGATGCAAAACGTAAGAAAGGAACAAAGACAATAAGAAGCAGCCACAAGATAAAACGCTTTTAGAACGAGTTAGTTCGGGCTGTACCGGAAAATATTTTCGTAGAGGTCATGACACACGGACCCAACCCACGCTTAGCCTTCCCACTCAGTCGCAAAGTACATATTACTACGAGGAAACAGCACAGATTTCAAAAGGATTAAATCAAGGAAGACGGCAAACTTGAGCTCGTATGTCGAACAGAGGAAAATGTTATTCACTATCACGACCGCGGGGCAAACAAAACATCTGTTTCCATGAGGATTCACACTTGAGAGCTTTGAAATTCGCGCTCTGATGCTAAGAGCCACAGAGAGCTCATAAATGAGCAAGCTCTTATATAAAGTTTATACTCGATAAGCATCCTACTTTCTGTTCGGATCATTAATTTACGCAGTGTGGCATGAGTTCTTATTCAAGACGGAACATTTTGTACTTACTTGAAGACCAAACTCTGTTCTTCACTTGAAAGTGTAGAATGCAGAGGGAGTATCCTGAATCTGAAAGTAAAGAATAATGGATCTGCCTCAAAAGATGAATATCTTGCTTGTTCCTTAAATTTCTTATCCTTTTGATGAAATTAATTTCCTCCGCAAGAGATAAGAAATAATTACACTTTCAAATTGTGTACCTGTCTGAGCTTTTCGGACTGAATCTTTTATTATTCTGAAGTTGATCCAGCAAAGTCATGATCTCTCCCATGCCTGGCAGAAACACCAGAATGGCTCCTGTCTTGGGGTACTGCAATAACAGAAAAAAAACAATTTAAGGTGGCTCAGATCTAGTGACTCATTGTGGAGGTTAAAGAGAGGGGGGAGGGAAATGTCAGGGGGGTGGCAATCATGCTTCAAACGCGCCGGTAAAAGATGGGTTTACAGAAATAAAAACGCCAATAACAAGAGATTAAATACGAACTTTGGAAATGCTCTGTTTTTATAGATACAAATCAAACTTGAAAACAATGAGCGAAAAAACTTGAAGGAATAAAATTTTTTCAGTCACCTTTTGGAGTTCATCGACTCGTCAATGCAAAAAGTCTAGACACTTGTAGACGCTGCCGCTCAAGGTCGCTTAATTGCGCAGTTGTTTCATTCCTTGCGGTCTTCCTCTAGAAGATCTCACCTTTTCCACAACGAATGAATCCAAACTTAGTCATTAGGCTTTCGGTGGTTCTACGTGGCCCCCGAAGTGAATACCAAAGGAATAAATCGAGCCTTCTATGCACAAAATCCAGCGGTAAAACCCATTTCCGAATGACACACTTACATCGACGTGAAGTTGTAATGATCGGGGGGAGGGGGGCCCCCCCCCTAAAATTCAGTTGATAAAAACAATTTATCCTGGAATTCTCCCACCAACACTTTTTTCAATATATTAATGACAGACACATAGTGTTACCTCATGTTCCTCTCCCACGATCCACTCCAGGATGGCAACAACCAGATCATAATTAATCTTGTTGTGATCCATTGTACAAAGAGACAAAATTGTACTTTTACCGTAATCTGTGATGAACAAAAAATATTGTCAAGTGTTGTTGTGTTCTAAGGCAAGACATTAATCTTCAGTGACAGCCCAACTCTCTACTAAGGAATATACAGTACCGCTCACAAAAACAAAGCACACAAAACGCGCCAATAATCGCATGCAAGTGCGAATAAAAAAAAAATGTGCGCGTCAAAATTTTGCACGTACGCACATACTGATGTTTAGAAGTAGAGGGTTAAGAAATAACTTGTTTAGTAATTCACCCATCTATAACTTTGCAAAAGCCTCCCAAGAATATCATTTTTGTACTGACTATCAGAGTAACCATAACTAAACTTTAAATTTACAAACAAAATTTATGTATGATTTATGAATATTCTTCACTTACTGGAGTATCTCCAGGCCATCTGGTCTTCTGTCAAGTTCTGATCATCAAACTTGTCATCAGGAGGCTTAAAGTCAGCAGATGAGAAAGAGTCTTGTATGTTTTGAATGTCTTTGTTTAACTGACCCTTTTTACCAGCTGTGTTGAGGACATTGGAACTTTTCAAAGGCTTTGCATAGGGGGAACTGGGATCCACTTGAAACCTGAAGAAAAGGGAGAATTCAAACTCTTAAATTGAAAAAAACAACAGTAGTTGTATCATTGATTGCTTGAGTTGTCTAAACATAAGAAAAACTTTCCTGGAAATTGGACCAGGAAACAAGACCAGGATAATATATTTGCAACATAACTCTAGAATATATTTTTAGTCACCTTAAGGTTTTTTAAAATGCTTAATTCAAATTTAATAACCATTCATCAAATATCTTTTGAAGCACAGGTGAATAAGCATTTACAAACAGCTTTCTGTCAAAAAGTTTTTTCTTTATCATTGAGTGTGATGTTGGCTCTTCAGAGTTCTCTGAAAGATTTTCATGAACAAACAAGTAAAACTTTGTCTCTTATTTGCTAACAACAGCAAAAAGTTATGCCATCTTGAATCAATAATTATTTAAACAAGGTCTTCCGTCTTATTGGATCTAAAGTCTGAAAATTCTAAAAAGCTAATAAACTTAACATAGACTTTTTGATCGCCATAAGAAATGGTACACTGGTAAAACATTAAGAAAAGAGGGGATATTTTATTCCTGTTCTAGTAAAGTAACTCCCCATTCTACCATTCTACCATTAGCATTAAGTTAAATAATAATGTATTGTGCCACACAAATTTGTAGGCTGTTTTTGCACTTTGTGTAATAAGCTGGTTTTATTCAACATTCTACATCTCTGTCCTCAGTAGTATTATTTATTGTAGAGTAATTGCAATGTTAGCATTGAAAGCAATATTTGGTCTTGTACATTACGTTACTTTTAGTACTTTATGTCATATATATAACAAGTAAAATTAGTGCTGTAAGTGTTGTTACTATTGCAAGTAGTAATTTGGTTTTTGAAAGTAAAGTTTGTTTTTGAAAAGTAATGCCAGATCATAAGAAATGTCAGTAATGTTAATGTTACAGGTGATATATGTAAATAATAATGTGTACATTCAAAAAAAAAAAAAAAAAGTTCATGAAATATTACCAGATGGTTCCCAGTTTGAGGTGGAGAATATTTGATCATGTGATGCCTTTAGACAATCATGGGCAAGTACAAATACTTGATACCTTTTAATGTGGCAAATATGTACACGACAGACACACACTTTCCTGTTCTAACATTTCCATATAATAAAAAAATTATACCCACTTTGTCAAGTCTATGGAATCCTCCAGAAAGAACTCAACAACAGGAAAAGTCCGACCTGGGTGCAGCAATTAGAAATATTTCAAAAGGTAATTAAAAAAGCCTGAAACATTTTTCATTGCAACTGAACTCCCAAAATCATAGCATTCAACCTTGATAACTTGCACAGCAATACTTCTCAGATCATTTTATTAATCACTTGAAAAATTTCCTGATAAATGACACTTCCAGTTGAAATATTAAAAAAAGAAAAGCACAAGTAATTGAAAAATATATCCTCCTAATATCATGCTAATAAAACAGAATCAAATAAATCACATCACATCAGGCCTCTAAACTCTGAGATGAACTCCACAAGAAACATTGTTTATTTTTTGTCTATTTGTTGATTTATTTTTTTTAAGGAGGATGGCAAAGTTTTCCCTATGAGAAGCCTCCACTGCAAGAAGGAAGAAACAACAGTCACTGTACAAAAGATTGCACTGTACCTGGTATGTGAATAACAGGAGCATCGTAGAAGTATCCTGAGAATAGCTGAGCATTCAATGTAGCACTCATTAGTATGACACGGATGTCTGCTCGCACAGTTATCAGGTCTTTCAGAACCATCATCAAAAAATCACTGAAAATTCAAACAGTAAACTGTCTCTTTTAATGCATCTCACATCCTGCCTCAAACATTTGTTACACACTTAAAGGTTGATGCAAAAGTGTCATCGTTAATAACCATTTGTTTTCTCCAGTTGTTGATTTAGTTTTATTTACAACATCAATGTATCTCACATGATACATTAACTCTTTGACAATTAATTACTAGTGATATATTACTCAAGCATTAAAACAAAATTGTTACCAATGGTAGTTTCTGGCTGATTACCAACTAGTAACCTGTTTCTGCAGCCAATAGGGAGGTGTAAGTTACATGACAATTTTAAATCTACCAGCTTGCTACAATCACTCATTGAAACATACTGGTACTTCCTACAAGACAATTGTTGAATAGTCCCAAAAAATTTCTCACTGAGATGCCTTTCAACTTTACAAATAAGTTTTATAACAGAAAGACCACAACAAATTTGCACTAAGATGTGATGCTGACACAAGTTGATTTCATGTCGTCCTAGTTATAAAATGCTTCCAATTTTCACACTGCTTCCAATCAATACCATCAAGGTTTCAAATATCCCTTTGACAGTGCTGTTTACCAAAATATCTATAACTGACAAATAAAAGAACATGTCACACACAGCATTAAATGCTCACCCTTCCTCTGTTCTTTCGTGAACTTCATCCACAATAATATGGCTCACACCTGGCAAAGTGGATTCCCCCTCTAAGCGCCGCAGAAGGATTCCAGTAGTGCAGTACAACAACCGTGTTTCTGAGGACTTAAAGAGAACAATTGAAAATATCAGAATAACCAGGGTTAATATTTATATTTATAAAAAGACATTCTCTGGTTAAAAATATTAAAAATGTAACCTGTGAGCCTTAAGTCAAAATCCTCTCTTGTACATGTACATCTTAGTTTGTAGAGGCTTCAGAGTGTTAGTCCAAAGCTTAGTATGTTTATTTTTTTTTTACCCTTTTACTCTCAGAAGTGTACATGTAACTTCTCCCAATAATATCAGTACACTATTCATCAAAAAGGTGATGAGAATTCTCAAACTTATCAGGTAGAAGTTGCTATCTTGATCTAACACCTAACTCTCATAACGAATTTACGAGGAAATTTGTAGCAGCTAGAAGGAAAAATTTCATGTAACAATCAGATCTTGGGAGTTAAAGATTGATTTAAGAAATGATTCTATACAGTAAAGGCATTTTTCTGTAGAATATGAAAGACAACAGAGATTAAGAACTTTTTAAAGGGCCTTGCTCTCCATAGAGTCTCTGTGGCTCAGGGGCAGAGCATCGGAACATGGAAGCTGAAGTTGTGCGGTTTGATTTCTAGTGGGGACTCAGAATTTTTTATTTATTTCATGCTTGTGACAAGAAGAAAAAAACACCTTTCTCTATCTTCTAAATAATTTACATCTCTGCATCCAAGTTACATTGTAAAGGTGTTTGCAAACATAGATGTACCTGTTTATTTTCCAGCCTGACTTGATAACCAACTGACTGTCCAATCTTGTCTACTCTCTCACTAGACACTCTTTCTGCGACAGACATGGCTGAGATGCGACGAGGCTGTGTACAGATAATGAAGCATTCACCTCCATGTCCTGCCTTAAGATGGCTGTCCAGGATGAATTGAGGAATCTGAGTTGTCTTTCCACAACTGAAAAAAAAATATGAGATGATGAGTTTGAAGTCTGAACCTAAATCAAGTAAAATTCATTGATTGAAAAATCTGAAGTAAAGATAATAGAGAAAGATGTTCTTCCTTCAGTTGCAAACATCTGATGTAGAAAAAATCTGTCTCTTTCAAGATGGAATACATTTGGATTTTACTGCCCATTATGCATTACCATGCAACTTCCTCACTCTGCAACTTTAGTTGCCAAAAATTTTACTGATTGCCATGGTATTTACAGCTTAGAGTGGATATGTGATGGCTCAACCATTAACCTACTCGACTCTTAAGAGTTCTGGGTTCAAGATGTTGCCAGGTCACTGTGTTGTGTTATTGGACAAGACACTTCACTCTCACCATGCCTCTCTCTCCATCCAGGGGTGTCAATGGGTACAAGCTAACTGTCAGGGAAAGCTAACAAAATGCCTGCCCATAGCCTGTGATGGACGAGCATTCCATCCAGGGAGGGAGGGATAGAAATACTTCCAGTTGCTTCATGCTACAGAAACCAGGATAACCTCTGGCTAGATGAGCCACTTGGCTTAACCCTTTCACTCCCATGAGTGAACAAGACAGAATTTCTCCTTCCAATATCAATACAATATCAAGCAGATAAGTGATGAGAATAAAGAAAAATATCAATTAGGGAATTATAAGTTGATCCCATACCAAATTCTCAAAACTAACATCACAAGAACTATATGGTAGACAATAAGGAGAATTACTAATGAGATCTTGGGAGTTAAAGGGTGAAGAACAGACTAACCACCCATTTTTTGAAGATTGAAGCCCTAAAAATCTACTAAATGCAATATGGCTATTACCCTGTCATTCCACTAATAACAAGAACCTGATGGTCTTGGAGTTGTTCTATGATTTTCTGCTGTGACTGCCATGCAGGGAGTTTTTTCCTTTCCTTCAGCATTGACTGATAAGCTGTGACTGACTTCAGATAAAAATAAATGTAGGGATTAAAAAAGTTAACTTAGACTTCTATGATAAAAATTATCAGTGATTGTGAGTACACCTTACAATGCACTCTAGTAGACTTATCAAAGGAATATTGGGGGTACTTAAAATATCCAGTTAGGCAGGTAAGGAAATTTATTGTGACCAAACAAGAGGCCTGGGGCAGAGAGTAAGAGATTGCTGATGTTTGAGGCTCTTGTTCATCCAGAAATCCTAGGGAATTCTCTTTCTATAGGTTAATTTTCATTCCTTAAGGATTTTTAGAGATCTAAAACACTTACACATACATATAGCTATTATCTACAGCTCTAGTGTCATTATGTTGTCATCCTTGACCTACAAGTATACAGTACATAAATCAGACAAATTGATTACATTTACTGTAAGTTTACTATCTTTAACTCCCAAGATCTGGTTATTAATTCTCCCCTCAAGCTGTTACACCTTTTCTTTCTACATTAGTTGGGAGAATTTGGTGTTAGATCAAGGAAACAACTTCTACATGATAAATTGAAGTATTCTCATTATTGATACCTGTTTGCAGGATACTTTATGAATATCATTGGGAGAAGTTACATGTTTGTCACTTCTGGGAGTTAAAAGGTTAATTACTTAAGGCCAACAGAAACATTCAATTCAACTCTTAATATAAGAAAAGTTACCTGCAATCGCTGAAATTGTTCTTTCAGTTTCCTACTTTTTTCATGGATGCTGACCTTGTCTGTGGATGTCTTTGGTTGTGTTGTTTCTGATTTCTCGTCTGCCACTTTTTTCCTTGTGGGGAAATCTCTGTGATATTCTTTCGCAGAATGAATGGAAATACTTTTCTTTAATGGCAAACTATACTCGGAAGGTGGCACGTTAAAGCAAGCAAGGATTTCATCTTCATCCTCCAGAAGGCTAGCAAGGCAAAACACCACAGGGCTCTCGGCATCACACAACTCCTTGGCTTCTCTGTTCAGCCTTAATGTGACATTGAGACAGCCTGATGATGGAACTGATTCATGTGTGGAGTAAAAAACAACCATTGGAGGTTCAAAAGGGTAAAGGGATCCCTTACAGAATCTCACTTCCAGATGAAAAGGGAAAGAGAGATCTTCACTCTCAAGACTTTTATTTTTCCTTTCTGATTTATTCAGTGCTTCTTTTGAGCCAGTTCCCTCCTCACACAAGATATGTTTAAGTCTACATTTATCACCAAATTTGCAATAACCTTGCAAAAAGAATCTACAAATATCAGCTGCAGTCTCTGCCTTCTTTCCTGCCTTACTTTTTCCTGAGTTTTCCTTTCTGCTTTCCTGCTTAAATTTATCCAGTAGAAAGGGCAACGATAATTTTATGGTCCACACATTGTCTGCAATAACCTTTGTAAAGGCGTCATTGTAAATTGATTCAAGAGCCACTGCTTCTTCTTGTCTATGAGACGACGCTTCCTGGAACCTTTCATCGCTATAATCGGGATTTGTCTTTCCAAGACAACTTAGTCCACAACAGCTGCAGATTAAAAACTCCAGCGCTGCTCCTAAATCACCTTCGCTCTCCTTAAGAGCTTCAGTGCATCTAATTCTCTCAAAGCCGCACTGCTGCAATTTTTTAACCGCATGAGAACTATAAATTTCTTCGTCAATTTGTGATTCGCCGTCGCGATTATCAGCATTGCTGACACCACCCTCAATCAAGAGTTTGTTATCGCCAAATTTTTTCCAATAAGCTTCATTGATCCTCGCCTGCTTAACACTGGAAACCAAACTCTTCTGGTCCTCGTGGCCGCTTTGAGAAAGTTGCAAGTCATGCAAAACTTCTTTAATCATTTCCTGGTTTTCTATGCTCATTTGAAGTTTTTGAATCGGGGCCTTCGATCTCCGTTTAATTTTCGGCATCACGTCTCTCTCTTTTACCGGCAAAAGATCACGAGGTTTGCTAACATCACCATAGTCATTGTCGTCTTCCAAGTCCTCTTGTTTTTCTAATTCTGAAGGAAAAACGGTACGATTTACCGAGCGCGGCTTTAAATTGTGACGTCCTCCCCCTCGATTTGGTCTTCGAGACCCACCACGTCCGCGATTCATTCTTAAATTCTAAATTTACTCAACTACTGACTCTAGTACGGCTAAGTTCAAATGTCCTTTCTTCCTTGACAAATATTCACCAGGCGTCTTTATTTTAGCTCCCAGGGTCTCTCTGACGTTTATGGGGAGCTGTCTTGAATAAGCCTGAGAGTCATCAAAGAGGGAACGATTCGAATCCTGAATGTCTCTGATACAAACCTGTCTCCTCCGTCAGCTAGGGCTGCAAGTGGTACTTGGTAAATACAGGAATCGGGGACAATTGTGAGTTCAATTGTGAGTTCTGGATCCTTCAGTGCAAATGGGCCACAGGAGCGATGATTATCTTGTAACACAAGGGAAGATTTTTTTTTTTATATCTTTAGCATCATTATCAGGCAAGAGCGCACGATTATCGTAGTGAAGTGAGATCAGTTCGGTTTCATCCAAAGATCAATTTTGCAATTCTGTTCGGGTAAAACACCAAGGCCGCGGAAACTTTCTTTAAAAAAATTCATCCAAGTCAGGGACCAATCAGGTCACCGCGTCCTTTTCCAGACTTTTCAAGACTCTTCAAAAACAGAATAACTCTCGTTTCTTTGAGAATCCAAAACAGTACATGTTCTTCATCAACCGAAACGTACAGGCATGTACATTCGGGCTCTTTTCAGAAGATCTCTTGAATGCCACACCATGATTGTGGATTGCCTAAGATCTGCTCTTCGACACAGTACCGAGCTTCCATCAAGTCGGCTAAGCCTCTTGCCCGTCTCAATTCTTCGACATAAAGGGCTTCTTGTGGCTTTACGGTAGAAGAGAGCAACCAGCTGAGCAACTTGTAGGGAAGAGTGCCGTGCGCCTCTAGAAGAGATGTTTGTGATATCTTCAACACCGTTAGATTACATAGGAATTGAAACTCGTTCAAGCAGTGTCCAATATCCCTGCTTAACAGGAGAGCCTTCTTGAGGTGTTGTTCATGCAGCCATGTCATGTTTACCAAGTGATTGGAAACACAATCCGAGTTTTGCGTATGTGGTTACAGCTCCTTCTTTCTCGCCAGTTTCCATGTAAATTGCAAGGGCATTCATGAGATACTTTTCAGCCTTATCATATTCACCACGCCGAATATAAATCACCCCGTGGTGTAAGTAACCCGCTGCTTCTCCGCTTCTGTCACCGATTCCCATTCTAATTGTCAATGCTCTCTCAAGGTAATCGTCAGCCTTTCGATATTTACCTTGTGACAGATATAAAGCTGCTAAGTTTCCATAACTGTATGCTTCTCCTATTCTGTCGCCGATGATCTTTGCAATGCGCAATGCTTTTTCTGTATGTTCTTGAACCTCACCGTATTCCTCAAGAGACAAGAACAATGTTGCTAAGTTTCCGTAGCTTACTGCTTCTCCGTTACCGTTGCCAATTTCTATGCTGATAGCGAGTGCTTTCTCCTGGTATTCTCGGGCCTTGTCGTATTTATAAACCGATTTGAGCGAAATTCCTAGGTTTCAGCAACTTTTTTCTTCTCATTTTCTGTTGCCCATTTCGATTTTTATCGCAAGGGCTTTCTCCTGATACTCGCGGGCTTTGATATATTTACAAAGCGATTGCAACAATGCTCCTTGGCTGCCGTAGTTTGCTGCTTCTTCATTTACGTCGCCAATTTCCATGTTGACGGCGAGTGCTTTCTCCTTGCATTCTCGGGCCTTGTCATATTTACCAAGCGATTGGAGCAATGCTCCCAGGTTTCCGAACCTTCCTGCTTCACCTCCCCTGTCGCAAATTTCTATTCTTATATCAAGTGCTCTCTTCTGATATTCTCGCGCCTTATTAGATTTACCAGCATGTTGCTCTTCCTCCCGTCGCCAATTTCGATTCTGTTCGCAAGTCCTTTCTCCTTATGTTAATGAAGCGCTATTGCATGGAATGAGCTTGGGCAGATAGGCTACAACATCAACCGGTGGATTGTTCTGAAAAATATATACTGCCATCAAGAATAGGCAAAACCCCCTAAAACAGCTCATTTTTCAACAGTTGCCAGATAAATCTTTCAAGCAATTGCGTTTATGGAAGAGGCTGCTTAGTGTTCTAGGTGGTCAGGCCAAAGACAACGATAAAGCATGCGTCTGATTTCATGTGACCACCACTTTTTAATAGCAACTCTCGTGAAATTAAAAAATTTTCAGCACCGCTTGTAGAAGAAAATCTGTGTCTTTCAAACCGGATGTGACGTCAACCTTACAAGGTTTTGAGCCCTCTCTGCTTTATTCCTACTTGGAGCAGGTCATGTCAAACATGGCCGAGGCGATGAGGTCTAGGCGGAGCGGGTAAGTGCCGTTAAACGGCACAGTTTTGTCGACTGTCTGTCAGTGTTGCAGACAGAGGTAAGAATATTTACATTCGCAAAAATTAAGCAGGTTTCCTCCTCCATATGGTGCTGTTGTAAAGCTGTCTAAAGCAGTAGTTGTAAGTGCTTTAAGTAGTTGGCGATTTCAATTATTTAATTAAGTAAAAGCTCAAAACCCAGTTAATAAGAACAAAAGGAGAGTCCAGAAGCCATAGACTCCGTAACTAAAATCAAGAATTCAGGTAAATCACGTAATGAAAGAATTCTCTGGCTGTCAAGGACACAAAATAATAAATTTAACACAATAGGTGTTTGTGAAAATATTCAAAAATTACGGAGGTGAGTAAAAATAGCTTTGAATTGAATATGCTATCAACGCTTTTATTTGACTTTAAGAATAGCGTGTAAAGAGATAAGGAATATCAGCAATTTACTTCGTAACTACATGCTTCAAGGTAAATTATTCGCTTAAAGTACAGTCTGAAATTTTGTAGACGCACATTACAGAAATCAAAATAATTTTGCTCTCCGTAGATGTTAAGCTGATTACTTTGCAAATTTGCATCATTTCTTGGGACAAAGTATCGTTTACTTTTTATTCGCTTAAAGATCACAAACAGTCTGTCAAATTTTGAATTTTATCCATTAGACGCACATTCCAGAAAATCGAAAAATACTTTGCCTGAAGCGCACACGCAAACTATGCATTTTACCTCTATCAAAAGTATTACCAAAACAATTTCCATTATGAAAAGCCCTATTTGTTTGCCTTAATTGGTAATTCATTGCGTTTCATTTATACAGAGCTACTATAAACTTTTAACAAAAAGGAATAAAAAAATTTATCAAAACACTGTCCTTTACGTAAGCTTTCTCACGTCATGTAAAACCTTGATACCTTTTCCTCAACGTTGCAGTATAAATGGAAATATGTATAAGGCAAGCTTTTGTCTCGACGAAAGTTAAAGACAAGTTTTTTGGCTGATGTACATAGCTAGCAATTTTTTTGAATCCTTGGCAAGAGTTCTTGTCGAGAAAACTTCAAATGTCGCCTAACAAGTTCATTGGATAAAGTTTATATGTGAGGGTTAATAAAGTTGTCTTTATATCCTTGATCTTGATCTAGAGATCAACGGAATCTCAAGAAACCATTCGGCCTAGTTCTGAAACCCCAGTCTCAAGTTGTTTAGTCAACACTTTGATGAATCAAACCTCGTTAACTGGGCTCAATTCCTAGTGAACGCACGCGTGTCACGTGAATTCATGAGCTACCTCGTGCTTCCGGATCATGAGCTCAGCCATTGCTCACACACATAAGACTGTGATTTTTTTCCATGAAACTTTTTACAGCTTGAAATAAATTCTTAATCGTTCCTTCAGAGGAAGGTGGCCAAAAAAGCGTTCGTGTTTCATAAAGAACCGAGCCTCCAACTGACTAAGCCTTTATTTTACATTAAGCCTGACCACCATAAAATCGCCTCGCTTGATTCGAAAAGATTATAGAGAAACTTCACCAAATTAAAAGTCACCAACGACCCGAACAATTGAGACGACATCGATTGCACGTAGTATGGTAACGAGACATTTCTCTTACTTTTATCAAACAGTGGAAGATTCCAATGAACTAAGTTTCATTTGTTTATGTTGGCTGTGTCAGTGATGATGAAATGACAATCGATGGTCTTGTGCGTGGCTGTACCAGATTCCGACAGGACCCTATTAGAATCCTTATGGCTCTTCTCATTTCGGCATCGCGGAAGGCGTACACAAAGGGATTTAAGGCGCTGTTACTGTACTGCAGGCACTTGATGCAGGCTCCGATACGCCCTATATCTACGAGGGCCAAATTGCAAGGGAAACAATACGTAAACACGAACGCACCCACTAAGTGGGGGAGCCAAGTAATGAAGAACACGCCACTGATCACTAATAGCGTCGAAGCCGTTTTTATCTCGCGTCGAATTTTCCTCCTCTCATTGGCCCTAGTTACATTTGCTTCTCCTGCTGGTTCCACATTGCTGTGAATCAAAGACTTGGTGATCTTGAAAATGAGAGCGTTTACAAGAGAAATGACGAACAGCGCTAAGAGGAACACAGTCGAGAGGGTGTACAGTGGAAAGTTTTTGCTGATGCGGGAAGTTAGTGCGAAATGAAGAGAGGAGAGTAAGATGGACAAAGCCCAGACAACTCCTAGAGTAAAATGGTAGGACTTCACAGGAAGGCGGTGGTGCAAGAAAGGTTTAGAGATGGCAATATATTTGTCCACCGTCACTGACATCAAATGAAAAACAGACGCGGTGCCGCTGAAGATATCCAAGGACATGAATGTCTTGGTCAGCAGATGGTTGACGGAATAGCCTTCCCTCAGCGTTACAAGATAAAGAGGCACAGCTATTGCACCGATGAGCAAGTCGGATACTGCTAAACTTACTATGAAGACATTCGAACTTGTACGCAGCCTGAGAGTTTTCTTGTATGCTAATATGATGAGTGTGTTTCCAACTAAAATAAACGATATCAAACCGAAGAGGAAAGCGTCTCGCGCAATTTTCTCGCCTTCTGGAGGCCCGTACATCTGGGTGGCAGAACAAGGCCTCTGGCAACTGGAAGGATGCGTGTTTCTACCTCAAAGCGTGAGCGAATGTTTTAGTTCAACAGTGTGCACCTTCCTAAGTTATTTTTATTGTATATTTTGTCTTTTTGTGATGAAATCAATACAGACACTTGTCACACTATCAGGTTTCCAATTGATTAAAAGAAGACAATTTTATTTGCAAGCCGTCACTTGCAGTTGTCCTCTTGAAAATCGGAAAGTTTGCTTTTTTATCTCCTTGGGGGGGTGGGGGTGTGGAGGATTGCAACAGAAATTTTCCTGGCCCGGTATTCCCAAGGGTTCTAAGCTACTTTAATGCGCTAAAACCAGGAGCCCATTAAGTAATGGGCTACTGGCTAAAACCGATTGCAAATGGCCAGAAACTGTTGAAACTCAACCGGCAGAAAAGAATGAGATCAAAGAATGTTGGGTGTATTTTCGGGACCCGATTTTTCCAAAATTTCCTTAAAAAAACAAACATCAATTAGGAAGTGTCAAGATCCTCAAAAGCCTCAAGGCATTAGTACAATGGCCAGGCGATTTTCTGAAACTGGATTCATTTTTCCGGGTTAAAAAAAAAATCATTTTTAATTTGGCGGTAAAGTTCATGAGCAAAGCTAAAGAAAGGATCATGTCATATAGAAAAATAAATATTGATTACATCATGACATTAGCTCTGGTTAATACGAAACAAGAAAGGCTCTTGAAAGAAAAAAAAGACGAATGCATGAGAACGCGCTTTTCTTTCACGATCAAAAGTCAAAAGATAGCTATTGATCTCACATTCATGGGAAAAAATAATTATGTACCAATTGGTTGGAGTATACAATTTCCATGCGACCTTAGGTTGGAAATGCATACTGCCGATAATCCACCGTCGCTCGTTCGTTTCGTTCCCCTCCTGCCCTCAAGACAATGTCTTCCATCGACTACCAAGTGATCTTAATTAAATCTTGGACTGTATGTAAAATAAAGTATCAATATTTGATTGTATATGTGATAGAGCAGCGACTGTTCTTAGCTAACTGCAATCTTCTGATGTTTTCCCACGAAACGTCATTTGGTTGTAGATCGGAAGTGTTTACACGTTTGAAAGTTGTGTCAGACACATCCTTGATTTCTGATAACGAAATGTCATTTCAGGGAAAAAAAGAAAGGAGCTTGAAAATCAAAACGGATGAAATTATATTCGGCTTTTCATTAAATTTCATGGACTCAAAACAGCCCAACCTGATATCTATCGGTCTTGTCAGTTTGTCTAATTAATTCCGATCAGTTTACGTCATTATTATTTTTAACGTGTCGAATCTCGTTAATTCAACTGAATTCATTTGTAAATTTGATTGAACTTAACTTTATTCGAAAAGATTCATGACAAAGATAATTAGTTATCAAAAAGGGCAAAATTTAATCTTTTTTTAATCCTCGTATTATTTTTAAGCAACTTCAGACAGATTCTGATTAATATGTTGATTTGTCTCCAATTATGTTGGATAGTTTTTTTGACTTGAGCAATGAAACCTGTTAAATTTTAAACTCAGTTGAGTGTGTTTTGAGGTGTTATGACAAGACAGGCCTTACAACTGAGACCAAAGTTTAAAAAAAAACCTATATTTGAAGACAAGTTAGGCATAATTGATGGTACCTATCAAAACTTCCCAAAATTGATAACAAGGATAATAATAATAATTCCACTCCTGTTTCATTTGATCAATCTTTATTTAACGAAAAGTACCAAAACTGATACTGATATATCTTTTCAAGAATGTTTATTTTGCTCAATTTTTATCCGAATTTGCGTCAACAGGGCAAATGTGACGCATTTTTCCGACGTGAAAAACGCCCTTTACGTGAGTCCGGCTAAATTGAAAAAACAAGTTTAAGTCATATAATAACAAACAAAGAAGAACATAACAACAAGGATGGCTGAGAACAGAGAAAATTAAAAGAGATTTATTATAGGGAAAATTGAGAAATCAAGGCTGAAGTTTTCATGGCGAAAAAAAAGAAAATTTCTCATTAAGCTTCATTGAATAGAACTCAAAGCACAGGTCAGAACCGAATGTTCCATGAGCCGATTTATTTTAAGAAAAATGCGGCTACTAACTCAATTTAGAAAGGCTCTCTTATTCTAGTATGGGGGCCGGGAAATCTGGTCTTAAAATCAGTTTTGGAACGGCTTTATTCAGTCGCCGTTTTCATCTCTCCCCCCAAAGTCACACCTCGTGAAGATCGAAGACTGGACTCGAGAAAACAGTGGAAGCGGAAATCGAGCCTATCATATAGAAAACGGAGAAAAGAATATTCCTGGCGCCACATGAAGTCCAGGAAGGGAATCACGCAACGGACTACATATCAAAATTGTTTCTATGCTATGGAATGAATAGTATACGCATGTGCACTTTTTAAATAACCTCCTTCGCGCATATAAGCTCGAGGGTATGCAAATAGCCACCCAAGGAAGGGCTTGAATTACTAAAATAAAATCCTCCTTATGCTATTTTGATCAATGCTTACACTCATGTATGCTTAAGAATTCCAGTCAGGAATTTTTGCGTCGCCTAATACAACATAATGACATTGACGGTACCTACTGTTACGAGAAACTTCGAGCAAAAATTTGCTTATTGTTGCCCAGAATTTCTTGCTTTTGATTGTCTCCCGTGACAAGATTAATTTTATTTCCCTTCCTTATTAAAATTTATTTCTTGTCTCTGGATGGCCAGTGAATGAAAAAGAGCTAGGTTGTAGTTACGTACTGAATAATAGTTCTTTTGCATGCAAAATCTTAAAAAGTTTATAGAACGGATTTTTACATAATGGGGGTCAGCTGGAATCACGCTGAACAGATACACAAGAAAACTCCGCATCTAACTAAGATATTTTTGTCTCGTTTTTTGCAATGTTAATTAATGCACTGAAGCAAATCGACCGTAGGGTGTTCTGTCGCATTGAGACGCAAACAAACACAGCAACTGCTAACATTGGAATATATGGCAATGTGAGAACCAAATTGGTTGAAAAAGGTTACACGATACATTTGATAACTGAACAAACTGGCGCTGTTAACGAAAGGTAAGAGGGAGGCCATTTGAAACAAATGAAAGATTCTCTTTTCTTGGGATAAATATTCGCATACCCGGTGCGATAATTAATATCCACCTCAGTGAGGAAATTGAATTGTTTCGACGCATACAAATTGATACCATAAGCTTCAAACTCTACTTTGAATTCAGAAATGAACCCAGTTGATGCCTGAGTAGTTTATATTAGGAAACATTGAAAAGCCATAAGCATCTAAGACTCTACAATTGTGCTCTGACTTTCGATCAAGTTGGTTTTCAGTTCAGTGATTTGTTTCCTATTTCAACTGAATCATGATGTCTCTAATTATTGACTAAACATATTTCTATGAATCAAATGTTCCCTTAATATGAACATTCTTCTTTAATAAAGAGACGACACGAACCGTAGAGGTTTTGATTAAGATCACGTTTTTAGACCAGATAAAACCCATTGAAATTTTCTAGACTGATCTTTCCGAATCATTAAAGCGACAAATGGTGAGTAACAAGGCACTGACTTCGTACCCGACTGAGTAAAATGTTTTATTTTGACTTCTGTAATCGACGTTTCGTGAAATATTTAACTTATCGTTTGAATTAGTACCATACTTTTGAGAACAAAGTTGAACAAATTTGACAGAACTTCATTGCTGCAATTATCACCACAAACCACTTAAAATTTTCTCTAATTTATTCCGAGAGTTAAGGAATTGAGATGGACAGATAGTGTTGAGTGCGGTAATCATCTTTAAACATCTAACTTATATGAATCTGGTATTCGTAGAAGAAGTAAAAGCTAATGAATTTCTAATCGTTAACATAATTACAAAAACATTTAAATTTGGAATACACTGCATGCGTCCGTTTTCAGACACCCGTTCGAAGTCGAAGTTATGACAAAACTTCATCACGAAATGATCATCTTCGCGTACATCCCAGTTTTCAAATGAATTTGTGTGAACGAACGAGATCAGCGGTTTTTTATAATGTTAACTCGCTACGTAGACTTTCTGATCGGCACCGAAAATGAGACACTGGAGCTAAGGCTGGCAGACATGTCTAAAGATTGTTACATTTTTCAAAATCCTATCGTCAGATAATTATGATTAAATTATACACAGTTCGCAGAAAAACCTTTCCGTTACAAATGGAATTGGATAGGAATATTTTACCCCAACTTTGGAACACTCATGAAGTCGGCAAACATATTTGTTGGGAAATGTGTTTTGTCTCTCGTTTTTTAGTTTCCGAATCAGCAAGGTCGAACCGGTGTCCTGCTGTGAAAATATTCAAAACAAAAAGCTGCTTTAATAACTCAAAATTAACGACGAAGTTAGTCAGAAAATGAAAACGAAGTAAAAATTGTCAGCTGTGGTTATAAACTTTGTCAATTTTTAAGCAAAGAGACATTCAGAAACGACTACTTAAAACAAAGTTCTTAAATTGCATTTTAAAAATGTAGATTTTTCATAATAAAATTACACTTATTTAGAATTCTGAAATTAAATTAGTCATGAATTGCTTTCGGTCCAAAAGATGGCAAACTAATGTCCCAACTGTCACCTCAAAAGTCTCCAAAACAGAGTTGATGATTCGAAAATGCAACCTTCAAACTTAGACCTTTGCTTTGCAGTACTTGGCCCGTTTAAATAATATTTAAATATCCTTATTACCCTTTTCCAACAAAAAAGATTGGTTGTTTGGATTTTGGGAAATATGAAAAGTGAATGACGTGAGAAAATTGAGTATAGAATTGAACTTGAGTCTCACAAACATCAGCCAAAATTTTTGTTTGCTTGATTCAAATTGGAGTATTTAACTTCGAAGATCATAACGTCACATAATTGAAAATAGAACATGATAAGAAGTATCCCTGAATGTTTGTTAGAATAGTTTTTTTAGACAGAGCAGTTTTCAATTGAGAGTTGAAAGTGATCCTGGGTTGCTTTGATTTTGCTTTAACTCGCTCTTTAATTGGTTAAGAAAACTGGCACCACCATCTCAACCAATCAACTGCAAAACTAAAACTTGGTCACCCGCGTTTTCCCGCCCTTTGAGCAAGTTGTTTCTTTTACTGAGTTCTCATTGGCTGATGATTTTGTTGTCCTTAGTTCCGATTGGTTAGTTGTGATGACGTTAGATTTTTGTTTTTCGACACTCGTATGAAAAATGCTCTAAGAGTGATAACCAATCAAGAGCAAAAGATTCTCTGCAGAAACTTTACCTGTTGATATTCTCTTGACTTGACCAAGATCACAGAATACTTTGTTTGGATTTTTTTTTCACTTTTCCCATCGTTGCATCTAAACCGTTTTCCTTCAAATTACAGACCGGGTGATAAGCCAGTAGATCAAGGAACCTCCTGTGCCTCAAAGCACAAGTCTTACCACCACAGTCATGGCAACACTGTTATGGACAACGATGATGGTGATTCTTTCACAACAGGAAATTCTTGTAAAAGGTAAAAGGATGAAGTATTCAATTTGAAAATCGTTTCCTTAAATGGCTGACTTCATCAAATTCTAATTTTTGCATTTCATAAAAAATTACTTTCGATCTTCAAGAAAACACAGAACACATGTTTGTTTGTTTGTTTTTTTTTTTGCTATAACGGTTCTCATTGGCTCTCAATAACGTTATCCTTTCAGATTCGTCGTTGTAGTTTTTTTATGTTTAGTTTTAAGACGCAGTCAAAATGTGTTCCGTCTTTCCTAAAAATCTTTTTTTCATTTCTCATTATAGCGGACTGCTTTGAGAATATGATCACTAACGTCACATACACAGCCTCGTCAACTAAAACGAATTACCCGCCAAGTGACGCCGTCATAGATAACGACGGGGCCTGGTGCACAGGCGAGATTCCTCCTAACCAGTACCTTGATGTGAACCTCGGCAACCTCTATGACGTATGCGGTGTTAAAATACAAGGCTATGCCGATGGCACTGTCAACTCTTATCCTAGCAAATATAAACTGGCGTTCTCCAGCAAAGAAAATGTTTGGTCGGTTCCCACACAGGTTAATATACTCCACGCATACCCTTGTCATTAATCTCGTACCCAGATCCTACCATGTAACTGTAACTGAAATGTACAACCGCTTCGCTGTGGAAGGTCTGGGTACGAGAGTACCTTGTCAAGTGATTATGTCAATCATTAACAATGGTCATTTTCTCTCCATCTCAAGCGCCTCTTGACCTTTTTAGCGGGTCGGTTTTTTTTTCTCAATGCGGGTCATGTGATAATATTTGGAGAACTCTTTATTTCAAATTTTGTTCTATTCACGTACATATGAACCCATAATTTGCAAAAAGATAAAAAAGGTGAAATTCCCTTGAGTCATCAATTGGGAAAACAGAACATACAAGCTAACATAAGGGTTTATTACAACATATTTATCTACACTCTATCAAAAATCTCAGTTTTTTTCCGCTCTTTTAGGGAGATCCCCCACCCCTATGAAAGCAATTACTCTGAGCTCAACTTCTTGGGTGGGTCTGTCAGTAGTCCAATAGTTTGATGCTTCTTTAAGATAAGTACGGGTAAAAAGAAAATCGCTCTGACTTATACCTCTTGCGCTGTCTTATATTTTCACATTTTACGAGTTATTCACGGTCAGTGGTTAACGTTTATTTGGTTTACTTCCTTGCGATAGGAATTCGTTACTAATTCCGCCGACGCGAATGATACTATTCAAAATCAGTTGGTGGAAACAAGAGCAGTATCCAGCGTGCGATTCCAGCCAACACAAGTAAATGGATCATCGATGTGTCTCAGAGTTGCAGTTTATGGAACTCCAGGTGACATTAAATGCGGAAAAGATTATTTTATGTTCTCATTCCTCCTAATATGATGATAAAATGTGCCCTTTCTGTTTCAATTTTTAAACAGTATGTGTTCTGTCGTTATTTATAATAATCGTCACACTTTTTAATACCTGTCGCTGTCCTTTCTGTAGGGCTTTATTACGATCTGACGAAAATGCTTTTTTCATATTTTCATCTAATATTTCATTTATTCCTTTTTAGCTTTTAACGTTTCCTGTGACGCGTTTTGGATGAACGTCACCATTTCTAAACATACTCTGGGGTCAGATTTACACGAGCTGTACATAAACCAGCGGACTGATGAGTGTACGCATACTATCAATCCTGACGAGGACGTCTCTCTTCATTTAAAAACTGGCGCATGCGGAATGAGGGTATCACAACGCGGCAATTATCTGCATTACCAGAACACGGTGCACGGTGAAGCGGGAAGAAACGCGCAAGGAGTCAAGATCACTTTCACCCACGACATATCATTTGACGCTACCTGTATCTATGAGAGGAACGCAACTCTAAAAGCCGACATCGAGACAATTAATAATTTCAAACTACCAACTACAAGCAAAGGTATTAGTTTTACTTTTAAGCTTTGTTGGTCATAGATGGTTTCAGACAATTCAAAATGGCCTATTGACTTGTATGTTAAAAATTGTTTGTTTGTTTTTTTTTTTTTCCTTTGAGCTTTTCAGGGCACAAAGGGTAAGGCTTGGATAATAGCAAAACAAATGCATAAATGTGTAATTTCATTTTTTCGCACTTGTTTGCTTCACTAATCAACGTACAAAGGCAACGCAAACGAAAGAAATCAACACCTTCTTTAGACTTGCGTTCGGTTCCTGAATCAACAGTGTTAACGAAAGTTCACAGCCCAATTTGTATGTTCTGCATCTCTGGCGTGAGAAATGTCACGATAGAAATGCATAGTTCTGTAAGTTTTAAAAAAGTTAGCACTTGACGGGGAGAAAGCACGATATCTTGCGGAATCGATATGGAAAATATCTCTTAAAGTTCCGTTTTTAACAGAAAATGCTATTTTAGAAAACACAAAATAGTTTAGAAATCGGTCACTCTGATTTATTTGATTTTAGAGTACGGAAGCTTGGATTTTAAAATGAGGGCATTCCGTGACAGTGATCATTCTAAAAAACTCGAATCTAACGCCGGGCCTTTGGCGATTGGAAGCACGTTGTACATAGAGGTCGAGGTTCTTTCAGCTGACAAAGATCTGCACCTTCTGTTGGAGAGATGTTGGGCGACAGCCTCGTCAGTTCCAACGGATGTGAATCAGCGTCAATTTGTCCTAGACGGGTAAGAATATTAAAGACCAGTGTGTCATGATTAAAATGTATCTGATCCCATCATAAGGTTCTGTAATGTTCCCCCTCCCCTACCCCCCACATTGGCAGTTGATTGAAAGTCAATTTATTATGTCCCTACTCCCTATATATTGTGTAGGCGATCCCGCCAAACTCCTCCACACCTCCCTCCGTGAGATAAGTAATGACTTGGCATTTTGGCACAACAAGAAGCATAGATAGCTGTAAATGGGAGGAAGAGCGTTCGGAAAATTATAGGGTGATGTGGGGGCGGCCCTGATGCTATCTAAATACCCGAAGGCCTGGGGTGGAAAAGAAGGGATAAAACTGTGATTTGCACGCTTTTTACTGAGAAATATCATCTGGGTCACTGCTACTAGGAATCTCAAGAGAAAATTGGAAACAGGTTTAAAATCAACATTTTATACCATTTGGTGGAGAGTATTCAGATAAGGACTTTTCAAACCAAAAGAGGCAGCGTCTCTCAAAGGCTCTTTGTTGTGGATATTTGTTTTTCTCTAAATAGTAACTCCTCACATTTTTTTTTTATACCTTGATACAGATGTCCAGATACTGACTCCGACAATCGTACGGCACATTCCTGCCAAAAATCTTCGCTCCAAAAGTTTGAATTCGCAGTGTTTCGTTTCAAAGTTAGTGACGTCGTTTTCGTGCATTGTGACGTATTTGTCTGCTTGGCTGGAGTCCAGAATTCAAGTTGCTTCGATAAATGCGCAGCATGCGATGACAAATTGGGGAGAAAGAGAAGATCAATTGAAGATGAAAATTACGATAAAGGATCCAGGCCTCATCATCTCAGGATTGGCCCATGGCAGATTGAAGAGGAAGGCAAAGGTTTTCAGTTTTTCTTCATTAATATTAGAAATATTTACTTTTGAATAACGGGGTACATATCTTTTTTCTGAGATCAGTGAGCATCCAAAATTTCTCCATCCTTGACCCCTTCATAACTTCCCTCATATAAACTTCTCTCTTCTCCAGTTTGAACTCTTACCTTTCACCTCTAATTCCCTTCCTTATTTCTCTTCCACTAACCCCTCACCCCCATATTTGCCCCTTACATCACGTCCCTCCCTCATCGCTCTTCGTCCTTCACTCCTCGACCTTTGCCCCTAATTCCCGCCATCATCCACTCGTCCCCAGTCGTTCCTCTACCTTTGACTGTCAAGAGGAAGCGCGCTAGGATGCGCGGAGACGTTTCCTTCGTCGTAGTAGTTCTAGTCGCTCACGAAAGTTCAGCTGCGTGTTATAAATGAGAACAAACTGAAGAACAGTCAGCATTATATCCTTCTAATTTAGAATCTTTCTGAATAACTGTTAACAAAAAAACTTTTTCTCATGCGCGGATATCTACTTAAAAACCTGTCTCTCTTGTAGATGCTTCTGCTGATACGACCACCAAAGATGATTCCACTGATTACATGACAATCGTACTGGCGGTCACCGGTTTCGTCGCCGTTGCTTTGCTTGTCGCAGTTACCGCCGTGATTGTGATACACATGCGCAGGATGGCCAGCCCCACAGAGCACTCTAAGATCCTTCGACAAGGATCACCTAGGAAGGAGAGAAATATTAGCATGTGAATGAGTTGACCAAGCTTGTATTTGCTTGGATCGAATTTTAGTTTTGCAAAATTGTAAAGAGCCTGTATAACATATAGATAGAACCTTCTGCAGTTTTTCGCTTGTGTGTACTAAAGCGAGTTAAAAAATTATTTTAGGTCAACTGCTAATTACTGCGAGCTCGCCATGTTGGTCAGAGACGTTGCTGAGCAACATGAGACATGGGCTTGTGAAGATTTAATTGGGTGGTGGCTCAAAGTTTATTGTTCGATTACTCACAGTTTCTTTGTAATCTGAGTCCGAAATGAATCTGAAATCTCTGTAAGGGAAGTGCCTGATTGACTGATAGAGAGGTTTAATAGGTTTGACCTGTGCGAGGGAAACATTTTGAAAAACTCGTGACCATATCATCAGTTTTCATTTCTAATCGCTGACGAGTTTCAACAAGCCGTTCGCGGCAGCTGCATTCAGAACTCTGATTTTGTTCACTTTCATGCAGGCCTTAGATAAATTGTGTCGGAATAGAAGAGAAAAACCTCCGTCTCACTGTAAATTAAAATGTTTTTTCTTAAGTGTCGATAAACTTAAGAGCTAATGTCAGCATGCATCAAACAAACAGCGGCAAGTCACCCAAATTTGTTTTCCCTCCTACTTTTATATTTTGTAGCCCAATATTTCTAATAATTGTGGTGTAGTTTTTTTGTTAAAATATATTTTAGTTTTCGAGAAATATTTTTTTTCGTTCGACCGCTCAAATATGCAAATTTTCACCGTGATTATTACCCGAGTTATGTGACCTCATGTATCGAATGTACTAGACCTACGGTATTTCTGTGAACATAATCCTTTGTTTTATCATCTAAACTTAATCCCCTGTCGTTATTGAAGCTACCAAAGAAATATTTATTTTTTTGGTGAATATTTTTGTCCGACATACTTTTCCTATGTCGAAAAGTAGCATCAAAACAAAGACAGTTTTAACAATGACCGATAATCTACTGAGCTTCAAGCTTTTAACAGACCAAAGGATGGTTATAAAGTTACTATAAAAATTTCTTTGTGTATTTGCGTTGTTCTATCTTGAGACGAACTCAAAGTCCAGTAAAATTTACTTGATAGCGACTATGAAATGTACATGGTGTGCCTGCTTGTCGCCACCGTTAACTGGCATAAATCACTACAATTTGCAAAAAAATCTAACATAACACTCTTATCTTGTTTATTTATGATTTTTTTAGCTGTTTCGATGATCACGTTAATTATGCTCTACCACATTCTAGCCAGATTTGAGTTCAAAAGTGCCAAAAGAAATGTCCGGCCATGGTGAAGGTAGGGTTAAGTCGATTCCAAAAGCTGATAGGGGAATTAGCAAGCGTGTATCACAGATAATAATCAAGATGTCTGGAAAATTCATACAATATGGCTTCGGTAAGTAGGCTACTTACCACCGTGAGCAAAATTACGCGTGACGTCAGAGTTAAGTTTCGATTGGGAATTGGTCAATAGGCTACCAAAAATTCAGTCATAGGCGGAATTTTCTGATTTCCTCGCTCCCTCAGAGGATTCATACAAATGAGAGCCGTGCCGCGTTTACATTTTACAGATAGAAAAGGTCGTCCAGAATGAGTGTTTCGTTCTGTAATGAAAACCCCAATAAACTCAGTCAGAAATGACTCATTTCAAATACATTTTACGCTGGTTATTATGTGGCAACCGGTATGAACTCGTTCTTGTACAAAACTCATTCGGATATCATGTAAAAGACCCCTAAAAGTTTTTATTCCCAGAGTATCACGCTTTGCTCGCCTGTCAGAGTACTAAAAATTTCAGTAGCTTTAACTGCTTCGCTGCTGCTGAAACAACGATTAGTGAAGAAAGCACATATTTTAATATTTTCAATTCAACGTAAACAAAAATCTTTATAAATGGTAAATATTCACTTATGTCGGTATCAACTATTGCGTGACTGCTTATGATATAGATGAGGGAGGGGAAAACACAACGCAAAACCTGAGCTCCTTTCAAAAAGTAATACCCTGGCGTAATATAATAATCGAAACGGCTAATAAAATCATAAATAAACAAGATAAGAGTGTTATGTTAGACTTTTGTACAAATTGTAATGATTTATGCCAATTAACGGTGGCGACAACTAGGCACACCATGTACATTTCATAGTCGCTACCAATAAATTTTACCGGACTTTGAGTTCGTCTCAAGATAGACCAACGCAAATACACAAAGAAATTTTTATAGTAACTTTATAACCATCCTTTGGTATGTTAAAAGCTTGAAGCTCAGTAGATTGTGTCATATCGGTCATTGTTAAAACTGTCTTTGTTTTGATGCTACTTTTCGACATAGGAAAAGTATGTCGGACAAAAATATTCACCAAAAAATAAATATTTCTTTGGTAGCTTCAATAACGACAGGGGATTAAGTTTAGATGATAAAACAAAGGATTATGTTCACAGAAATACCGTAGGTCTAGTACATTCGTTACATGAGGTCACACAACTCGGGTAATATTCACGGTGAAAATTTGCATATTTGAGCGGTCGAACGAAACAAGTCATTTCTCGAAAACTGAAATATATTTTCTCAAAAAAACTACACCACAATTATTAGAACATATTGGGCTACAAAATTTAAAAGTAGGAGAGAAAACAAATTTTGGGCGACTTGCCACAATATTTCAAATTTGTTCGATGGATGCTGACATCCTCTCTTAAATACTTTCTGCAGTGAATTCCTAGTTGCAACTCTAAACGCTTTCCCTAAAAATTGTTTCAGTTTACTTTCAGTCCAATTCCGACGTGTTTTTGTACATCAGAGAGTTTTAATTTTTAACATCAATTCTCTGACGACTTTAGTTTTTTTGCAACACAACTCTCTTTGTATCGTTTATGGGCACTATTTCCCATATTTTCACTAGCGTCATGCAGTGCACCTAACTTTTTTTGTTGTCTCGGTGTACAGTGTTTGTGAGTGATACGTTCTTGCTTTTAAAAGAATTGATTGATTGTCACCTCAGGTAGTAGCTCTCCGTTGTCAAAAAACTGCGAAGATCCATGACAAAATAACCTGATTTTAATTACTGACATTAGCTACAACAAATTGGAGTGAAACCATTTCATTCTCTTAATGTTTAAGTTGATTAGACAAATTATATAATTCCATGATTCGCCGCCGTTCACTTGGAACAGGAAAATATGGAATACTCTGTGGCTCAGTGGTAGAGCATCGGAGCGCGGAATCCAAAGGTCTGAGGTTTGATTCCTCATGAGGACTCAGATTTTTTTCTTTGTCCTACGCTCGTGACAAGACGAAAAATATCTTTCCTTTATTTCTTTACCGAGCTCAAAACTTAGCATCTTGTTTGTCACCGCGACAGGTGATCTGGTCTATGTATTAGCGGACCGTTTAAGCTCATAGCGAGACTCGTACCCACTCGTCACCTTTATTTTCTATCTGCAGAGAGATCTGGAAGAAGATTGGGGTCCGCAAAGGTGCTTGGGAAGAAACGAGAAAAAGTGGCTTCGCTCTTTTCTTCCTTGATACTGCCCCATCAATCACTTCGCGAATAAGAAGCGACTGGGTACGAGTCTGGCTGATAGCGACTGTTTTGTTTAGAAGTGTTTTTTTTTTGTAAAGAATGATGTTTACGGAAACTGCAAAAAGGAAACCCTTCTTTTGCTCACTGTTCTTATAATCCTTAAATCAGCACTGAAAAAATGACAATGTCTTACAAACTCTTGTTAGCATTCAATTCAAATACTTTCACAGGCGACAAGAATTTGCCATTTACTGCAAACGTTCCGCTTATCTGCAAGTCGTCAATTAACTTGCTTTAAGTACTCTCTAAAAAAGTTCTTTTGAGGCCTCTCTGATCAGCCAATTTGCTTGAACGCAGCCGGTGTCTAAATTTTAAACCCCAGTGTTTGCTGTCGTGCCTGCTATATTAATTGCAGTACTTTACACAGGATTCCAATTCTATTTTATAATGCTAAATTACAAATTTGTGGTCACAGATAATCTTCTTTAAAGCCTCCTTCCTGTTTCTGTGACGTAATTCAGCCTTTGAGGGTTCTTTGAAGAACTTAGAAGGTATTAAGAAGATACAAACCTTCATTTTGCATTCCGATGATAGACCATATAACAGTCACCTAATTTAATATGTCACTTTCACTGGTGAGGTGTTTTCATAAACATCTCTCATGTGACGGCATGTCAAAGAGACCTCAGCTGGTTCTTGTTCTCTGCTCACCAAATTCTTCGTCAATGTTGCGCTTCGCCAATGAATGGCGGGAAACGGCTATAGGCTAAAGTGAAATAATACGAAGCTGAAGTCTTGTATTCATAACAGCTTCATATCATGTCAGTTAATTTTTAAGGAATTAAATCAGATGATAAAGAAAAAACGCTACTTTTAAAAAGGGCCATTATATTGTAATTGTGGTTTTTTTTTTGTTTTTTTTGCATTAGTAACTGCTTAGCATATAGGGTTTTCTTTTTCTTTAAATTAATCACGTGTGAAAAGCCTAGAATAGTGTACTGTTATGAACACTTTGCGTTACCTGTCTCTGCCATGAAGTCGGGGTGATCTTTCAAATTTAAAATTGTCTAAAAACTCCAAAAGGAATAATTTACTTGTAAGTCTATAGCATTAAACATTGACAAGGGAGCATAAAAAAGCTTTTACCAAATGGATTTTTCTGTCAATCAGCTCCTTCCGATTGGTTTTTAAAGCTATTGTTATGGTAACGAAAACGTAGGAGGCGAATGCTACACTTTTAATAGGTTTTTAAAATTGATATACACACTAGGTAGCGTATGGCATCCCAAACTGCTTTTATCATCATTTCCCCGGCAAACTTCGTCAAATTGGACAATTAATAATTTCTTACGAATGATTTTTCTTTAGACTGAGAAGTATTACTTCCCCTCACGAATATAGAAAGTTAAAGAAAACGTCGATCTGCACTTTTCTTTTCGACAAGCGAAAAAGGAATTTTTCAGGTAAGTGTTTTTCTTGGCGAGAAAGAATCGCCACCTTGTTCCAGATTTTAAATAATGCCTGTAAAATAAGTATATTTCAATGTAATTTGAAATACTGTGAATTCATGTGGATTTGTGGATGAAACAGATTCGAAACAGATATTTTGGATAGAAGAATGCAATTTCAGATGGCACTTTTAAATCGATGAGGGAGAAAAGTTATTGTAACACCTCTTGAGAAAAATTGGAAATGCATTCATAGACCTCTTCATACGACAGGAAGACATTGAGGTACACGGAAATTTTTTCACAGCAAGAGAACACGGTCCTCGTTAGAAAGATCCTTCTTATTAAAGGTGCCCGCTTGATACATTCATTGTCTAACTGCGGGAAAAAACGAAGAAAGAAATTGAGTTTCATCCGAGCTTGTTGGTGTTATTTCGTATATCATCCGGTTAAACAGGTTTTGATGCGTTTTAATGCTGATCCAAAATAACAGGGAAGTGTTTCACAACCTTCTATAAAATCCCAGGGGAAAAAAAAGAGAGAAATTGAGTTTCATCCAATCTTATTGGTGTTACTTCACATGCGGTTCGGTTAAACAAATTTTCATGCGTCTTAATACTAATCCAAAATAACCGGGAAGTGTTTCATAACATTCTGTGAAATCCCATTGGCGTACACCTGGGATTTCTTCAGATTCCTAAGTGTTTGTGGGGGCTTATGTCAGGCCTTACAAGCGATATGCAGAAAGCGTTCCCATGATCCCACATGGGCTGATATGAACTACGCTGCATTTAATATCAGCCCTCAGACAAAATTATTTTACCGTATTTACAGCGCATTTCGATAAATTGCTTTAGATCCAAAACGAAAGCGAGCAAAATATCCAATCGGAGTGAGAACGAAACATCGCAAGGAACGATGAGAACAAAAGGCAAAACAATTAAACTGCGTGAGCGCGGGAAAACGTGGGTGGTTTACAATTGGCTTTGAATCTGATTGGTTTGGAGTGTAACACGAGTTTTCTGGACCAATCACAGAGTAAGGTAAAATGAAACCAAAGCAATTCTAGATTAATTCTAATTCTAGAGCAATTCTGATCTTAGCAGTAGGAAGGACACAAGTCACATGTGAACGTAACAACTGTCTCGTTCACCAAAGAAGTTCTGTGGCTCAGAGGAAGAGCATCGGAGCACGGCGTCCAAAGGCCTGATATTCGATTCCTTTCGGGTGCCCAGAATTCTCCCTTTGTCGCGCTAAATTTACCATCTCTCTTGATCTAATCCAGAGTATCTGGTGTACTTTCGACACTAGTTACCTTGCTGAAAGACTCTTTGAACGTCAATCAACAACCAGCTGCATACTCGATATTTTGT